AAATTTGTGCAGTCATAAATGCTTTCTGGAATTGTACCATTGAAGTTGTTCACGAGAAGATCAATTATCATTAGATTAGATAGGCTGGAAAAGTTGATCTTGCCAAGGTCTCCACTGAGGTAGTTGATCTTGAGGTCGAGGATTTTGAGATTTGTGCAGTTGCCTAAAGTTAATGGCAGCTCTCCATACATATTGTTGTGGCCCAAATGGAGTTCCTCCAATCTCTTGAGCTGACCTATCGAGTTGGGTATTTTGCCAATAAACATATTCCTTTCGAGATCTAGGATTGACAATTTTCTGAGTTTTATGATATTGGCATCATCAAGTACTCCATTTAGAACATTGTCTGGGAAAGAAAGGTACTCCAACGATGAAGCATTGAATAGTTCATCTGGGAGAGCACCATGGAAGTTGTTGTGGCCACCCTTGAGAACTCTAAGCATCGAGCAATTGCCTATGTCCTGGGGTACGCTACCGCCAAATCGATTGAAAGAGAGGTCAAGCTCAGTGATGGATGGTGCACTGATGCAGAAAGAACTTGGTGCCTGTCCCGTAAAGCTGTTGTTACTGGCATTCAGAGCCACCAGATTGTTCATCACCTTCCATGTGTTTGTTGGAAATTGTGCTGTAAATAAGTTGCTCGAGATGTTGAGTACCTGCAGAGGCCGGATAGTTGTTTCACTTATTTGAGCTGAGAACTCCTGCAGAGCTCCACTTAAGTGATTGAAGCTGATGTCAAGGATGACGAGGCTGGTTGACGACACCAACTCCTCCAATGGAAGTTCACCGGAGAGCAAATTGTGGGACAGGTTGAGGCGCATCAGGCCGGTGAGGTTGCCAAGGTATGGTGAGATGTGCCCTTCAAGGCCCTTAGAAACCAGCGAAATTTCGGTGATCGTTGCATCTGTGCCGCAGGTGATCCCTTCCCATGTGCAGCAATCCGTGTCATTCTGCCATGACACGGCGAGGCCACCGTCCTCCGAGAGGCCGGCAAGGAACTGGAGGAAGAAGCTCTTCTCATGATCTTTGCAGGAGCTGGTGGAAGAGGCTAAACTCAGTAATAGCACAACAGCAAACCCAAGTAAATCCATGGGAAATTTGCTGCTGCTTCTGCTGCATGGAAACTGGGAAGGTCTCATGGTGGATTTTTTTTTCTTCTCAGAATGGGTACAGTTTGGATAGATCACTATGCAGTAGTATTATATTGAGTAAAGATACTTTAGAGGTGAATAATAGCCACAGCCTGCAATGCCCATTTGCTACCGATGGTTAGTTTCAGAAGAACTTTGCTACCGATGGTCCTTGTTCATTGATTGCGCAGAAAGTAATACCGATGACTATGTTATCCCGTGCCTGTCCAATTGTTGCATTGGTTCAGACAACTGTGACGACCGCTGTTTCAAGCTTGACAATTGACAAAACTATGAAAAATCCTGGTCGCCTCCTGCTGTCATCTTTGCCTGTCTTCAGCCGCCAACACTGCAGCAATATCAGCTAAGTTCTTCTCTTTGTTTGTTTCCATTTTTTCCCCTCGCTTTGATTGATGGTGTAAAATTGAAGGTGCTAGCAACAAATTTTGGTACCTCACACCCCATCAGCAACTAAGTTGCTTGACCATTTCTTTGTTGCTGCTGCTCTTTGCTCGACCTTCCTGGCCAAAGAAAAGCTATTTTCTTTTGCAACCATTCTTAGTTAAATCCTTGTCACATTGACATTTTTACATCATCCTGATGACTTCTCTTGGCTCTTGCAGCTTCAGATGATAGACGTGCTTGCTTGCCACCAAAAAGGAGAAATGCAAGCATATGTTTCATGAAACAGCCTGAGCTCAATTGACCAAAGGCTGAAGCAACATGCTAGGGGAAAAAAACAGTTGTTATGTTTTTTATCCATTCAGTTAAAACTTATAAGTAGTAAGCACAAGAGAGGCAGCAAGGCCAGCAAAATTCAGATGACTACTCAGATGCAGCATGAAAGTGGAGTACATATCCTGACCTGGAACATATGGACAGGATATCAGGATCTTAAACTGCCTTCATGATCCAGTCCATTTTGACTGTGCGCAAGAGCCCTTTCTTGGCTAGCTGCTTCTCCCAATTGATTTTTGAGTGTCCCAACATGCACTGTTTTACAACGATCTACGTTGAGCAATGAATGTTTTACAAATAAGTTCACATCGGAATATACTTTGTTCCTATTATTATTGCTTATTACTCTCTTTGTTTTATATTAGAGTAAATTTCATCTTGAACCACCTATATTGACCAATGTGGCATAATGGGCTAGGGCTAAGTTTCTCTTTTCACTTAACACCACCTAATTTTACAATCTTTTTCAAGTTGGACCAAGTTTACGGCATGGGCTGCGTTTCGGCCTAATCCACGCGAGCAGCTGGTGTTTGCTCATGGTGGCAGTGGTGCGCGATACCAGGAGCGTGCGCGACGCGTTGGTGTGGTCATCGGCGAGGGCGAGCATGTCGTCGTCCAGTGGACACGGACTCTGTGGTGATAACGCTCGGCCCTGTCGCGCTCAAAACAATACTACGGCACATCTGATTACGTTGACAGGATCTGAGACCATACCAGAACTATCCCATTCAGATCATGCATGTGAATCAAGATCCGATCTTCTCTTTAATTTTCTTGTGAAAATTCGACATGTTTCCGGTTACCAACCGAGGAACACGGATTAATTACTCTAGTTTTTTCGAAGAGCAGCAGAGGAATATTGATTACCCCCACAAAACCCAAATCTCATAGGAATTACTGAATGCATTGCTTTGTTTCACTCTCCCAAGCCCCAGGGTCAAAACTTTCCTCCATGGATTGCTCCATGATCGAATCGCAGATGCATATACCTGTCTACCTCATAAACCCAACAAGCATCCTAGCAACGAGGCAGCCGACGACCCCAGTGATTCCATCCTCGGGAAGCCATCGATCGAGGTGGCATGGGCGTCCACCAGGCAGAGGCCCTTTGGCCTGACGCTGGCGACACGGTTGGATGACGAGACTTGCTCCACCTTGGCGCCGGTGGACGGTGGACACGGTGGCGTTTGTGTTTCGATTGTTGAGTTCACGCCGCTGCACAGCAGCCGTGTGTGAACAGAGACTTTTTTGGGTTGGGAAGGAAGTACTCGTACCAGAGAGGGAGGCAGAACCGCCGTCGAGGGAGCCCTCGCCGGAGCCCCGAGACGGGGACTGCCGACCGCTGGTAAACGCACCTATTTGCGTGGGCCGAAGCCCAGCCTAGTGGGCCAATCAGTAAACCTGGTTCAACTTGCAAAGGATGGTAAAAATAGGTGGTGTAAAGTGAAAAAAGTGACCCACCCCTATCCCAATGTGCAACTTAGGTCAATATAAGTGGTCTAAAGTGAAATTTACTCTTTATATTATATAAGACACTTTGACTTTTTTTTCTTAAACTATTTAAAATTTGACTAAATTTATAGAAACACAACAACATTTTTAACACCAAACAAATATGGTATAAAAATATACCAAAAACTAATTGGTGTTATAAGAGTAGTTATATTTATATACCTCTATAATTTTGATTTAGAAAAAAAATAAAATGCTTATAATATGAAGAGGGTGTAGTGCTTAGGTTCCAGAATCCAGCTAGGAACTGGAGCAGGTACCGAGGCATCAGCACAAGAAATATGGATAGTTTGTGGCTGCTGGACTGCTGGTGCTGGATGAATAATTATTTTTCCCCTGGAAAAGGACATTGGTTTGGTCACATCCATGTGATTTTTTTTTTCAAAATTGTACTTTACTGCGTTTAATTTTTTTTGGGCGAAAACTAACACGGTTGATATGGATTGTTTTTTTTTCTCTCTTCAAAACAGTACTTTATTGCGCTTGATTTTTTTTTGGCAAAAACTAACACGGTTAATATGATATGGAGTGCTTGCGGTGGAATGGAATGACCATGGCGCCACGCTGGGTGCAGTTGCCATATTTGTTCGTAGCGGCTTAAAAGTTAACGCTAAAAAAACTACATTAAAAATATATTAAAATGCTTTGCAAAAAAAGATTAAAATTAAGTTTAAAATTCAAATTTAAGATTTTGCTTTAACTTATTAGGCCAATGAGGTGCGGGCTCACCGGCCGCCGGCGAAGACAAGAGAGTGCTCCACGAGTTCACGGTAGGACGATTTACGTGCGGCCCATTTTTGTTGGGCCGTAACTGGATTGTAACTAGAATGCGGCCCATAATAGTTGGTCCAGGACGGGATTTCGATTACGTGAGGCCCAAATATGGGATTAGTTGAGTAGGGCAAGGGCCCAAGACTTGGCCCAATTGCCACAGGCACCGTCTCGTCGTCTCCGTGGCGACAGCGCCGCCGCTGCTCTGTCGCCGGCGGCCAGCGCAACCGCCGCCTCTTCGGCTCGCCGGCGGCGCGCGGGGACTCGAGGAAGGCCTCTGCGTCGCCGTCACTACTACCCATAGCTCGAGTATGCAACGCGTGGCCATCTCCATCTGCTCTCTATTACTACTATTTTCTTAGCGTGAATCTGAAAATTGAAGCGATATAGTTGCAGACGATGGGGATTCTCAAACTATACATACTAGTTCTGATAGAGACAAATTTGCACATGATTTTCACGAATTTGAGTAGTGACCATCATTCAGAATGCTCAATCTGCACACCTGAGTTGTGGCAGCTAGATTCTTGTCTTCAACTCTGTTCATAGAGTTGGAAAATTAATATGCCTTGAAGAGATCTTAGCCTTTTTAGTACCATCTGATCTAATAGCACACCATAAGCAAAGAACAGGCCAAATGTGATGCCAAAGATAACCTTGTCACCGAATTGATCTGTGGATGAAGTAGGGCTAGGAAGTGCTCTTGCTGAATTACAGTGGTGACTGAGCATACCACCACATAGCTTTGGATTACCAGTGAAGCTTGAGTTGTCAAATGTATCAAACTGGCCTCCAGTTGGAATAGCCCCTTCCAGGTCGTTGTTGTAAACATTGAATGCAGAAAGGAAGTTTAGCTTGTTCAGTTCTAAAGGGATTGTGCCTGTTAGATTGTTGTTAGACAAGTCTAGCATGACCAGCTTGGTGAGGTTGCAGATTGCTTGTGGGGTCTCCCCAGAGAAGCTATTGAAGCTCAAGTTGAGCATATCGAGTGCCTTCAGCTGACTAATCTCTGGCGGGATCGCACCTGTAAAACCATTTTTGGCTATGTTTATTGTTGTGTGGATATATTGGTATTGTCGGTTTTTGATGAATGGAATGCCGTAAAATCTCATGTTTGGGACACTTACATCCAGATTGGTTCTCTTGTCTGACTTCAGCATTGGAATCTGCGTTAATATTGTTGGAAATTCACCTGTAAGGTTGTTATTGGATATGTCTAGATAGAAGAGGAAGTTGAGGCTGTTGATCCAGGCAGGCACTGATCCGCTTAATTGATTATTGGATAACTGCAGCACCTTCAATTTTGTGAGCTTTGATAGCCAAAGAGAAATTTTTCCATGTAAAGAAGAACCACTTATTTCTAGGTACTGAAGATTTTCAAAACCATCCATTGTTTCATCTGCTAGCAATGTCTCATGGTTGAAGTTCCCTCCAAGAAGTAGAGTTTTTAAGTTGCTAAAGCTCTTGAGGATGTAAAGTGCCTTCGTGATATTCGTAAAATCATTCCAACCAACTGACAGGCAGGAAAGAGACCTCAGTCTGTCCATTCTGTGTGAGAACTCACCATGGAATTTGTTCCACGAAAGTCTCAGTGCAATCAAATTTGTGCAATCATAAATGCTTTCTGGAATTGTACCATTGAAGTTGTTCACGAGAAGATCAATTATCATTAGATTAGATAGGCTGGAAAAGTTGATCTTGCCAAGGTCTCCACTGAGGTAGTTGATCTTGAGGTCGAGGATTTTGAGATTTGTGCAGTTGCCTAAAGTTGATGGCAGCTCCCCATACAAGTAGTTCTCACCCAAATGGAGCTCCTTCAATCTCTTGAGCTGACCTATGGACTTGGGTATGTTTCCACTGAATATATTCTGTTGGAGATCAAGGATAGACAATTTGCTGAGCTTTATAATGTTGGCATCATCAAGTACTCCATTTAGATCATTGTTTGGGAAAGAAAGGTGCTCCAATGATGAAGCATTGAATAGTTCATCTGGGAGTGGACCCTTGAAGTTGTTGCGGCCACCCTTGAGCACTCTAAGCATGGAGCAGTTGCCTATGTCTGAGGGTATGCTGCCACCAAATTGATTGGAAGAGAGGTCAAGTACCCCGAAGGATGGTGAGTTGATGCACAAAGAACTTGGTATCTGTCCTATAAAGCTGTTGTTGCTGGCATTAAGAGCCACCAGATTGTTCATCACCTTACATGTGGTTGTTGGAAATTTCCCTGTAAATAAGTTGCTTGAGATGTTCAGTACCTGAAGAGGCCAGATAGTTGATTGAATGAAGAGCTCTTGCAAAGCTCCACTGAAGTGATTGAAGCTAACATCAAGAACGACGATGCTGCTCGATGACACCAACCCCTCCAATGGAAGTTCACCAGACAGCGAATTGTGTGAAAGATTGAGCTGCAGCAGGCCGGTGAGGCTGCCAAGAGACGGTGAGATCTGCCCTTCAAGGGCCTTAGAAGCGAGCAAAATATCAGCGATCCTCATGTCTGCATTACAGGTGATGCCTTCCCATGTGCAGCAATTTGTGCCGTTCCGCCATGATGCGGAGAGGCCACCGTCTCCTGAGAGGCCAGCAAGGAACTGGAGGAGGACACTCTTCTCCTGGTCTATGCAGGAGTCGGTGGAAGAAGCTAAACACAGCACCGTCAGCAGAGCAAACCCAAGTAAATCTGTGGGTAATTTGCTGCTGATTCTGCTGCATGGAAAGTGGAAAGGCCTCATGGTGGGTTTTCTTTTTCAGATTGAGTATGAGTTGGATATTTACTGTTCATTACTCTTATATTGAGTAGGAATGAAAGCAGGAACAAATTTCATCTTTGTTGATTGCAGTTGCTAGCTGATCGAGTGGCTAGTCAATGGTCATCACAAAGAATAAGTGGTCAAGGTCATCAGGAATTCAGGATCAAAAGATGAATTGAGAGTTGAATGAGAGTGACAACCTGCAGTGCTTGCTTGCTACCGATAGTACAGTCATTGATTGGGCAGGCAGTAACATCATGAATTGTGTCGATCACAACTTTATTCAGCAGTGAAGGAAATATCCTGGAACATATGGTGTAGTAAGTGGTAAGTTAGTAGACCAAGTCTTCCCTTTCCGGTTGATCATCAGCTGTTGCATTTCGAAAGTTTGATTCCCTACCTATAGCTCCACATTTGCCGGCTGTTTACCGTTCCTTTTTTTTCCATAATTTTGAGTTTTTGACAACAATCAAACCACTAGCTTCACACGAAATGTTGTAAAATCTGTAGCAAATATGGTAGGCTCTACGTATATACATGCATGTTTCATACTTGAATAATAACGTAGGAGATACATTTCATCAAATAAAAGAAGTATGCTTAATATTTCATTGGGGCTCATCAGAGAAGCTTAGTTCTGCAGTGCTCAGCCCTGGTTGATGCTGGAGCTGGAGGCCAGGACACAGGTCCAGCGCCCGTGATCCTGCCTTGCAGAGCCCTTGGAAAATTGCAGGTGAAACTAGCATGCATGCAGGTATGAGGTAACCAGGCTTGCTAAGATTTGCTCAAATCTGTTGCAGATATAGTAGGCACTATAATCCCATAAATATCAAGTCTCTCGAAATAAAATGATGATTTTTTTAAGGATTTTGTCTTTGTTTTCTTGTACAATGCAAATCGTGGCAAGTACTGTTTATTTCTTCTTGTGTACTCATATATCGATGTTGTTATTCAGCGATCAAAGTGAATGATGACAATAAAGTTACACGGAATTCTGCAAGAATGAATTTTTGATACATTTAGACTGCTTCGATTCACATCATCTTACATAGCTGTGTACTTATACATTACCAGAATTCCTGGATCACTCTTCACCCATGTATTCCTTCCAGTTTATTATCAAAAAAACGAGTTCCCTCCAATGTCCTTTTCTTTATTTTTGTATTTTCCGCCTTTCATAGGAAAACCTGAACCAGAACAAGAGGTATATTTCGTGCACAACTAGACTAAGCTTGTAACCGGACATGCTGCTTGGATCTTAACAGCAGCTCAAACTGACCAAAGTTATCACAAAAAGTACATCAGATCTGCAATAGGACTAGCCAAAAAAAACCTTGATAATACTATTTGATCATATAGCACACCTACACAGAAGAATGCGACAAAAGCAATCGCAAAGATGGTCTTTTGAGTGCTTTGTTCTCTGGAGTCTGAAAACTGGAGGTGTTTTTGCCGATGCACAGGTGCGAATGAGCGTATGACCACACAGCTTTGGGTTCCCATCAAAACCCCAATACTCATATCCAATTGGAACTGACCCCTCTAAGTCGTTGTTAGAAACATCAAATATTGAAAGTGAGTGCACATTGTTCAGTCCTGGTGGGATTGAACCTGTGAGATGGAGGTTAGACAATTCTAACACTTGCAGATTTGTCAGGTTGAAAAGTTTCGGTGGAATATGCCCTGAAGAGCTGTTGAAGCTCAAGAAGAGCACTGTGAGTGATTTCAGCTGGCCGACCTCTGAAGGAATTGCACCAGTAAGCTTATTGTTTCCAAGATTTAGCATTGCAGGGAGAGCATTGGTCATACCATATGTAAGTGATGGCTCTTCATAATCAGCATAAACAGGAAGTTCAAATACCCTTGGATCCAAATGATTGTAGCATTGGCATCTCCATTATTGCTACTGGGAGATCCCTTCTAAGATTGTTGTTTGATATATCTATGAAGTAGAGGAAGTTCAGGCCATGGATCCAGTCTGATATTGGTCCAGTGAGTTAATTGTAGGATAGATCCAAAACTTCCATTTTGAGCAGTTTTGAAAGCCAACGAGGTATTTTTTCCAGACAACGAGCAAGAAGGTACCGAAAGAACCTGAAGACTCTGAAAACCATCAACTATTGGTATGCCATCTGGCATGGCCTTGCCCTTGAAGTTGATTCCCATAATCAAAGTGTTGACTTTTTGCAGTTCTTGAGTGCATGAATTGCATTTGAGATATTCCCAAAAACATTGTTGTCAAGTGATAGGAACAAGAGGTACTTCAGGTTCTGCCAGTTTCATTTGGAAGGAAGCTGGAATTTTTTTTCCCAATGTAATGAGTAGAGGGTATAGTCTGCCCAGTTTCAGGGTTTCTCCCCCTCCAGTCGGAGGCTGTGCCTCGGACCATGCTCGACATGCTTTTGTCGATGTAACTATACTTTTGTACTTTGTTTTTTTTTTACTAATTCTTAATGAAATTGGTTGGCCACTCTTTGGCTGACCCGGCAAAAACGAGGGACTTCAGGTTGTCTATTCTTGGTGACAACTGGCCATAGAATTTGTTTGAAGATAGCTGTAATGTGGTTAGATTGCTGCATCTGTAGATGCTATCTAGAATTTCTCCAGTGAACTTGTTCGACATAAGATCCAAAAGTTTCAGATTGGGCAGTCTGGAGAAGTTAACCTTCGAAAGCTCTCCTGTGAAGTTGTTGTGCTTGAGGTTGATGATCTTGAGACTTGTAAAGTTGCTTAGAGATGATGGAAACACTCTGGACATCCTGTTGTTATCCAACTGGAGCTCCTCCAATCTATTAAGCTGACCTATGGAACCCGGAATATCACCGATGAAGTTGTTATGCTTGATGCCGATGATTTTGAGACTAGTACAGTTGCCTAGAGCTGATGGCAACTCCCCAGACATGCTGAGTTTAGTCCAAATGGAGCTCCTCCAATCTCTTAATCTGACCTATGGAACCCGGAATATCTCCGATGAAGTTATGCTTGATGCTGATGGTTTTGAGACTAGTACAGTTACCTAGAGCTGATGGCAACTTCCCAGACATGTTAGGTGTAGCCCAAATGGTGCTTCTCCAATCTCTTAAGCTGACCTATGGAACCCGGAATATCACCGATGCAGTTGTTATGCTTGATGCTGATAGTTTTGAGACTAGTACAGTTGCCTAGAGCTGATGGCAACTCCCCAGATATGTTGGGTGTAGTCCAAATGGAGCTCCTCCAATCTCTTAAGCTGACGTATGGAACCTGGAATATCGCCGATGAAGTTGTTATGCTTGATGCTGATGGTTTTGAGACTAGTGCATCTTGGCCGTTTTGAGACTTGTTCATAACGCGCAATTTCACCAGGAGATTATGGAGGATGATGCAGGGGTGGATCGGCATCGACTTTCCGTTGCCTACAGGGAACGAATCAGGCATTGCTGATTGGTGGATGAAGGCGAGACTCGCTTTTCGGACGGGCTACAGGAGTATTTTCGACAGTGCCTTTGTGCTAACTTGTTGGCTGCTGTGGAAAGAGTGAAATGCGCGTGTCTTTGAGCAAAGATTTTGAAGCATAGAGCAACTTGTGCAAGCTATCAAAGAAGAGATCATCGTCTGGAAGACGGCAGGAGTGTTCAGATCGTGCAACAACGAGATCACGTAATATGTAATTCATATTTGTCGAAGTTTTAGCTTACCGGGTCGGGGTCTTACCCCTATCCTTTACGACAGCATACTGTCGTTGTAAGTTTTAACATGTAACAACCCCCCCCCCCCCTCTTCTCTTAATGAAACTAGTATGGTGGCCTGCGCAAATTGCGCGGCTAGCATCATTATATTTTCTCTCATATAATAGCATATATGTTTTCTCATTATATTATTAAAATATATTACAATGATAACATAATTTTAAATTTTGCAATAACTTTACGAAACTACTAATGTGTAATATTCATATTGTATTTTATATACGTGTTAGTTATTAATTATTTTTAATATCAAAATTTAGTTATTTGTAAATTATATATATTCCTATATGGACTCTAGACTCGTCTTTTAATATTTCTTTTTTTAATTCTGAATGTTTATTATTTCTAATTGTATTTCTATGTGGATTCTAAACTCATCTTTCAATATTCTTTAATTTTTAATTTCAAATTTTAGTTACTTCTAAATTGAATTCCTATATTGACTTTAAACTCTTCTTCCCATGTTTTTCTTAATTTCGAATTTTAGTTGTTTGTAAATTGTATTTTTATACGGACTCTAAACTCTACATTTGATTTTATTATGTTTATTTCGGATTTTAGTTAGTTTTAAATTCCTATATGCACTCTATACTCTACTTATAATATTTTTTAATTCCAAATTTCTTTTTTTTTATTAATTGTATTTCTATGTGGACTCTATACTATACTTTTAATATTCCTTATTTTTAATTCCGAATTTCTATTATTGTATTTCTATATGAACTCTATACTCTACTTCTAATATTCCTTATTTTTAATTCCGATTTTCAGTTCTTTCCTAATTGTATTTCTATATGGACTCTAGTCTCCTCTTGTAATATTTTTTATTTTTTAATTCCGAATTTCAATTATTTCTAAATTGTATTTCTATATAGATTCTAGTCTCCTCTTCTAATATTCCTTATTTTTTAATTCCGAATTTTAGCTATTTCTAAATTGTATTTCTATATGGACTCTACTTTTTCTTTTTCTCCGATTAATGGGAGAACTTTTAGGTCATGAGAGCGAACGTGGAGGCTCCTTTTTATTCCGAATTTTAGTTAGTTTTAAATTCCTATACGAACTCTATACTCTACTTCTAATATTCCTTATTTTTAATTTTTAATTCCAAATTTCAGTTATTTCCTAATTGTATTTCTATATGGACTCTAGTCACCTCTTCTAATATTCCTTATTTTTTAATTCTGAATTTCTATTTTTTTCTTAATTGTATTTCTATATGACTCTATACTCTACTTCTAATATTTCTTATTTTTAATTCTGAATTTCTATTATTTTCTAATTGTATTTCTATATGGACTCTATGCTCTACTTCTAATATTCCTTATTTTTAATTCCGAATTTTAGTTCTTTCCTAATTGTATTTCTATATGGACTCTAGTCTCCTCTTCTAATATTCCTTATTTTTTAATTCCGAATTTCAACTATTTCTAAATTGTATTTCTATATGGACTCTAGTCTCCTTTTCTAATATTCCTTATTTTTTAATTCTGAATTTCAGCTATTTCTAAATTGTATTTCTATATGGACACTGCTTTTTCTTTTTCTCCGATTAATGTGAGAATTTATAGGCCTTGAGAGCGAACGTGGAGGCTCCTTTTTCTATTCCTTTAATAATATAATAGATTGGTCGACCGAACCTTTCGGCCGACCCGGCAAAAAAGTTTTGAGACTAGTACAGTTGCCTAGAGCTAAGGGCAACTCCCCAGACATGCTGGTGTAGTCCAAATGGAGCTCTTCTAATCTCTTAAGCTGACCTATGGAACCTGGAATGTCGCCGATGAAGTTGTTCCATCCAAAATCAAGGATTACCGTATTAAGGAGTTTGATACAAGTTTTTCCCTCTATGCACGAATCTCAACATTTTTTCTTTTTTTTTTTTTGCCAGGGCAGCCGAAGGAAGGGCCGTCCAATTTTATTCAGATTTGGGAGATGGTTACACGAATCTCAACATTGATCCGATGGTCCACGAAGCGAAAGTTTCTTGGAGAAAAATCTGTCGACAATAGCAAATCTGTTCTCAAATAGAAGGCTGGTGAACCATAGCTAGCAAAGGAGAGGTGCTCCAACGAATCTATTTTCTATGAGAAAAATCTATTCTATGCTCATACTTTTTCTTACTATTTTCTATGAGAAAAATCTATTATATGTTAATGACTTGGGCACTCTATCTACTAATGAAATTTGCAACACAATTAAGAAGTTATATCATAAAAAATGCAATGAGATCTTGTATACTTGTGGGGTTTTCATTTTAGAATGCGCAAAAGGATTGCGCATCTTTTGTATTAAGACTTGGGAAGTTTCAACAACAACCAGCCAACAACTCAGAAAATGAGAAGAAACAAAGGCTAAATGGCTAAAAGAAGAGGCCTAAATCTCACGACATCTAAATTGCGACCGAGAACATGACAGGCCTACTCTGGAAGCAGACATGCTTCCCTCCACAGGCCTACTTCTGCTTCCCTCCACGGGCCTAATTATGGGGTCTGTCTAGCTGAGCTGTTTTTTTTTAAGAATGCATTTAAGGATTGCGCATCTTTTGTATTAAGATTTGGGGAGTTTCAACAACAACCAACCAACAGCTTTGAAAAAAGGAAAAAAGAAAACAAAGAAACAATACTGGATAGCTAGGAGTAGGGGCCTAATTCTCGCGGCATCCGACTTGCGACCAAGAACATTAATAAAACCATTATTAATAGCAGTGACGTCTTGCACATACTGTATGAGTCATTCCCAACTCAAGACATTAATAAAACCATTATTAGTTGTTTGTTGTCTTGATCATCGCTGGAAGCATGTCCTAGTTGAGCTCAACTCATATAAGATGGGTTAAATATGTGAGGGTAAAAAGGAAAATGCAATTACATGGAAAATTTATATATGGATTGCAGTGACCACTTGTTGACAATACCATTAGATGGCACAGAAGTTCAATATCCTGCAAATTGATTGAGGTGGCATCAGTTTTTTGGACAATTTTTGAGCTGGCTTCATGCATTAAGTAGGTATTCTCAGAACCAAAACAAATATACTACAGTAAAAAAGAAGTCACAATCAGGCAGATTGTAGTAAAGAATGTCAGCTAGACATGCCCAAAGTCAACCACATACGTGCTGTTGTGTAGTCACATTCTCAAAGTCAACCAAAACCAAAACTAATCAAATATACCTGTTGTTTTTGTGTAGGCTGTCCTAGGTAAGCAATGACGAGGACACAGCAGCATAGGAAGCTGGACAAGGCATTTCAGAGATCACATCCATTTCAAGGTACTCTATCCATCCCAAAAAAAAATTCAATCCTAATTACGAGTCTGGACATATGCGTGTCTGCATGTCAAGGTACGTAGCTAGAATTTTTTTTAGACAAAGTGGTACATATGATAAAGGTTGGAGAAGAGCAGTAAACAGGGACACCACATCGTCGTCAATGGCGTCTGCGGCGATGAGCAGGTAACTACTAACTAGCTTGCTGCAGAGGTCAATCAATCAATCAATCGGCAAGATTCACAGAATTCCATTGCTTTCATGCTGTGCAAGAAGATCATGGCGATGAATTAGATGATTAATTAACTTATGGCTTGCAGCAACAAGAAGGAGCTGGAAGCCCTCCCAATCGTCGACGCCGGCGAGGTTCGTGAGCTCATGAGCTCCGGCCACCATTACCTCGATGTCAGGTAGTACACTCTATCTACAATCTCTATGGTATTAGAATGTTCTAGAAGCTTCCATGCTCCCCTTTCTGTTTAGCTACCATTCTTCACCTGCTGCCTTGCTGCTGATTTGATTAATGATCATTCCTAACTGTCACTTGATTTGCCTTTTTCTTGTGTTCCTGGCTGCGATTAATTGCCGGTGAATTGGTTCATGGAATCTTCAGGCTTGGGAAGGATTTTGACAAGGCGCATGCTGACGGTGCTCGCAACATTTCCTACTACCTCTCAGTGACTCCCAGTGGTCAGTTCAGTTCATCATTCTTGCCTTGCTCCACTGAAGAATTCAAAATTTTGTGATTTCCATTTCTTTCATATGAGTTTTCCACTGTTTATTTTCTAAACCTTTTGAAGCTTTTTGTTGCTGATGGTTCTACTACTTGTGTTCATCTCAAGGGAAGGAGAAGAACCCACACTTTGTAGATGAAGTGGCTTCACTCTTCGGCAAGGATGAGCACCTGATTGTGGTAAGCTCACCATCACATATAGCACTGTATTACTGACAATTAACCATAGTCATGTTTTTTTCAGCTACTTCACCGGATTATTGTCACGGATTATTTGCTCCATGCCTTTAAAAATATGTTTTCTCAAAAAAAAATTCTACTGTGTTGCTTAGATTGCTTGTTCAAAGCTATTTGTTAAGTTTATTATGAGAATATTTAGTTTATATCTATAATCATTTAGGTAATCCACTGTAATAATACGGTCAATAATCTGTTTTAAACTAGACCTGTCAAGGTCGAAAAGCTGAAGCTATTGATGTAGCTAATATACTCCCTCCGTTTCAAAATGTTTGACACCGTTGACTTTTTAGTACGTGTTTGACCATTCGTCTTATTCAAAAAATTTAAGTAATTATTTATTCTTTTCATTTCATTTGATTCATTGTTAAATATACTTTCATGTACACATATAGTTTTGCATATTTCACAATTTTTTTTAATAAGACGAACGGTCAAACATGTGCTAAAAAGTCAATGGTATCAAACATTTTGAAACGGAGGGAGTATATAATAATATAAAACCGCAAATTTGACATTGGAATATCTGCAATTTCTACCATGGTTTGGGCACAGGCTTGCAACACAGGTGTGCGATCCAGGCTCGCGACTAAGGACCTTTTGGACGCGGTAATTAAAGCCTGTCCATTCTCGATTTAAGCACAATATGCATATGGTTTTGAGTAATTGGGGGTCATTAGTTTAATCCGTCTTTTGGATGTGAAGGGATTCAAGAATGTGAGGAACCTGAAAGGTGGTTACCAATCATTTCTCCGAAGTGAAAGCCAGCAACCTGCAGCTCATCAACAGTAATTATCAGCTGCAGTTCCCCTGCTCGGTGCTCGCTATCCGGGAGATGGAAAATCGTTTTCTTCTTATGCATAATTTCAATGGTCGTGAAGACGAATAAATCAGGATCAGTTGAATCCAAGCTTTGCAGTGTGTACGGTTTAGCAAGAAAATCTCATAATGTCATCAATCAATAAACCTTCAGAAAATCTTTAAGAAGTGTTGCCATCAGTGAGGCTAATGCCATGTCAACTGCTTCTGTTGTACTCATCTGCCGCTATATTATATTCAGTAACTTGACCTTAATTTTATTCCATTTTACAATACCTTTTTCTGATTAAGCTGACCATTTCTTTTCTCTTGTGTACTACACTCTTGTTCCTTGTCCATATCACATACAATTTAAGAGTACTTAGCATTACAAGTAATTAAATTACAGAATAACCTTTTCTGATACAAACTCAGTGACGGGAATTAACGATAACCAAACAAAATGCGTACTACTCTATTTGGTATAAGAAGATCGCAGAAATGTCTGGCAGAGCTGTGTGACCACATCATTTTTGGGGCTTCGTAGCCTGACATATGGAACAAAATTAGTGCATGTCAGATTAGCTCCTTACTTTCCGACATGGATATGTTGTCAATTGGTTCCTCTGGCCCAGCTGAAAACAAACTATGCTTCCTCTCAAATGAATTAGATTCAGTTGAGGCCAAACAGAGGTCTTTACACAAACGATAGACTTGTGCTGATTGCAAAGCTGTTTCATAGCACCTCCTTTTCTAGTTTCAACACAGCCATAAATGCCTCTTGAGGAACATCAACCCTTCCTATTGCTTTCATTCTCTTCTTTCCCTCAGCCTGTTGGGAAATGTCAAATGGTCATATCATCTTATCTCTAATTGGCGATAGTGAATAAAGCTACTAGCTTTGGCTAAGCACCCCAAAAGAAAAAAAAAACTTATTTGAATCTGAGATGGTTGTGGAGAAGGCTTACCTGTTTCTTCAGCAATTTCTTTTTCCTCGATATATCACCCCCTGAAAGTAAAAGAAAATAATGTCCAACATAAACTTATGGAAATTCACAATGTGAAAATGCAGCGATCCTTTTTTTTTTCCTATAGATACATATTTGAAACAACTAGTCATGAACAGAATAAGACAACAGAGATTATTCCAATGGATTTATGATGATCTCAAAGTGCAAGTCTTAGTGTTGTTTACCATAGCATTTTGACAAGACATCCTTCCTGATGGCTGATAGTGCTTCACTTGCAATGACCTTTGCACCTATACATGCCTGTCAAAGTCCTAGTTAGAATATCATTCCTAATTAAGAGATAATTAAGCAGTTTTGTCTCCTCATGAATAGATGGCTACTTCTGTTTTCCAACAAGTTATAAACCTTTTTTTTGGTGCAGAACAATGATTTGGTTGAAATAAGAATACAAGATCAAGGCAGCAGTGGTACCAGTGGCTTCTTTAATTTTGTTTTAGTTAAAAATGCAACATCAGTTCAACAACAAAAATGGATCCACTTTCTTTCTTAATATAAACATCTTATAGGGTAGACTTAATCACAAATTACAACCAGCAATATTTCCCTGCCTCAGTTTGCAGTGCAATTGTATAGACAAGAAATCAGGTAGAAGCAAAGCGATAAATCTCACTTGAATAGGTACTCTAAACATTTGCCGAGGTATAAGCTCTTTTAGCTTTTGAGTTAGCGCCCTCCCGACAGAGTATGCCTATGACAAAAAAATAGAAAATCAGATTGGCCTGAGCAATTATTGCATGATAACCAGTTAAATATAAGCCATTGCTTCTCAAAGTCAAGTTGGCGGGAGAAAATATTCAAAGATACAGTTAATCACACAAGAAGAATCACGGAATGAATTGTAAGCATGAATATATTGACTGCAGATTTCTTAACAGAGCATATGGATACATCGAAGTATAAAAGAAATAAATCAAGGGACTTAATCCTAAACTAAAGCAATACATCCTTAACAACAAATACAATGTATATGAAAATCCAATCATATTTCATGTTCCTACTATCTCTTGTGGTTTCATATAAGTTTGATGGCATTGGTGGTGTCTCTGAATATCACAGGTTGTCTCACGTAGTCACGGTATAGAGCTACATTTTTCAAGGATGTGATAGAGAATAGACCCAAGGCAAGACCGTAAGAGTAATAGCTTCCAAATTTCAAGCAAGTGTTTAACAGAAAGTGAGTTTGCATACACCCAACTTTTCTTATACACAAATATGTATGATCATGAATATAATAGCACTGGCTAGTAAGCAACTTGAGTTTAGTACCTTATCTCTATGAACAATTGTTGACAGTGCCTCCACAGGATCACCATTGATCTGTATATCCAGCTTTACTAGGTTACTTTCCCTGTACCTGCAAATTAGGCAAATATAATATGTCAGTTGATTTTACAGAAGAAACTATTAAGCACTGGCAATCGGGTAAAACAAAAGGCAGGTAACTAGCTATGGGTTAAGTGGTAAAGTAATAAATTTTAGTAGTCACCAAGTGTTACTCATATGCATCCCAGGTGCCAGGACATTCTAAGATCAAAAGAACTTAGTATCTTATTAATATCACCCATCTTAGACACAAGTTAATGTTGTTTGGAAAGCAACCACCTCTATTCATGCTTCTTCAAATATTTAAAATGATCGTTAAAATGAGATATGCCTTTTTACATAACCAACTGTTACATCATGACATTATGACCATTACAGTGTCCTGGACTTGATGACTAGAGAGATATTAAATTAAGAGAACAAGGGTGCAAGTACCCGATAAGTGAATATTCCATGCTAGCATATCCTTTACTTCGAGATTTCAGTTGATCGAAAAAATCACCAACCATCTGCAAAAATGGGTACAAATAAGTATCTACAGAGAATCCACCAGTACTATGCAGCAAGTCAAGTATATGCTCTGGAAGATATGTACTTCTTGATGTTTAAGAATATACGCTAGCATGAACCAAAGAGTTGAGATTACACAAAATTGAGAACAAAAGAACAGCATTAGAGACATCAATAAATGAAATATGCTTACCCTAAAGGCCTGTTTGCATTATGATGAAGGTATTAGTGACTGGTGCATATTTTATACTCCCTCTGTCCCAGTTTATAGCGCGTGCAAATATTTTTGCTAAGACCAAGGTGCGAGCGTGGAGAGAAGTTTGTTACTGTTGCAACCCTAATTAAGTGCATTAATTTTATCGCTTCGTTTGGACGTGGAAGAAACTTGAGGGCCCAGGCCATCTGCATGCGTCTGCACGCTCTATGCGCAGGCTATGCTGAAACTACATCATGCATCATTAACAGGGCTAATCTCAGGAGAAATGGAACCGGTTTAAAGTTGCGCCTTATGTTGTGGGACACCAGTGAAAATATTGTGCGCCCTCTAAACTGGGACGGAGGGAGTAATCTGTACAACGTAGAAACCCTTCAAACGTCTAAACAATCATGTCCTCTCTATCTGAAACTCCTGTTTGCATAATGCTTTATGTATGTTGGAGGAGTTAAGGTATGTTTTCCCCTTTTATTTGCTAGATGAAAATAGTTACAATGAGGTGCAACATGCATGGTAATGATTTTATATAGAAAAAGGAATTACCTCTGCTAGCGGTAGCTCATAAACAACTGATGCCCTATTTTCTGTGATGAAGTTCATTTCCTTGAATTCACCTCTTCTCTCTTGACCCAGTTCCATTATTGGGCCAATATACTCTTTTGGTGTAAGCATGTCAATCTAAATAAAAAAAAAATGCAGAGATCAAAGAAGAGAATCAGATACATGCAGAATTCAACACTCCCAATCTTAAAGATGACTGTAATGGACGGTGAAAGCCTGTATACAGAAGAAACAACCTTGACATATGGCTCTTCGATGGATCTCCGTTTACCAGGTTCTGGAAGCAAGGATGGATTCGAACATTCAACCTATATTACAGCAATAAGTAAGCATGTCAGTACATTAACATTCCAATGCCAAATAAACAACACTGACATGTCCACTAGTCAAACTGAACAAGTAATTGCTTGATTAACTCTATTGTAAGGAAGTCTAGTCTAGCAAAGTCGAGCAAGTTGGTGCAAACATATGCACCCTGCAATGATTTAATTACTACATATATGCAAGTAACAATTGTTAATGGCTTCCTTAACTCACTTTCTCTAATGAAGTGCTCAACAACTATTTCCTTGAAGTGGGAGAAATGGTAAGATGAAATTATGACACATTGTTCAGTGTTAATCTTGTTGACATGCTCAACACAACTGTAGATGATTCTTCAAAAAAAGAATACATTGATAAAGGACATATAGCATAGTTAAACCTTGCAGGCCCTAGCAATTACTAATCCTAACAGCAGGAGATAGAGAAGTTCTTCAGGGTCATAAAGAACTTACAGTTTCGCCATCGGCTAGGTTGACATGGTAAACTACACTGGGTGCAGTAATTATTAAGTTCAAGTTATACTCTCTCTCGAGCCTTTCCTGAACAAAGAGAACATTATGTTGTCGAAATTTCAAGTCACCATAGCTGTAATATGAGATGGACTAGTGAGAGTGAAGTAGATTATAAGAACCTGCACAATCTCCATATGAAGAAGACCGAGAAATCCACATCTGAAGCCAAAACCCATGGCACTTGAAGATTCTGGTTCAAACTGCATTGAAAACCTTGTTACTGCCTTTAGAAAAGCAAAGATGAGAAATGCAATGCACAATGCTAATTAGTCACCAATCAACATTGGCAATTTGGCATCTGCCATACCCCCTAGCTTTGTGAAATGACTTGACAGATTTGCTTGCATTTCCCTCTACATATGATCCAAACATTCACTCGCCTAACTCTAAATGAGAAGAAATGCATCAACTTTTCTTTCTAACTGAACTAATGTATTCATTCTTTCCACAATCAACTTTTACTGCATATTTCAATTTTATAAAAATGAGATAAAAAATATAGAGTTTCTTCATCAAAATCATATTGCCTTTATTTTGCCTGCATTCAATATGGAGTATCATGTTCCTCTATGAAGTTTCTACAGATGCATTGTGATGCAGGGACAAAGGTAAGTAAGAAGATGCTTCAACTTCATATACTGGAAATGCAAACAAACCAAAACAGCTTGAAATATGCATTTGTGCTAATCTGGTGATCTTGTCTCAAGATATATAGGGCAGGAATCCCACCTTTAAAGCAGCATCATTTAGTTGAAGCTTTTCCAATGCTTCACGTAACTCCTCAAACCTAACAGACAACCATATTTAATATGTGATCCATGTGCAGAAAAAATAATGGAAAAAATTTCAAGGGAAAGTATAGTACTGATCCGCATCTATAGGAAACAAGCCACAAAAAACCATTGGGGTAGCTTGGGAATATCCTGGTAAAGCACATTCTGCTCTTTTTGAAGAATGAGTAATTGTATCACCAACCCTGGCATCTGCAACTGATCTTATGGACGCAGAAAGATAACCGACCTGAAAAGGAATGGTCAATGATCAAACCACAAAGAATTCTTTTTTGCAAATATTGCATTACTAACAACATTAGCTTAATGGTGTATCAATAGCATATTCAGGAAGCCAGATCAAAATCTGGCATATACATAGTAGGTACCGATGTTTATATACTGAGGAAAATGGGGATCTACTTCACAAAAAAAATAAAGTGGAATGAAGATATAGTCAAACATAAGATTTATGGTTGATGTAAGATATGGTAACACAAAAGTTACCTCGCCAGCGTAAAGTTCACTAACTTGCATCTGATTGGGAGATAATACTCCAATTTCATCTGCAACATATTCCTGTTTATTTAAAAAAAAACTCAGCATGGTGTCTCTACATAGATAAGGATGATGAAGATGATGGGTGTAGCATTTGATTTTTAGAAGAGTTAATTATAAAAGAGTAAATGATATTATACAGAGAAAAACCTAATAGAAGTGTAGGGGGAAAAAATAATGCTCCTGTGCAGTTGTGTATAACAACAGAAATCAGATGGAATGTTGCAAAAGTTGTACGTTTACAGTTTAATAGAGCTATTTTTTCCCAAAAACTATTTTATCATAGCAAAACACTCTAGTTTGCTTCAGAGATTTCAGGCTTTATTTAGTTACCTTTCCGCTAGCCATAAAACATATTTTGTCCCCTTTCTTTATACTGCCATCAACAACTCGAAAATATACAATTACACCTCTGTATGGATCATAATAACTGAAACCCATAGACAAACAAGAATAAGGATTCAGGTATATGCACAAAAAAAAAATTGAAGACCATTGTAGTATCATTGTCTGCATTTTGTAATTTTAGCACCTGAAACATCCATTGAGGACTGAGGAGATTCTAAATAGTCTAAGTTCTTAAAAGATACCTGTCAAATATAAGAGCCCTGAGAGGACTTATTGCAGTATTCTGTGGTGGGGGTATCTTAGTCACAATGGCATCTAGTATCTCAGTTATGCCTATGCCCTCCTATAAACAAACAAAAACAAAGATGTTAATATATGTTTATAAAGTGGGGGATAGAACTTTCTGTGCATAACGCATGTGTAAGTAACTCTGAAGGCTGAACAGAGATAAAGTAGCAAAAAAACAACCTTTGCTGAGCAACGAATTGCATTACTGCAGTCCATTCCAATTATCTGAGGATAATAGAAAAAAGACAAGCATGATTTTAGCAATAAGAACCAATGTGGCATAACATTGAATGGAAAATTCAGGAACTGTTGTCAGCACAATCCAGTATAAGAAAGGTTTAATACTTTCAGAATACCTCTTCAATCTCCTGCGCAACACGATCAGGTTCGGCACCAGGAAGATCTATTTTGTTTAGTACCTAAACTAGAACAAGTCATCTGTCAAATAGAAAGAATTGAAAATCTGTAGCAGAATGTCACGTAACAGTTAAAGATTTAAATGTTTTCATCTATAGCAAAATGAAACATGAAACAGATGCTCCACTATGTTGCAGCTTACAAGCTAGTTTGCAGTATTGTCCAGTTGAAAAGGGCAATATTCACCTCAAGCAGTATACATTAGTTATCATCCTTACTCAGTTTACATCCAGTTAAAAATAAGGCAAACATGCAACGTTCACATAAAAGTTAACTCGAACATGAAAACCTTAGGCAAAACCAAATATGTACGAATTTGTTAGCAGTGAAAAGAAAATATTTGTAAAAGTTAGAAGGTAAGGAACCTGTTAGTGTGCCTATAACGTAACAATTCAAACTCACCGGTATGATTTCAAGGTCATTTTCCAGTGCAAGATACACATTCGCTAATGTCTGGGCTTCAACACCCTGCATCATCATTACATATCTCTCAACATGTCAGAAAGATTAACTCGAATATGGTGAAAACATTTAGGTAGCTTCTATAGGCAAATGTTTTCAAATACATAGCTATTGAAACTTACAGGAGGGTAATATATATTGCACCTGAGAAGCATCAACGACCAGAAGTGCACCCTCGCAAGCAGCAAGAGAACGGGAAACCTAGTAAGCAGTCAGACATTTAACATGATGTTTCAATCAAACTCCAAATATTGAGAACATGCTGATAATAACAGAGTATCATCCAAGACACTCTGAAAGGCCTTAGAAGAAATTTCAATAAGGTGAGACCTTAATGCAATATGTTGGTCTTACTTTAAAAAATATCTTTGTTGTTTTGGCAACAGCATATTATGTAAGAGATCAAAATGGAAGTAGTAATGCTATACCTCATATGAGAAATCAACATGGCCTGGTGTATCAATCAAATTCAGGCAGTAGGGCTCATCGTTCATGATGTAGCGCATCCGAGCTGCCTAAAAGAACAAATGATTATATCGACGGTACAAAATCAATAAGATATGGAACACCTAATATCAAGAGCATGCTAGGAAACTTCAGTCCAGATGAAAATTAAATTACAATAACGATGTAAGCTGACAAGTTGTGACAACATCCAGTGAAAAAACTGTTAGTTGACTTGGTGCGAAAGCGCTGCCCTCTTCTTGACTAGTGTTGATGCTCATTCTTAGTTCTAATACTAGTAAACCTCGGAGCAACTGGCCAAAATTTAAGGAAACAGGAAAAATATCGTATGGTAGCTAATTTCAAGTCATTTCTCTCTAGTATCTACATTTATATCAAGTAATTACTTCTTTACCCAATGTAAGAGAAGGAACAATGAGTTCACATAATTCGGCCAAATATATTTTTTCCACCAACCTGCAATTTGATGGTGATCCCTCTCTCCCTTTCCAGGTCCATGTTATCCAGGAATTGCTGTTTCATCTCCCTTTTCTGCACCGTCCCCGTGAGCTCAAGCAGTTTATCCGCCAGCGTCGATTTCCCATGGTCGATATGCGCAATAATGCTGAAGTTCCTGATGTTCGAAACGGGAACCTAGTAGAGCAGAACACCGACGAATCGAGATCAATCACAACAGCAACGCACTTGAAACGAATATCGGAATCGCAAACTCTACCCTGAATTTCGTGTTCGTCACTCGAGCAAGCCCAAAGGCGCGCCTAGACCTAAGTGATACTAACAAGCGAGGCGCGCGATGGGGCGACTACCTTCTGGAGGCGGTCCTGGCCGGCGTCGGTGGTGGACGCCGGCGAGGAGGCGGGGGCGGCGGGGCAGACGACGCGGCCGCGGGGGGCCGCGGAGAGGGCGCGCGGGCGGGGCGGGGCGGAGGGGAGAGGAGCGGCAGGCCTACGGCGCCCCGGCGCGTGCGGCGACGTCCGCGGCGCCGGCACGGCGAGGCGGGAGGCGGTGGCGGTGGCCATGGGAGGAGGAGGAGCGCGCGAGCTTCTCCGCCGCAAGGTTGCCGCGCCCGCGCTATCCACACACGAGGACGAGACGAGACGAGTCGCATGGACTCGTGGGTTTGTGTAGCCGTTGCGTTGCGGGCCTTGCGGCTCTCTCCTTGATGGGCTGGGCTGATTTTGGGAGAAAGCCCATAAAGTAAATGGGCCGCACGTAATTCGCAAGGAAATAAGTCCATGTCAGGTCTCTTAATTATTATGAGTCGAATTTGACTCACGTCCTCAACAACAAAACAAGTGTCCCTCAATTATCAATGTGCCACGTCAAAAAGACTAAACCATCGGGGGGACTCGATTTGCACTGATTTTGATGATTAAGGGATGCTTTGTACTTGGTTTTTGGATCGAGGGGGTACAAATAAAAGGGTTAATTTGATCCATATAATTGCAAATGTGCCTATTCAGATAAATACTATTACAGTTCATATATACGTAGCCGTGCCATTCAAATTTTATAAAATTAAAACCATGCCATTACCATCACGTTTTTCATATTCTTCCTAAACTGCGCATGGGATCTATCTGTCAGATGACTCAATTCATCTTCTTCCTTTGACCCTCCCTTATCTTCTTCCATTTAACCTTTAGATGAGCACATTATCGAGCTCTGTTCCTTTATTGAAACGGAAAGTTGTGTGACTTTGTTGGCTTCTTGTGATTTAGCAGAGGAATATCAAGTATCCAACCATCCCAACTAGTACTTCTACCATCTCAGAAATAATCAGTCTAGAAATGGATGCAACATTATGTCAGGATCCCGGGTAGGCCACACACGGGCTGGTCAGCCCATCGCCATGAGGCCCAAGCAAACGGAAGGGAGCAGCATACAAGCAGCAGCGTCGGCAACACCAGGGGGCATCAAAAGATCATTTGGACTTGGCGGAGCTGAAGCTCCCGGTGGCAGCGACGACTTGGGCGGCCGATGGGCACCCTCGTCGATCTCTCTCCCTACCTCTCCTCCGATCTCTAGCCTTCCCCCCTCAGTTTTAGAAGTTTCTAGCACTTGTATTCCATAGCTTCTTCTTCTCTTGTCCCCAAAACAGTTGTTGCTTCTATGGTGGATGCTTGTTGTTGAGTTGGAAGTAGTGGGTTCCTAACAATCTGGTATCAGAGCTGTCGATTCGTGGGATTTCTAGCATGGAGTTGATGGGAGAGTACTGCAGCAACGCCCCATGCAAGTGGTTGTTGGATTTGGGCAAGGGTGGTGCTCATGACACCAACGCCCACAACCTGTTCGATGGAATGCCTAGCCAATCTGAGATGTCCAAGGAAGATCAGAGGACATCTAAGCCTGTCCCCATCAATTCTACCATGAACAAAGAGGAGAAATGGCTGGACAAATCTCTAGATCGGATATTGGAGAAGTTTGAACAAATGGAGGCCAAGCGCATGCAAGAGGAGTAGATCAATCGGATATTTCAAAAGTTGGAAGATATAGAGGTTCGTAGGAGCAAGGCTTCCGAGGAAATAATTGCAGCCATCAGGGCAACCACTGCTGTTCTCAAGGCTACATCACCTACAGCACCCATGGCACCACCTACTCCAGTGCCTACCAAGTGTTTGACAGAATGCCCCAACAACAGCTTCACTTGGGCAACAGCGAGTTCAAGTCACATTGGTGAGGATACTGCTCCAACAGCTACCTGGGAACTAGGAGACAATAAGGACAAGGGCCACGCCCCCTACATCGTCACCAAGGACTCACCCGAGGTCACGCCCACCATGTGTTCGACGAAATGCTCCGGTCCTACCATCGAGCCCGATCTCACTGTGGCTGTAGTGGTTACGTCCGCCACCACTGCCGCGGCCTCTATGGAGTTGGTAGCCGCTGGGAACGCAATCGGTGCCACTGACATCAACAATCTTGACCACCCCAAGGTGACGCATGCTAAGTGTTCGATGTTTGGCTCCGGCGTCAAACGGGGCACTGAACAAGTTGTGCTTGCGTTCCCGCTTATGGCTAGCCCTATGGAGTTCATGACATCATTGGTAGAACCATCTCCACCCACAGGGCTAAAGCTTGGTGATGCCATCTGCGTGGGAGATTAGGTGCCTATGAAGTGTTCGATGAAATGTACTGAGAGTGACAATAAGCCACTGATGGAACACCCCAAGAGAAACCCATGGCCACCTGCCTGGTCAGGATGGAAGAAGTGATATATGACCTGGACTACAATCAATCATCATGGGATGAGATTCTATTTCGTCCCACCCTGGCCTCCACCAAGTCTAGTAAGTTCTTTGGCATGGGTGCATTTTTGTGTTGGAGCTCTTATACTTCAAAGGGTGGTTTTATCAAATGAAATGGTTGAGTTGGAGCCCTGGCCTCCACCACATGAAGCAAGTTTCAGAATTTTGCCTTTCCAAACTAGTAGCAGGAAATGTTGCAATTATGTCACTGCTTTGAGTATAATTGCATGGGATGAGAAGAGGACAAGGAGTAGTAGAATTATTGACAGTAGTTTTGAGGAAGGGATACAGGAATGTTGGAATCCATATCTAGCCTTGCCAATCCCTAGCTATTTCAGGACCAGATTGCAATGGATGCCACCTTGGCTGCCATTAGTTGGTTTGCTAGAAGCTAGAGTAGGAAAGGGTTGCACTACTAATTTTGCTGCAAGTATAATTCCTTGGAATGAGCAAAAGAAAATGATGACTATTGAAACTTCCACTTGCTTTGAGCAGAAAATGCACCAGTTTTGGGCTTTGATTTTCCAGGTCAGTTTGACATCACTTGCTAGCAAGGAAAGCAATCTAGTTATTTCTGATCCTGAATCATTATCTGTTTGGTTATCATATGTTGATCTCTGGGGATGTTGCTCAACTACTACCCAACTATAGTGGAGAAATGGAATATGAGAATAATTTGCATGGTGATATCAGAATCTGAATCATGTTTGGAATCAAATTACATTGGTTTGAATGTTGAAAGAGATTTGCTATATGTGATTGCTGAAGAAAAAGGTTGCAAAAGGATGAAAGGAATGGAAGCAGACACTAATTCAATTCATGATGAGAAGTATACTTTTGGGTTAGTTCCTACAATGGTGTTGATCAAGCGAGGTTGTCACTGTTTGCAGCATATCAAATTGTTGAAAATCAATGTTGGCAAGCAATTCGTAACAGTGCTATTGTCATGCATCACCCAGGAGTACTTTACATGGAGTAAGCAGTTATTCAAGCTAAAGCTACTTGCTCTATTCTTCTTCAATGATGGTTCATTGTCTAACACCAAATATTTGGAGCAACCATGGGATCCGGGAGGTGTATTCCATCGGCTTGGGGACAAGCCGAATTTCAAGAAGGGATTGTCAGGATCCCGAGTAGGCCGCACACGGGCTGGTCAGCCCATCGCCATGAGGCCCAAGCAAACGGAAGGGAGCAGCATACGAGCGGCAGCGTCGGCAACACCAGGGGGCATCGAAAGATCATTTGGACTTGGCGGAGCTGAAGCTCCCGGCAGCGGCAGGGACTTGGGTGGCCGGTGGGCACCCTCGTCGATCTCTCTCCCCTACCTCTCCTCCGATCTCCAGCCTTCCCCCCTCGGTTCTAGAAGTTTCCAGCACTTGTATTTCATAGCTTCTTCTTCTCTTGTCCCCAAAACAGTTGTTGCTTCTATGGTGGATGCTTGTTGTTGAGTTGGAAGTAGTGGGTTCCTAACACATTACCTTGCTAGATTCATTGTACTAGGTAGTGTCCCATCCACTTTTAGGTTGATTTTTTCTGGAACGGAGCGAGTATCCCTGAAGAGCAATGCAGCACAAGTCATCTCTCGGATTGCCTTTAGTGTATTCTTTGGAGTTGGAATGTTGTATTTCGGCCATTTAATAATTGTGTATCTTTGTGTGAGATGATAATGCATATATGTGTGCGCGCGCGCGCGTATAGTTCAGCAGAGTAGCTGATCTGACTCGAGCTTATTAGTGCAAGCATATAAATTTATAGATCAAGCTTAATAAGTGCATAGAGTGCATTAATACACATCGTGAAAAATGTAGATCCTTAGTTAAATGCCATCTCCATCCTGATTAAATTTTGAGTGGATCGCAGTTTAGACGGTATTTTATTACCAAACTTCACTTTGTATCACTTATAGCCATTTGGGGTTGATAGTTTTAATGTTATTTTATCCATTTACATCTAGCTTTTCATCATTCAGTTAAGGTGTGGCCTATGCTCCGGGAAGTCCGTTGGCATGCAAGAGTCAAGAAGATTCACCGCAAAATTAAGTTGTGCGGAGAGAAAATGGTTGGATAAAAGTTGGTCCAATGTGAAATGTTATTAACACAAGTATTTATTAAATGTAAAATGTTATTAACACAAGTTGGTAGGAGTATCATTTAAAAGTTGGTCCAATGCGAAAGTTTATGAGCACAAGTTTTTACCGATGTTTCTTGTAAATCACCTTTTATATAGCCTTTTCACTTTAGACTAGGTAACTAATAATTTTTGTAATTTGGACCATCCAATTCTTTCATATGCCCACATATTCTTATTGCCAAATGTTGACCAAACGATTTAGTTGGATGGGGATTAATAGAATAGTTTGGTGGTCCGAAGCAACAATGATAAAAAATATATATCATAAATGAGAAAAGTCAGGTTAGAAAGCTAGTACAAAGGTACAAATTTCGGTAACAAAAGCATCATATATTCACCAGGCGACTAAAAATTTCATAAATGTCAACTGGCTTTTAATAGTTAAGATTGCTTTACGATTCGTGCAGACCTTCTCTCCTCGCTCCCTTCTGCCACCGACAATCCTTCCAAGTTTGAGGGCCCCAATCGCCCTATCTCTGCCACTACGATCCTCACCTGGAATCTAACCCGGTGCGTCGCCACTATATTGTGCACAAATCGACGATAGATAGATTCGACTAGTTCCTCCTGAAAACAAACTATTATCGAAGTTGGATAATAAAAGATAACCCAAACATTAATTCAGTTTTCAATACATAACCAATTTACCCAATCAGTAACGGTTTGAGACATTTAGTACACGAATCGGGCATATCAGATAGATTCAATTTCTAGTTATTCCTGTCAACAGACGAATTGCGAAGCTGGAAAATAAAAGATAACCCAAACAATAATTCAAATTTTAATACCCAACCAATTTACCCCAACCAGTTGGTACCATCTGAGATTTTTGGCATGTGTTTGGTTTGGGAAATGCTCATCTACCCGTTTAGCATGAGGGATATGATGGTCATAATTTCCAGGGGATGGCTCACATATCAATGATTAAAAAAAAGTGGATTGAATTGGTCCTCTAATTTTTGATATATCAGTCCAACCCAGATATTAAGGGAGTATTTCCTTTTAGGGATAATCCCACTTCACGTCTTCACCTATTCCCCAACCAAGCACAATGAAAAATGATTTTGACTCAACCCGACCTATTAAAGGGGTGTTTAGATCCATGGGTGTAAAGTTTTGACGTGTTACATCGGATATACGGATACATATTTGAAGCATTAAACGTAGACTAATAACAAAACAAAAACAAATTACAGATTCCGCCTGTAAACTGCGAGACGAATTTATTAAGCCTAATTAATCTATCATTAGCAAATGTTGACTGTAGCACCACATTATCAAAAAATGGAGCAATTAGGGTTAAAAAATTCATCTCGTAATTTACACGTAATCTATATAATTAGTTAATTTTTCATTTATATTTAATACTCCATACATGTCTCTAAACATTTGATGTTACGGGTGAAAAATTTTTGTATGTGTATCTAAACAGGCCCCAACAAGCAGTCCTTATCATCAGCAGCCTAGCAGCAAGAACATCCCCGTGGGTCCCACATGCAGTGACACATGCTGCCATCGAACCCTTGCACCATTTCCTCCTATAAAGCCACCCACCACATCCCATGTCCCCGCAAAGCGAACACTGCCTTCGCCGGCGAACGTCCAATCATCCAAGCCACCCTCGCCGCCGCCGCCGCCCTCGTTTTCCGGCCATGGCGGTGACAAAGCTCAACCCATCAGCGGCGCCGTTCCACTGCTCCCGCCGCCACCTGTTCTTCGCGCCGCCGCCTCCTCCTCCTCCTCCCATGCCGGCGTACCAGTACCACGCCACGGGCGCGTGCGCCGCGGCGGCGCCGCCACCTTTCCCCTTCTTCGCCACCTACTCCTGCGCCTCGCTCCCGTTCCACGGTCACCTCTACCCACCGTGCGGGTACCAGGCGCAGATGGGGCCTGCGCCGCCGGGCGCGGCGTTCGCCAAGGGCGTCCTCGCCGCGGCGCCGCCGCCGCCGCACGGCCGCCCTCCGCACAAGCTCATGGTGTGCAAGGGCGCCCCCACGGTCACCGACGTGAAGCTGCGCGCGCAGGCGCGGGCGGCGGCGCGTGTGGGCGTTGCCGCCGCCGTGCGGGGGTGGCGACCGGCGCCGGCCACCGCGGGGCCTCCCCGGATGCTGGTGGCCGCCGCGCCATGCGGGATGCTGCACCCGGCCGCCGTGGCGAGGCGGCGGGGCATGAGCAAGGTGTACAAGCCCCGGAAGCCGCAGCGCGCCGGGAGGGAGCGGTCGCCGTCGCCGTCGCCGGTGTTCACGACGAGGCCGATGTCGCCGACGCCGCCGATGCAGAAGCTGAAGCCGGCGCACACCACCGTCATGGTGCGCAACATCCCCAACAAGCTCACGTAAGTGAAACCGCCATGCCCTCGCCACGCCACGCCACGCAATGGCGCCATGCCATGCATGCACCACGTGCACGCCGCCGCCATCTCTAGCGCACCTCCATTAATGTCTCGTTTTGTGGCGCGCGCGCGCGCGCGTGCAGGCGCTCGGACATGGTGCGGCTGCTCGACGACCACTGCGCCCGCGAGAACAGGCGGCGCGGCCGCGGCGGCGAGCCGCGCGCGGAGTACGATCTCGTCTACGTCCGGATGGATTTCGGGTGAGCAAACGAAATCTCTCTCGTAGCTTCTTTCAAAATGAAAATGTCTCAAAAATATTCCATTACTCCGTTCTTGCAAAAAAAAAAAAAGAAAACTGCGATCTTTCGTGCAAAAAAGAAGAAACTAGTGCGGTAGTTTTTGAAAGAACAGGAGTAGAGGAAAGAAGTTTCTTTTGTCTCCATTGTACATTTTGTAATAGTACGAAAAAAATATCATGGTCAGAACCAGTTGTCCTTCTTCAACAGTGAAAAAGCAAAAGAAGCAACAAGACAAAACCCCAAAAAAGAAAGAAAAGCTGGTGACACAGCACCAAATTAAATCTCAGCAAAAAAACCAGCTAATAAATCCATTTCCACAACTAGCAAATGTACATTGTACTACTACTCCTATACTACACTCAATTCGTTTTACTAATTCTGAGCTGTCATTAGACACATGATCTAAAGCTGGTTGCGTTTGGGCTTTTTGTGTTGGCGTTTGTTGCAGGATGTGCAACAAGGAGAGGAGCAGCAACATGGGCTACGCGTTCGTCAACTTCACGACGGCGGAGGCGGCCCGCGGGCTGCAGCGCGCGCTCCACGGCTGCCGCTGGAAGCGCTCCGCCTTCGACTCCGGCAAGATCATCGACATCCGCGCCGCGCGTATCCAGGTACGCAATCTCAATCCGACGCGACGCGACGAGACACCCAGATGCAATCATTCGTATCGCGACCACACAAGATCGTACTACTGAAAATATACTGATATGATGTGATATGGTGTTCGATCGTTTGTTGCTGATGAGTTGTGCTTTTGGTTTTGGTTTTGCATTTGCAGGGGAAGGACGCGCTGGTGAGGCACTTTGGGCGGACGACATACTACGAGTGCGACACCGACGAGTACCTCCCGGCCGTGTTCTCGCCGCCGCGTGACGGGTCCACCGCCGGCGCCGGCGCGCCGTCGCCGCCGGCGGTCAAGACCGTCGGCATCCGTGTGCCCCCTCGGCCGATCACGCTGCTCACCCACCGCGGCAACGTCAACTGATCGATCGAAGAAACGATCGTGCTCGTGTCGATCGATCAAGTTCGTGTGTCTACCGTCTCGATCTGAGTCAAACCAAGCAATGCAACAGCAGGTAGCTAGGTCAGGTGACTAGTGACAGTAGTAGTAGCTTCGTTTTTTTCGTTTAGCTCGTTCGTTCGTTTTTCTCTTCTTGTCTCGTGCCGGTTTAGTGGTAGAGTGGCACGGTCAAATCCGAAGTCTAGGCATGCCTTCCCTTTCCCATTCGGTGCAATGCAATGCACCGGCAGCAGCGAGGACGGGAAGGCTGGGAGACTTTGGACAATAGCGTAGTACTACCATGTACTGTGTGCTCTTCTTTGCTCTCTCTCTCTCTCTCTCTCTCTGGTCTGTACTACACTCTGTAGCATGTGTAACGTGGTGGTAGCAATGTAGCATGTCTCGATTCATGTTTCTTTGTCTGATGATGAGAGAGTGAGTTGCTTGGGTTTGTTGCTGCAGCTTCATCTCTGCCTCTTTTTTCTTTTCTCTGCGCATCTGTGTTGCAATGCAATGGGCAGTTTGGCACGTAGTGGTACTGCATGTGTTTTGCCCCCACATCTGGTGCTTCCAGGGCTGGCTTTGCCGGGCTTTCCCCTGCCTGCTGGTCCTGTGTGGTGCAACTAGAAGCAGCCCAGCTTGTGATACACAGCTTGGTCGACGTGTACAACGTGCCAGGAAAGCAGAAGAATCTCTGCCTTGCCTGCACCTGTTGGCTTCTACTACTACTACAATTCGGGGCCGCCATTAAAGGGGTGCGCAAGAACTGCACGGTCAAACAGTTTCCTCTTCCATGAAACCAAAGCCCCCTCTCGAGAAAAAACTTGGTCACTCTCACAGTCTCACTCACTCGGCATGCATGCGTTTTGCAGTTGCAGCTCGATTCATCTGCTTCTGCACATCGATCTCGATCTCGTGTAGCAGCAGCATCGGCATGTTTGTCCGCTTGCTTGCTATCCGAGTCGCCCGTTTCTCTCGATCGCCGTTTCCTCCTCCCCCCCTCTCCATATCGCACAGAGTCACACGGATCGTAGTATAGGTCACAAGCGAGCAGAGATGCATATGACTCTCTCTTCTTCTTCTTCTTTTTCTCTTCCTTTCTCTCGCTGTTTGTGTTGCACCAACAAGTGAAAAGCAGCGGCTGCATGCGATTTTTCCAGGACGGGGTTTGCAGGAGGAGGCAGGGAGGGAGGCAGCCTTTGTGGCCGCAGAGTTTCCCGAATGCGGTTGATCCCGGGGACGCTTTGCCGACCCCGTCCTTTGGCCGGGTTGGTGAAAATGTCCCTCCCTCCTGCTACGCCGTAGCCAGCGGCAAAAGGCTAGTAGTAGTACGCCGCAGCGCGGTGTGGCTGTGGCGCGGCGTGCATGGAGAAGGGGGGCGTGATTTTGCCCGGTTTTGACGCGGAAATGGCGTGATTTTTGCCCGGTTTTGACGCGGGTGCTCGTGCACGTAACACCATGCAGAGCCGCGGCAGGGGTTGGGGTTGGGTTTCAGTTCAACGTTGCAATGATCGCTCGCTAGCCTATGCTACCGTGGTAGTACTAGGAGTACGAGTTGTTCGTTGCTGATCCAGCGATCCTTCTCGCGTCAGAGAGGCGAGGCTGTAGATTACTAGAGCCATGATGATCCGTCCGATTTGAGTCGTGACATGACTGCATGTACGTAGCGTGACTGTGCGATTTTGTGATTGTTGTTGTTGTGTGTGACATTTTGATTTTGAGCCGTGGCAGTGACTGAGACTGACCTTGAGAGAGCGGAACGAAGCCAAGAAAGCCATATCTGTTGTCCTTTTTGCCTTTCTGCTACTGTCTCACTCTCCGGACGGATTGTACCGCCGCACCACTCCGGACGGACTGTACCACCATCTTATGGTTCTGGGCTTGGATTTTCGTTTACTCGCTCTTTAATTTCTTAAAGATAAGTTCTGTGAAAAAAAAATCTACATATATTTTTTTCTTCTACTTCCTCTATCCCATATATCAAGTTAAGTTAATTTAGTATATAATGCGATATATTGGATAGATGACCGTCTAGATTCATATTTTCATAGTATTACGATGTCTCATATTTCGTACAGATTAACTTATTTTGGACCTGTTCGGTAGGCCTAAATATGGCTGCAATACAGCCAGCCGCAACAGTGTTGCACATATAATCTCAATGGCTATGGTAGTAGCTACAGTTGCAGGAGTATTGCAGCCGAACAAGCGAAGGAAGTACATAATAAAGTAACTATTCAAATTTATAGTAGTACCCTTAAATAGCTATCGCGAAAAGTTAGATTGTCCATTAATTCATCAATTTCACCTATTTTGGGCCTAAGTAGGAGTATTGGCGATCATTTGGAAATGTTGGCATTTTGTGACGGAGTGAACATTTTCCAACCTTCCGATTGGGGCAGTTCTACCACTACCTTTTCAACTTTAGTAATTTTACCCTTATTTTTCTAATTGAGCATGCATTTGACAATTAGAGTTGGAAACAGAGATAAGAATTCAAATACCCCAAACATGATCGAATTCTTCTCCTCTTGCGAGCAAAATATTACCATGCGAAGAAAAAAATTATACACGACACTGGGTCAACATATTGTTGGTTAGGCCGAAACTGTCCATAATCCAGTATCAATGCTAATGGTTCCTGTTACACATTGGGCCGCAATTCGATCCCGTGGGAGTGGATACCGGCCCAATTCAAAGCCCATATGGTGCACCAAACTATTAGGGTCACATTACATGCTTACAACTCATGTCTCTTCTGCTGCTCTGCACGCCATTCTTCGCGGATCTGTCGCGCATTTCTCCCTTGATCCCCTTCTACTAGTGCTAATCCATTGAGATGAGAGGACAATTGGGGAGGTGAAATGAATTCAAAGCCGAATAAATGAGTTTACAAGATCGATATCATTATCTCCAGGATCATCCATGCCAATCTACGATCGCCGAGAGAAATCCGCTGCCGAGGACAGGGCTGAGACTGACGAATTGTCGTGCATCACACAAAGAGGTTTGAAGTGATGGTTTGTTCAATCTGATGTCTCAGTATTTGAAGGGTATTAATCTGATCTCTATCAACAAAATGTTCAGCCAAATCTGTTCTGTTTGCAGTTTTTATTTGTTAGTATTATTCATTCCTCTGTTCTTTTTTGTTGGATTATTAACTACTCTTCAATTTTTCTTGTCAACGTAATCTGAATCCCCAACCCAAACTGTAATTTTTTCCCCGTTTGCATTAACACCTCAAGTCCTCAACACTTGTATCATGACTATTGTAATGCATTTCGATATAATTACATCCACCAAGCAAACAAAATTCTTCTCTCTCATTTTCTTTCTAATCCCAGTGTATTCCGATAACGTTTACGTTACAAATTTTGAACCAAATTTTCTCATCTTCTCTACCATTTTCTATCTATTGGTACAACTGAAAGCAGCAGCAGCAGCAGCATCCCCCTTTTGGATACAGAGATGCACGAGAGAGGCGGCGGAAATACCGAATTTTACTCACGGTTTACATGATAAAGTTATTCACATTATCACATAAGAGGAGTATCAAATCCTGAGTGGTGAAAAAGAGATAGAAGAAAACGAAAACAAAAAGAAAAAAAGAAGAAATAATTATCCGTGTCTATGGAGGAGATGGTAGAGAGCTTCTTCGCAGTAGCAGCAATGGCGATGGTTGGATTGGAGCACAGCAATCCAGTACCAGTTCGTCGGTTCTTGCTGCTTGCTGGTTGGTCGTGGTCGTGGTCGTCGTAGGCTAGAGTTCGCCGGAGATTGCTGGAGACGGCTGGTCGTGTGCAGGCTAGAGGTGGAGCAGCGTGTCGCAGCGCCAATCCATCTCGTCGGCTTCGGCGGCGGCGGCGGCGGATGGGGACGAGGCCGGCAGGTTCAGATCGAACGGCAGCGGCGAGCAGCGCGGGGCGGCGGCCTCGTCGCCGGCGCCCGAGGCGCCGTCCTCGCAGAGCACGGAGGAAGAGGAGCCGCAGTAGCTGCGGCAGTCCTCGTCGGCGGCGGGGTTGCTGCCGCCGTTGCGCGGCGGCGGCAGCCCGAGAGCTCCGGCGGAGGCGGCCGCGGCGGCGACCGTGACGCCCCACGACTCGACCGTGCTGCTGTGGCTAGACGTCGCCGCCGCCGCCGCGGGAGGGAGATGCTGCGGCGGCTGATGCTGCGGCGGCGGAGGCGGAGGCGCGGAGGAGGAGGTGGAGGGGGGGAAGTTGGTGCGCGCGGCGGCGCCGCGGAGCGACCTCGCGGCGGCGTCGTAGGCGCGGGCGGCGGCCTCTGCGGAGTCGAACGTGCCGAGCCAGATCGGGGTCTTCTTCGCCGGGTCCCGGATCTCGGCCGCGTACCTCCCCGACGGCCGCCTCCTCACCCCACGGTACCTCACCTCCCCTTCCCCCACCCCCACCCCCGCCATCGCCGCCGCCGGCGGCAGCCTCGCCCTCCTCATCGCGATCTCCTCCGACGAGGCGAGTAGCCCTCCTCTCTCTCTGACTCTTCCTCTTCCTCTCTTTTGGCTCGTCTCGTCTCCTCCTCCTTCGCCTCGAGCACCTCGACTATGCGTGCGTGCCCGCGCTGTTTGGTCGGCACGCCCACCCCGTCCCGGTGTCACTGACGGGGTGGGGCCCACCACGACCCGGGCGTCGGTTTGTTTTATGGCGCGTCCCCCGACCGCGTCCGGGGCGTCCACGTCGCGGGGCCGGGTCGCGTCGCGGCGTGTTTCCTCATCCGCCTCTTGGGGTTGGGGTTGGGGGGGTGGTAAATTGTGGGGGCGTGTGAGCGAGGGGGAGGGGCAGGTGTGGTGGTGGAGGTGGGTGCGGATCTTTATCGTGGCATATGGTCCGGAGGAGAGGTGGAAGGGTGGAGGAGGTGGTCGTCGCGCTGCGTACCACTAGCGAGGCATATTCGCTGCGCCCTGCCGGCCTCGCTCGGCCGTGCACCTGCTGCCTGCTGCTGCTGGCTGCCGTGCAGGTTGTGGAGATGATCAGATCAGCTGGGATCTTCGAGTTCAGACTTTCAGGCCTGGGGGCTTAGGGCCGTTTTGGATTGGATTGAACCCAAAATGTTGGATTGAACCCAAAATGTGTCTAACCAAAATTTTTTGGTAACTTAAATAATAAATATACGTTTAGATTTAAGTTAAATAATTAATAGTGGCCATGCTTAATTTAGCCATATTTTAAAATCTGGTATCAAACCAAACATAGGCTCTGTCCTAACCAAAAATTGGTAGTGTGTCTAGTGTTAAAAATTGCCTACTACTAGATTTTAACACTAACCAATGAATTGGTATGGTAGAAAACCAAATAGGCTCTTCCTTTTTTGAGTTTTTAAATCTAGATTTAAATCTAAGAGCTTAATTTTAAATTTAATGTGGAAGCTTTTTCATGGCGTTTGATTACCTAGTATTGCCTTTTCAACAACTATGATTAGTTTATCTATGGCCAGGGTTTCTCAAATCGTCAGTAACCGCGCGGTTACCGGCGTTACTGCGGAGGTACGGTAATAGAAATAACGTGGTACGGTAATAGAAATAACGTGGTAACCTCCTTAAATTCAAATAAATTTAAAAAATAATTTAAATTTTTGATAAATTTTGCACAGTTTCATACGGTTTTTCACGGTAACCGTGCTTACCACCGGGGCGCGGTAACCCCCGGCCCCGACGGTTTGGGAAACCTTGTCTATGGCTCATAAGTTGTGAAAAAATATATTGTTATAAAATTTACGAGTAAAACTTTTATATCGGTCTAAAATACAATGTTGAAAATAAATTAAGATGAGAAAATTTCAAAAACAAATCGGTCTTAAATAAGTTTTAAATTTTGGTTATGGCTAATAAAACAACAAATGGGCGATGAGAGGCTAGTTTTCTTTCGTTCACTCGTTTGTTTCTTTGTTACTTGGATCCTGTGTCTTCGCCTTGTAATCCAAAATAAACACGTCACAACGTTGTGTCCAATAGCGTCTCTGAATTTGGAGACATTCACAGAGCATTTGCAAAAGATGGGCAGGTAAAGTAGAAAACCGTCCATGTCTCGCCTTGACAACATATTCCTTCATCATCAGGTGTCACTCACATACAGTGTCACGACTCACGACCGAGCGGGGTCATCTTTATCTTACAACTGACGAGAGGTCAGCGGGCTCACTCGTAAGGGTTCCTGAAGTTCTTGAGGAGCTCCGGGATGTCGTACGCGAGCATGTCGTCCACGGCCTGCACCAGCTTGGGCTTCATCTTCTCGAACTTGTCGATGTTGTACCCACCCAACACCTCCTTGAAGTGCTCAACGTCAGGGAAGTCTCCGGCTGGAAGATGGTACTCCCTTTGGACCTGTTCCAGCAGTTTGAATTCAGATGCAAGCAGGTGAAGATTATGGAAAAAAAAATAATGCAGTTATAAGATCCATTTTATCACTGCGGTTGGAAATGAGCTTCTTGTGATGAATATAGATCGAACTATCCTGGCAATTAAGTTGTTTGTAAGTACTACTAGTACCTTTGCAAACTCATCACCCAGGTTGTCTATGAGTCGCTGTTGAGCCTTAGCTTTCCCCATCATTGCAGGCATCTCCTTCTTTAGATGGCCAATTATGTAAGCATGAATCTTAGCAGCTCTAGCACGTTTAACAAACTCGTTGACCTGCAAGTACAAATGGCGACATTCATTGAAAATTCAGCAGTTGAAAAGAAAAAAAAATCAGATAAGTGGGAGAGAACATCATACCCGACGATCACAGGCCTTCTTGGGTATGTCTTTCAGATCACAGAGGAGATCATCTTGCTCTTTCTCAAACAAGTCCTTTCCAATTGGTCCAACAGCTGATTCATTCACTGGTTTGTCATTGAATGACCTGCAAACATTAGTTTCAGAGTGAATTTCAGTTTTCAACAACCTCCATCTAACTCTGAGAGATTTATATAGTATTTTGCTCATATAATTAAACAGTCAGTTACTAGCGATGCTTTTAGACTTCTAAAAATATTCTAAGTACAAGTTTTATGATTGATACAGGAATTATACAACATCCAGTCAGTCAGTCAGTCAGTCACCAGAATCAAGATTACGACAGCACTATAAACAGAAGCAAAAGATGGGGTGTTAAATAATTGAAGATGTAGGAATTTACCCGATATAAACACGCGCGACCTCAGGGGTATTGAGTACTTTCCCAAGAGACCACATCAGTGCACCATACACTCTCATAAGCTGCAGCATGAATAAGGGGATTATGTGATTCTGATGCACAACATAGCACATTTTAAAACAGAATATGGTGTAACACTTCCCGTATTGATTGCAAGGAAAACCTCTACCTGCTGAGTGTCAACTTGGTCTGCCTTATTCAGCACTACACGTATTTTGTCATCATGGCCACGTAAAGATGCAATCACACGTTTGAACTCATCACTGATATCAAGCTTATGAGGATCAAACAGAAGAAGAATAAGGTCACACTTAGCAGCAAACCATGAAGTTATGCCGGTGAAATCATAGCTACGCTGCGTCCGCTGCTTTTCACCAGACAGGACACCGGGGGTGTCCACAAAGGTGATATGATCGAGCAGCTTCATGGAAGAAAAAAAAATGGCTTGTATCAGTTTGTGCAATGAATGTCTTTCTGTATGTGTTAATATCACCAATTGAAGCTTACCGGATGTGGCATCTGAGAGCACTCGAACTTTGACAGAAAAGCACCGCCAAATGTCGTAAGACCAGTGAATGGCATATCAGCTTGAACAGCAATAGTATTGCCAGGAATAGTCCTTTCATCAGATCCAGACTAGTACAAATAAAGAAGAAAAATGAGAGACTAATGGGATCATTATGTAGCAGCCTAAACAACATTGTAAAATCACCAACAGATTTCAGAAGCCATATTTTTGCTAACAACTTAAAAAGAATCAATAAATGTTCTACAGGTGTGCATTGAATGAAACTTTGATGAAAACCTGTAGTTCCATGATGTAAAATGGATAACAATAGTTGTGTTTTTATCCAATGTGTGCTGCTGAAGGCAATTCATCCAATAAATAATCTTAACAGCTGTAGAAAACACGATATGGTATATGACTAGTCCACATGTGAACCATTCAACTTAGAAGAAAGGGAGTATAATGTATGCCACCCTTGCATCTTACAACCGACCAACCTGATATTGTCAACTGATAAACTTTTTAATCTATTGACAATGAATGATGAAGCAGCTCTAACTTGGTTTTTTTTCTTTTGCTGAAATACGACCAAAAATGGTACTTTGAAAGCACAAAATATATTGAAAACAAGAGTATACAAGAAAACAAAATCAATCATATGCAATTTTCCTGCTTTATAAAAGATCCCCCATAGTTCATATGCTCAAGTAATAGCTAACTCGATATCACTGATGCATGTTATATTAAATACTCATGTTAACATTTACCATGACAACAACAAATCGGTCAGTAGTGGGCTCTGGTCCAACATGAGCTCCTGCAGTTGAAAGGGAAAAATTAAAGTTATACTCTGATTATATTAGAAGAGACTAACGTTAAATTGTGCAGTGTGGCTAAGAGTGGAACTGAAATATTATGTATTACTACACTATTAGTTCAATCACAGAACCTGGATAACTTGTTTGCAGCAGATGCTTAATGAAAGTTGTTTTCCCTGTAGAATATTGACCCAAGAGCATAACCATTGGTTTTGCATCAAAATCACTGCTTGTCTGGAAAATGGTACAATTAATGTAATGATATGTGAGAAATAGAGCAATAATCCAATTAGCATGAAAGTATTCGATATATTTTCAATAAATGTGAACCATCCATACCAATAACGGGGAAGCAAAATCGTTGAACCGGTATGCAACCTCCAGAGGCTTCAGTTTTTCTACGTATAGTCTTTTTAAGCCATCAATTACAGAAGTAACAGCAGTCAGGGGGACCTGCATCTGCGGACAGAATGAAGGTACAAAATCATTAAATTGTTAAGCTGCAGACCGCAGTACTAAGAACATTTCGATGACTCAACAATAAACTATAAGAGCAAGAAAATGATATTAGCCCTGAAGATAAACATGATAAAAGTGCACGAAAATCCTGAAACACCACCACGTAAGTCTAGTACCTTCTTTGCTGATTTTGAACTGAACCAGCTATTAGCAGAATGCACTTGAACCTGAGGGGCGCCTGCACGACAGAAAGAAGTTAGCATCACAGCCTACTCATCACTGACATCATTCACCAGGTGGTACCCTTGGGAGCACATTTCTTACCATTTTCTTCTGGGTGTACTCTCTTTACCCCAGCCTTTGATCTCTGAAAATGCCATTGCAACATCACAGTGAGATTTTGAAATGCGTCAGAATTACACCAAAGCCATAGATTGTAAACTTACCGCAAGTAGTTCGTCAAGACCTTCCATCACAGGTGGATCCAAACTACTCAGGTCTGCAAGAATCACCATAAATTCAGGGGACATCCACACAAACACTGAAATACAGATCGCAGCATCGCAAGAGAAACAACCTTCGCGCTTCAGACTGTCCTGAGTGATCTCCTCCCCCGCTTGCGCCAGTGACACGAGCTGCATTTGCGAATCGCAACAGAACAACACAATCAGAAACATCCTCTCGAATCAGCAGCAGTCACAGAACGACGAACTGTAACGGATAAAGGAAGAGGCGAAGTGGAAGCAAAACCTGCATCGCGGCGACGAACTCGCCGAAGCCGAGGAACCCCTGCCGCTTGGTGTCCGCGATCGCCCAGACCTTGGATCAACACAGATTTATCAAAAAAAAAAAATCCAAAAGAAACCACCCGACTCAAACAAATCCAAAACCAACTCGCGGCGGCGGCGCACCTGCTTGAGGTCGGCGCGGGACAGGCCGGACATGGCGAAGAACTTGGTAGCATCAGCACCCGTGACACGCCCATCTCCATCTACACCACCCACCACCCACCACCGGCGAACCAAACCATCAGCGAGCGATTCTGGGGCTCTCGAAGTCACACACACAGAGAGATCGAGCGCGCGCCGAGGCGGCATACCTGGGTCGGCGACGGCGAACCAGCCGGCGTAGATCTTGTGGTGCTCCTTGGAGCAGGCCGATCGCGCGAGCTCCATGCCTCGTCGCGGCGGCGGCGGCGGCGAGGAGGAGGAGGAGCAGCAGAGGCGGAGGCGGAACGGAAACCTGACGAGGTGGGGGTGATGCGGGGTGGAAGAAGTGGAAGGGCGAGGCATTTTTGAAAAAATTCGGTGGGGCCCACCTCGCCACGCTCGCACGCTCCCCTGCGATTTCTTTTCGGTTTTTTAATTGGAGCGGAGACAAAACGGAAAATTTTGAACGAGAGAAATTGGATTTGAATCCAACAAAGGCGTGTTGATTTTTGTTTGGGCTGTTGTGCCGCTGTGGGCTGTTTGTTCCCCGAATGGGCTGAATTTGTTGGATTGGTTTTGTAAGTCATCGATTCGTGGAATAAGTTCACTCTAGGTCCCTCTATTTGTCACCCTCAAAACCGGGTACAACCCGTCCCTCAACTTATGAAAACCGGGCAAACGAGGTCCCTCGGAGGTTTTGAGGGTGGTTTTGGCTGACGTGGCGCCTACGTGGCTTGTTTAACTAGTTCTCCGTCCCACGTGGCATTGACGTGGCGCTTACGTGGCATTATATCTTGAAAAATTAATAAAAAAACATGGGACCACCTGTCAGCGGCACAAATTTTTTTTTAAAAAAGCGGGCCCACGTGGGCCGACAAGTCAGATAATAAATATGGTGGGCCCACATAGGCCCCACATGTCATCCTCAGCCCCCCTCTCTTCTTCCTCCTCTCTCCCCATCTCCCTCTCTTCAACTCTCTCTCTCTCCCCTTTCCTCTCGTGGCGGAGAGGCAGCGGCGCTCGCCGCGCGGCGGCCGGCGGGAGAGGAAGGGGCGGCGGGAGGTGGCCCTGACTGCCGCAGCCGTTGAGCCCACAGGGCGTCACGCTTTGTCGGCGAGCGCGCAGAGGAGCGTCGACCCGGCGGCGGGGGAGCGGCCGCGTCGTCGTCGTCGGGTGCGTCGTCATCCGCGGTAGCGCCGCCGAGGCAAGCGGAGCTGCTGGTGCGGTGGCTACTGCAGCCAGCCGACTTCCTCCACCGATGAAGCGTCGACATCCGCCAGGCTCCGCGGCCACAGGGTGTCCCCATCGTCGGGGGGATGGGCCCCTCGCCGGCGCCCGCCTCTCCACCTGCCGACCCTGAGCTCCTCCGCCTACGCCGCTGCCAGTCGCTGGATCTCCTCCATCCTCTGCTCCAAGCCGTTGTCGGGTGGCCGAATCCCCTCCGAGCCTGGCCGATGGGGCCTCGCCTCCTGCTGTTCGCCGGGGCACCGAGGACGACGCTCGTCACCGGCCTTTGCTCCACTCCACAGCTGGTCGCCACCGTCGACCTTCGCTCGGCCGGGCGCGGTCCACTCCTGCGTCGGCACGGCGGGAGCGGGAGCGGCAACAGGGGAACCACCTTACCCCGAGCGGCCACGGCGGGTCAGGGAGGTGGGCAGTGCCGCCGGTGGCCGGGCTGCGGCGGCGGTTGGGGTCGTGTCGTCGCCTTGTCGGTGAGTGCCGGCGGGCGCGGGCTACGAGGATGCGGTGGAACAGGGCGGTGGAGGAAAAGTGGGGGAGAGAACGACATGTGGGGCCCACGTGGGCCCCACCTTTTTATAATTTTTATGTGAAACTGACATGTGGGGCCCACGTGGGCCCCACCTTTTTATAATTTTTATGTGAAACTGACATGTGGGGCCCACGTGGGCCCCACCTTTTTTATAATTTCTATGTGAAACTGACATGTGGGTCCTGCGAGGTTTATTTATTTTTCGGGTTGAAAATTGCCACGTAAGCGCCACGTCAATTCCACGTGGGACAGAGACCTAGTCAAACAAGCCACGTAGATGCCACGTCATCCAAAACCGCCTTCAAAACCGCCGAGGGACCTCGTTTGCCCGGTTTTCGTAAGTTGGGGGACGGGTCGTACCCGGTTTTGCGGTCAAGGGACGAAAATCGGACTAGGCGACAAATAGAGGGACCCAAAGTGAACTTATTCCTCGATTCGTGGATTTGGTACAAATTGAATTTTGTAGACTAAAATCAAGTGGTATATTATCTCTTTTTGGTACAAATGTTGACAAACCATCACTTTATTATAGTCTTAGCATCTCTGACTCCAAGAAATTTTGGAGCAAGATACATAACATGCTATAAAAGGCTTATGCTTATTTGGTATCAAACACACATCTAAAAGTGAAAAAAAAAGAGAAAGTAGGAAACCGCCAATACTTCCGATCAAATCATCACAATTACAAGGGTTGTAAAATGACTTTTAACCTACTTTATCGTTACATATATAACATAATTTACTATTTTACTCGAATAAGCGTATCTCAACTGGGTAGGTTTTTGGTGATGAAACCTATCCACCGAATTCAACTCGTAGACTTGACACAAGTGCTCATATTTATGACTAATTATTCTTTCAGTGATAGACGATCTACCCATCAAGTGCAAGGTGCCTCTTATCTCTTGTGGCTTATACCAGTCCAATCTTTGAAAGGAAATGTCCGTGATGGACTTTATCAATCTCAAAACATGTTGGTTCAATCTTCAGAGATGTTCATAGAGATAGGGTGTGCCATCTATTCATAGAGGTGAGTGTGTGCATGTTTGTGGGCGTCTACGTTATACTGCTTTTTGAAAAAAAAAGAATGTAATACTCCATGTATTCATCCGTTTCATATTATAATTAGCAGTAAAACTTATTTAAGATTGACTAAGTTTCTGAAGACGTATAGTAACATCTACAACATCAAATTAGTTCCATTAAATTTAATATTAAATAAATACTTTGATAAAATATTTGGTTTGTGTAAAAAATATTGCTATGTTTTTTTATAAAATTAGTTAAACCTAGAAAATTTGACTTAAAGAAAAAAAAATCAAAGGAACCCGTAAGAAACGGAGGGAGTAATATTTTTACACCATGAGACTAAAGTTTTGAGTTATGATGTGGCTTCATCACGGCCTTAGGATGGAAAATCAAGGGCTAGAACGCAGCACAAAAATCACTGCGGCCAAGGCGGAAAACTAGCGGTGTCACTGCGGCCGGCGAAGGCGGAAAAAGCTCTCAACCAAAACCGCAAAACCCTTATCCCTCCTCTCCTTTCCTTCCCCCCAACCCTAGCTCCACCTCCACCTCCAGCCATGGCGGGCAATTGATGGTAAGCACCGCGACGGAATGTTCGCAGCCGGCGACTCAGCGTTGTTCTGTGAGTTTTTTAGGAAAAACAAGTAGGAAATGAAAGGTTCAATCATTTAGTGGTTGTACTTCTGGTCAGACAACACCTATATATTGCAACCCGGGATTTAAAGGGGTTGTAAACCGGGACTAGAGAGCCCTTCCCCAGTAGTGTATTGTTCTTCGTGGTGGCGCAGACCAGGTATTTACTATGACTTATCTTCTTATATATTTAGCCAATTCTACGAAACCGAGGATTTACCGTATTCAAGTTGTTTGCATTGTCATGCTATTTCATCGAGGAAGCTGAAAGAAGTCTACATGGTGCCATCATTATTGTGAGTAGAGCTGTCAAGAACCCAACAGTTGTGCCTGGTGGTGGTGCTATGGACGTATGCCAACTTGTCAAGATTAATGGTTCCATCTGTCAAGATGTAGTAAGCTGATGTTGCAGTTCTATTTTTTGTTAGATGGAAGTAAGCAAGTATCTCCGACGACATGCAAGGACGATAGTTGTGAAGTCTCAATTTTTCGTACATTCATTTGCTAAAGCCCTTGAGGTATACTCGTTCTCTTTCTCGCGCGCGCGCAACTATTTGTAATTTGGTATCTGATCAGAGATTTTTTTACTGTCCTTGAGCCTGTGCAGTACCAGATCCTCGCTGTCCATCTAGCCCAATCCAATGGCTGAGACAGCCTCTATACCGCGTGGTACTGTAGAATCGATAGATGCGGTACCATGAGTGGGAGGGTATTTTTGTCTTTCTCCCCGCATCGCACGCATCTTGCACGTTGATCTCCTAGCCGTCGCACCTGAGCGGCTGCATCGGCATCGGCACCAGCGCCGCCGTGGTGCCTCGCATGCAGCTACTAGCACCACGGGAGCCGCTGCCGCACGGGCCCCTGCTGTTGGTCGCAAAGACGGCCAGGAACTCCTCGTCAAGCAGGCGAGGTCACAGTTGGCGTCATCTTCGTCTTCGGGCCTGTTTGGCACAGCTCCAGCTCTAGCTCCACCCCTCCTGGAGCTGGAGCTCAGCCAAACAGTTTCAGCTCCACCAAAACTGGGAGTGGAGTTGGGTGGAGCTCTCTCACAAAATACACTAGAGTTGTGGAGCTGGGTTTAGGCAGCTCCACAACTCCACTCCAGACTTAACTCCTGGAGTTAAATTTAGGAGTTGGAGCTGTACCAAACAGGTCCTTCGTTGGGGCCACAACGAACAGCGAATAGCAAACAGAACCGGCGCGAGGTCGCGATGGAAGGGGATGGAACAGCGTCCGATGGAAAGTCCTTTTCAATTTTTCATAGCTCTTTGTCCCTGTTCCTGATTATTGATTTTGGTTTCTGTCAGTAAATTTGACAGCCAACCGATGAACTGTCGATTAATTGTTCGGTTGTGTCCACGTATACATCACTTTTTTTTGCAACCTTACACATATACCTCACATTTTCTCAAACACGTTACTGGACATTTAACTTCTCGCTCATTCAAAATGAACTCGTCAGCCGTCATACCGGTTATTCCAAGACAACTTCATGGCAGTGCTGGATTCACTGTTTCTCCCTAAGTAGCAAGGACTTCCATTCACTGTTTTAATCAACTCGACTAAAACCTTCCTAACTATCATGATAGTGCTGGATTCCAGATTCGATCTCTCAACCTGCTCATATTTCACCTGGATTAAATAAAGGGTTGAAAAAATATCTAGCTTATCCTATCTTAATACAATTGGATGGCTAACTCCTTCTAGCCATCCCAACAATTTTTTTTAAGTAAAACCATAGTATCGATTTTGGTATGCACTCGAAAAATGATAGTGGTAACCTTCCTAACTTGCCTCTTATGCTGTAGTTATTTCAGTAAGGTGATGAAAAATTCTTGTCAAACAGATTAACTATCCCCGGATCACCTTTGAACAACATGGTTTTCCGCGTGGAATTTCATTGTTTGTAGCAATGTCTTTATCCTGGTTCTGTCCCGTATTCAAAACCAATTCCTGCCCATACTTCAACATTTAATATTGACTAACATAATACATCCCTCCTTAGTACTTCACCCATTTCATAATATTCATATGGATGTGGAAAATCCATATGAATATTAGTGAATCTAGACATACAACCATATAAATATGAAAAATATTACAATGACTTAGTTCTTCTTATACAAGGCGAAGCAAGCTGCTAGCGCGACGGCTGGACCGTGGTGATTCTGGTGAAGGTGCCATGCGAGGTCGCGGTCGGCGGGGCACGCGCAGGCGGTAATTCTGCCAGCATCTTTTGGGGTTTCTTTGTGCGGCATCCTGCATTACTTCTATCTTTAAAAAAATCTATTTTTTTACATTTTTTTTACAAAATTCTAAGAGCAAGTTTAATAGTGTAGCCCACTATTAGCTCCAATACATCTATAGCTGATCTAATAGCCTATTCATACAATAGTTGCTTACTATACTATTAACATATGGTCCCACCTGTCATACACGTATTATGTTTTGGAGTCCGTGCTGCAGCTGGCTACAGATCTGTAGCCTGCTGCTCTTCTCTATTATCTTTTATATCATTAAAATATGTTTATAGCTGGCTAATAGTCTGCTATTGTACCTGCTCTAAACATAGCATATGCTCATATTCATGGATAAATAAGCCCAAATTCATGTATAAGAGTTATTCTTTTATAAAGGGTACAACCTTCCAGTTTTTCTCTGCCAAATGCCAGAGTTTTTGTTCTTGGGCCGTGTTTAGCTCTAAACTTTTTTTTAAAACTTCCAATTTTTTCATCACATCAAAACTTTCCTACACACATAAACTTTCAATTTTCCCATCATATTGTTCTAATTTTAACCAAACTTCCAATTTTGATGTGAAAAACACAGCCTTGGTAACCAATAAGCTAGCCATCCTTATTGTATACTCCATCCGTCCAAAAAAAAAAAGTCCAATTCTAGATATGTGACTAGATTCATCTATAGAATTAGACTTTTTGGGACGGATGGGGTATTTTGTAGTTGGTGACAGTTGTGATACAGTAGCTGTCGGCACGGATCCGCACAAATCATGCTCCCCTGCCGTCAGTACCACTCAGTTTCATTGTCCATTTTAACACCCGACACCTGTGCTAATTCTGGGACCATGTTGATGCTGGTGTGGGCTCCCATCGGATGGACTATTCAACTAAAGAAAAAGCCAAAATTTAAATTTTCAAACTAAATTTTGACATTGATTTTGAGATATTTTTAACGTAGTTTCTTTTTCAGCATTGACTTTTAAGGCACTCCGAACACATATATAAAAGTTTTACCTATAAATTTATTTTTATTCTATTGCAGGGGCGGCGCACGCGGGTGGGCGCGGTCGGCGGCCGGCAGTGGACGAGCTGTCTAGGCTTAGGGGATTGTTTTTTTTTTCAATTTCAGATCTAGAGTTGAATGCTAGCCAAACACTTAGCTTGTTCCCAACTCCCACTGGAGTACGAGTTTAGAGTTAGAAGTTAGAGTTTGGAGCCCTACCAAACGGGGCCTTAACTATTGTGATTAGGATCGTCTTACTAACGATGCATGCTCTCTTATGACACATGTTACTACTAGTCATTCTGTGAAACTTCAGGGCTTTCGACTATGCTCTCTCTTCAGTCTTAGTGGTTCTAAAATCCATTATCACTTAGGGTCATCTATGGTCATTAGCTGGCGTTGCTTCTTTTGGGATTTTCTTGGGAGGGTAGTGTGATTTTGCCTCCTTCCTGCTGATTGGAGTTATGTTTAGCGGTCGTAGTAGTCTCTTTCTTTTTTTCTTGGTCTGGTCGATTTAGTTGTGTAAACAAATACTCTTTTCTTTTAATTTATTAATGTTCTTCTAATATATTAACGTGTAATTTTTTTACGTGTTCGCGGAAATTTTATGGTGAAGACAGAAAGCTAAAGCTAGAGATGGAATCTAGCAAGATAAGTGAACGTGCTTAACAGGATGCATTTGGTGACACGCAGTGCTCGTACTCCATAGCACATTGTTTTTGACGTGTGACCATTTCTTTGCCTCGTCCATGGATTCTACGTGTTGCTGTATAGGAGAATTCCCATGCCCATCACCATCTCGTTTTCTAGAGTGCACGGCAAAACCGAACCAACTTGCATATAAATGCATTACCATCGGTGTATGCTGACTGCGTTCGGTAGGCATGCACGATGCGCGGTCTTCTTTTTGTCAATGGATGCGGTAGTATATTAGGTCCTGGTTTTTTCGGCTCACATATTATGTACCAGTGTTATCACCGGCATATTTTCTAAGCTGCTTAATGGTACTCTTTTTGTTTCATATTAAGTCTTTTTGATTTTTTTTCTTTGTTAAACTTCTTTAGGTTTGACTAAATCTATAGAAAAAAATAGCAACATCTACACACACCAAATTTGTTTATTAAATAGTGTTGAATATATTTTCATGATATGTTTGTTTTGTGTTAAAAATATTATTGTATTTTTCTATAAACTTGATCAAATTTAAAAGTATTTGACTAGAAAAAAAGTCAAAATGGCTTACAATATGAAAAAGGAGGGAGTATATTTTTTTAGAAAATCTTTTCTTCATCAGCACATTTAGGAAACGGTTTTAAAATCAAATTTTTAATATTTCGTACATTCGCCTCTGTTATAGATATCTTGAATTATTATTTATAAACCAATTTTACCCCTCATCTATAAAGAAAGAACCGGACAATTGTGGAACTGTGGACTGGAGTACAACCAAACTGAAATAGCGTTTCGTTCACAAATATTGCTAGCTATTTAAATACAAAATAATAATTTGTCGTGGAACACGCATCATTTTTGCAAACAAATGGAAAGGGAAATTTTGTATTTATATGTAGTTGTGTAACATGCCACCTACTCCCTCTGTCCAAGCATACCAAGCATTCGGAATTTATCTGTAAATACAAACATTTCAATTTGCATCTCATTTTTTTCCCTCATCTTACCCTAAATCATCCTATCATTCAATCCATATAACGAGGGACACCAAATGTTTTTTCTTGCTTAACCTCAGGTGTTGTTATTTTCTGATTAACATACATATTTTACCTCAATTTTTGTTAGCATGTTTTTCAGTTTAGCATGTTCTGTGCAAAAACTTGGCTTTAAAATATCAAATAAATCTATTTTTCAAGTTTATAATAATTAAAACTCAACTAATTAAGTGCTGATGGCTATCTTGTATTATGTGTGCCAACTTCATTTTCACCTCAACATCACTTTAATCTCTACTATTAACCAAAATATGCCTGTACTACCTCCTTTTTTTTAATGTATAACTCTAGTAACTTTTCTTATAACACTTAACCGTTCGTCTTATTAAAAAAATAGTATAAATATATAAAAGTATAAGTTAATATTATAATTTCTTGGTAATCAAACAAGTCACAAAACAAATAAACTGTATTTATGTATTTCTTTATTTTTAAATAAGATAAACAGTCAAACTCCATATAAAAGTTAACGATGTTATATATTAAAAAAACAAATATAGTATTTGTAGACAAAATGAGTATAAACTTGTAGCTCTCGTTCGAGCTCCAAATCAAAAAAGCTCCCATAAAGCCATACCGCTCGCGGATACCGCCTCTAGTTCGTCACCTCGATTAGCCCCAGATCCCAAGAAAAGAACAAAGCGATCCGCTCCCTCGCCTCGCCGCGGCATTTTCACAAGCACCCTCCGCGCGCCGCGCCGCGCCGCCGCCGCCGCCGCCGACACCGTCGCGAGAGGGGGTAGGGGGGGATGGGCTCGCTCCCCGTGTCGTCGCCGGAATGCGCGCCGGGGCGGCGGGTGACGGTGGCGGCGTCGGACCTGGCGCCGCTGTTCGGGGCGCAGCGGCGGCACCTGGACCACTTCTTCGACCGGCTCGACCTCTCGCAGGCGGCGGCGTTCGCGCAGGCGCTGGTCGACGCCCCCGGCGCGGTGTTCTTCACGGGCGTCGGCAAGTCCGGGATCGTGGCGCGGAAGCTGGCGCAGACGCTGGCGTCGCTCGGGTTCACCCGCGCGGGGTTCCTGTCCCCCGTCGACGCGCTCCACGGCGACATCGGCTCGGTCTTCCCCGGCGACCTCCTCGTCCTGCTCTCCAAGTCCGGCGCCTCCGACGAGCTCCTCGCCCTCGCGCCCTGCGCCCGCGCCAAGGGCGCCCACCTCATCTCCCTCACCTCCGCCGCATCCGGCGCCGACTGCCCGCTCGCCGCCGTGTGCGATCTCAACGTGCACCTTCCGCTGCAGGCCGAGGTGTGCCCCTTCGGCCTCGCTCCGGTGACCTCCACCGCCATACAGATGGTGTTCGGCGACACCGTCGTCGCCGCCATCATGGAGGCTCGCCGCCTCTCCAGGGACCAGTACGCCTCCAACCACCCCGCCGGCAAGATTGGCAAATCCCTCATCTTCAAGGTAAACCTAATTGCAAAGCTACATTGCCGTCATTTCTTGCATTAGCAAATTGATTATTACTACAAATTTAGTACATTAGTTAGATCTCAAAACTTACTGATACTAAGATCTTTTACTTTATGAGTTGCTTGTCGGTGCGATCAGTTATGCGATTTTTCCAGGGTGGAATGTTGAACTCATAATAAAGGCAGAACGTGCTGGTTATGACAGCATTTCTGTCACTATCCAAACAACATTTTATTTCTTTTTGTAGTTACTCGTCAGAGTCTTTTTCATTAGGACACTCAGGTTGCAATGAATAGGAGTCCTTATTCACAGGTCATTTTCACAGTATTTGCAGCCATGGCAGAAGATGCTGGATGACACCTTTTTTTTTGGGCATGATTCTTGATGGTTAGCTTGTGGAAGTTATGGTTGCTATTTTTTCTCATGAGTGCTAATTACCAGTAAATTTGAGTCATTTTATCCTTGAATTATTGTAAGAAAATGATCAATTATTTCCTTGTATAGATCTTTGGAATGTTTTTGTCCTAGGAGCCTATTTGGGTATGGCACATTTGGATCCAATTCCACAGGATTTAATTTAAATTTGAACTGAAACCCAAAGATTCCAAACACCCTAGTCAAATCATGACAAAATTTCACTATGCAGGTTAAGGATGTTATGAAGAAGCAAAATGAGCTTCCATTGTGCAAGGAGGGAGATATGATCATGGATCAACTCACTGAACTCACTAGTAAAGGCTGTGGGTGTCTACTTGTGGTTGATGATGAGTACCATTTGATCGGAACTTTCACTGATGGTGATCTCCGGCGTACACTCAAGGCAAGTGGGCAAGCAATTTTCAATCTGACAGTTGGAGAGATGTGCAACAGGTTTGTCTATGCTCAGTCTTTATGATTTATTAGTCCTTTATGGTAAAAATAAGGTTTTAGATAACTCGTACAGAACCAAAAGCACCATACAACTGGTTTTCCTACTATCTATTCTTAGTTTTAGTTTTGTTTTCTTAAATTATTGTGCTTCTCTAATCTTCAAAGTCATTTTAAGTGCTCTTTTTGGAGGCAATAACCTGAAAAATGGCAAGCTGAGCCATAGCGTCCATGGTTGGGCGCCTGGGCCATAAGGAACTTAAAAAATTATATCAAGTGCTAGAACGCACATAAAAGATCATGATAAGGGACTCCTCTTTTCTTTCCCTTATCTTTTAACATGTGGTTTTCCTGAAAATAACACAGATCAATTTACTGAAAGTTATCTTTGTATTATTAAGCTACAAAGGTGGTGACATTTCTCCAAAGAGTTGTGGTTCTTAAAAAATATACCCAAACTGTGCTCTCTTGGCAACATTCATTTATAGTTCCAGCAGGTCTATAGAAATGTTAGCATCCAAGAATTAAGATAAGTTTTCAGCGAGAGTTGGTTAGTGAGTGATTTTTTGACAGTTAATTTCCTTTTTCAGGGCTAGTTTTGGTTTTTTTGCTCTCCTATTCACTGATCACATCCTTGTGTTTTGCACAATTTCATCTAATTTTATCGTCGGTGCCCCCTAAAAGAATTCCGCTCTGATGTTATATGGTTCACAAGATCTGTTGGGCTGCTCAATAATGTATTTCCTGATACTGCGGCGTGTTGTTATAAGATCTGGTGACAGAATTTTGTCAGTTCTCTGTTTGCCCAATAAAGGGCTACAGCTATCAACTAATTATGTCAAGAAACTTTTATTGAGATGACAGTTCAGTCTATAGAGCTGTGCTGGTACAACTCTTGTTGTAGAAGCATTGGCCAACTGATGTATTTAGGAGAGTAGTTGTCAACTTGGGACCAATGGTAAATTTCATTTTTGAGTGATTGAAGGCAAGCAAAGGTCAGTTGAGTCTACGTCGAGTTGAGAGCACTGTTGTCTGTTGATTCTAACGTCGGTGATAGAGGCAAATGCTACGTGTAGAATTCAGAATCGTTTGGAAGTAATCGTTCTTACAAATCTTTCTGGAATCAGTTTTGACCATGATATATAGCCTTCCTCTTAAGTCTAAACATGTTTGTTGATCTTTCAGGCACCCAAGAACAATCACCGCTGATGCAATGGCAGTACAGGCCATGGAGAAGATGGAATCGCCCCCTTCTCCGGTGCAGTTCTTGCCAGTTGTTGATAGCAACAACGTTGTCTGTGGGATCATCACATTGCACGGATTGGTCTCAGCTGGACTATAATCTTTTCGCCTCATCTCCTTGCGATTCTTTGCAAGTATTTGGTCCAGTACATCATCACGCTGGTTGCATGGATTCTTGTCAAATGGTGACGCCTTATCTTTGTACTAGTACGTGTAGCCTAGAGTGTTAAAGAGGCATTGTTTACCAGTGTCTCCTACGTCTAGTGTTCTAAAAGAGCAATGTGACAGTTGCTCGCTGGATGAATGTACCCTTCCCTCTGTAAATGAATGTGAGTTTAAGATGCAGTGGAATAAAAAGTTTAAGCCTAAACAAGCAGACATGTTATTTGGTTTAGCTTTTTAAAGCCATAAACCACTCCTACACTGTTAAGCCAAAAACTACGTTTGAGTAGTTTTGCAAGACTCCACCATTTTGCAAATAACATAAGTCACATTCAAAAGGAAATGAATGTGAGTTTAAGATGCAGTGGAATAAAAAGTTTGAGCCTTAACAAACAGATATGTTTTTTGTTTAGCTTTTTAAAGCCATAACCACTCAACTACGTTTGAGTAGTTTTGTAAGACTCCACCATTTTGCAAATAACATAAGTCACACATTCAAAAGGCACAAGGTGTCAAACGCAATGCATAGCTAACTGGAGTAGAATTTTGCAACTAGTAGGCCTGGTGAAGTTCAAACATGCATTGAACAAACACAACCCTTCATGGTGTGCTCAATCTGTGACATTCGATCTTTAGCTCCATGAATCTAATAGATATCTCCTAATTCGATTTCGTGGAGAAAGTGCAACAGCATCCAAATTTTGGTAGCGATGATGTTCAAATCCCTCCATGCTGCTGGTGCCTACAAGGGAGCTTCACCTTTCCCACTCTGAATCTGGGTGTGGGCGCTCCACCCTGGGCTTGCTAGCTGGTGATGGACTTGGCTGGTGATTAGTCAAGGCCTGGTCCCAGCCCAAGATGTGCGGCAATGCGAACTGCACATACACACACTAATCAACCACAAAAACACATGGAAGAAGCCCTAAGCAGAATCTTTTTAAGATAATGGATTCAAAACCTGGCAGCTACAATTACATACCTAACCAAATATAATTACAAGGAAGAAATATGTTATATGTATATAGCAGCCTCAAGTGGCTTGTCGTGGCAATGAGTGCTGCCAATGTCATTACTATGATATGATAAATGAACAATGCCACCGAGTAGTGTGTCATTGCCAATGAAGCGGTAGCATAGAGCTGCTTAACATAATGCATGCATGATTCCGCTAATGAGTAAGGACTAAACCATCTGGTAATGTTGATACAGTAAAATTAGAATATACATAACACATTCACAATGACATTAATACTGAAGCAACAACAGAGGCAATAGACATAAGGTTTTTATTAACTTGTTTAAATGAAGCTCTGATGTATGCCACGAAACTGGTACTATACACTGGCATGAACTGTTTCAATATAAAGCTATGATAAAAACAGTAGTGCACCTAATTTATTGATGTCTTTAAGCTTAGCTACATATTGACTAACTGGACAAAATTATAGTTTAGCAACAGATTTCAAATGGCAATTTGGAAACTTACACTCAATGCTGTGCGCATAACTGTAAACTCAGCTTTTGAGATTGGGAGTGAAAGTCGCTCAGTTGTCTTCTGCAAGTTGTTCAGAACAGCTGCAAAGAAGATTCTGTGATGTATCTGTCACTGAAACCATGGTGTACAAGTTGATAACTGGCTATTAAGCAGGAATAACTTCTTGTACTCTTTTCATTTCAGGCAGTCATTTTAAGAGTTCGCAATGAAAACCAAGTCAATAGTCAAGACAGGCATAACTTTAACCACATAAACTGCAGTGTTGGTTATTATACAAGTTTTAATCACTCAGTCAACTTTAGATCCTGTTAGGTATTATAGCTGAGGGTTGCCACAGGCACATGCCATAGCTTAATATTCCGCCATGCTAAATGTCAACTAATCACAGACATAAAATTCTTATGAAAGAGAACTAGTATAACGACTCCATGGTCAATAGTTGTTCATGATGAAAGTGTTTGTGGTAGCCACTAGCCAGAATGCCTGCAACACTGGATAGTGGATACACCCTTTAGCACACAATATAATTATAATGTAATTACACAGGCATTCCAAAAATGCTAACAGAACATCTCAAGATGTCAACCGATTGATCAAATCATCAAATGATATTTGACCAATTTGACCAATGGCAATGTCACAAATGAACATAAGAAACAGGGGTATACTGGTAATAAAATAAAGCATGTTTGATACGTTACTAAAGCCACTTACTTATATTCAGAAAGTATCCACTGTCATTGCCGAGAGGAGTGACTGACAACGATTTTTTCACTTGGCCTTCATGACTGACAAAAGTGAAGAGGGTAAGGTTAGAAGGCCATGACTTCAAAGCATAAAGCATCTACAAACAGTACGTTTGTTACAAAGTTATAAACAAACCTTGATTTCATGGAGGGATCATGGAAAAATTCACAAGATTCAGCAGGCCCAAGACTTATCAAGCTTCCGACTTCAGTAGGTGACAGAGCAAAGAGCTGTAGAATAGATGTCGCAGATAAACAAAGTTAATAGAACTTAGTTTTAGAGAGAAACAAAGAGCAATCTGGTCACTACTCCTGTATGGAGCGTAAAAACCCACAAAGTGTAGAGCAGAAGTGACAAAACTCAAAAAAAGAAAAAAAAAATCAAGCAGTCTTTATTACCAGATATGATCCTATGATCATCACTACAAAAAGGCTCCCTCCCTCTCATGACTAAAGTGAGATTGAGCACATACAGTTAAATCATGTGTACCAATTAACTTGGTAGCTGGTGCATTATTTGTAGCAAGCATCATGCAAACTCATTTATATTGCATTAGATGCTTATAAAATTGCATATTTTCTTGAGTGAACCAACATATAAAGTATTGGCAATAGCCAATAGGCTATGGATCTACGCTGCTTTGGTTTTCATAAATAAATTTCTTCCATATGAATTTGACATTATTTCATCCCAATATGGATACAATGTTGATGTGACTAGCGATTATCAGTGGGTAGGCATATTTTATTGCCAGGAAATATCAAGTACTCAAGAAATATCATTACCTGTTTCTTTGAATAATCATATTTCCTTTGTCCCACAGCCGGGAAAAAAGTCAACATCACCGATCCATTTTTGTTCACACGAGATCCTCCAGACTGATGAAATAGGAAAATTAGATAGTGCAAATTTGGAATTGTATGTTAGAACACAAACAAATAAAAATGTGCATACTTCCAGTTTGCTGAAGCTTGGCAGTATGGGTTGCATAGAAAGTGCAGCCTTTCCCTTGAACACGGTGTAGCTTGCAAATTTTCTACCAGATGTGTTCTCTGCATAAAGATAGTAAACAATATGTTTATTAGTATGTACACTTTTGATAAAATTAGCAACTTTGACTAAAGTGTATAAAGGAAAAAGTCTTCACCGTCTGCTGCAAATGTTGAAAGAGCATGTTGGAAAGTCAAAGAACCACTCCAGAGAGCATCCTTTAGGTCAGTGACTCTCCTGAGAAGGGGGAATACACTTATTGGAGCAGGTGGAAAGAACAGAACCATAACACAACAAAGGATTGACTTGAAGATACCATTGTAAGATTGGTTGGCCGTACTACTTAAATTGCCATTCACTATATACATTAATTACTACGCGAGAAAAAATGAACTACAGAAAACAAATTAACCAACTAAACCAGCATGAACTTGATCAGCTCCAAACAGGATGCTAAGTTGCAGCACAGCCTTGAATTTTCCAATTGCATGTCCAGCAGCACTGCATTCGATCGTTACTAAACTTTACTGTAAGAATCTCGCAAATAGTATTGTTACGTCAACACAACAGGTTCGATTTGTGTCTGGGAACAAGAGATCAGTATTATTCACGCACAACTTGTAACAACAAAATAAGTAAATAACAATCAGCTCAGCACCACCGACCGATTCATCACTACCCAAACACGGGTCCCGTGGGTCAAACGGGGATACAAGTGACTGGGAAAGTACACCGCTGACACTCTGCGCAACTGGAGCAAAACCATAATATAATCTCCTAAAACATCTACAACGTAATTAACACATAAAAACCCATGGCGAAGTAAAACGGGGGAGGAAAAAAAAACACACAGGCCCTAACCCTATCGCCAAACCCCCAAAACCCCACCCCGTTTCACCGTCGATTGCACAAGGCACACCGAACTAGGAGAGAGAGACCACCAAACACGAACCCTAAGATCAACGAACCGGTCGGCACCACGAGTCCCAGACGAGGCCGCCCCTCCACAATCGCACAAACGGATGCACCAATGTCGCCGCCGCCGCGGCTAGGGCGGCCGAGAGAGCGAGCGCGCGAGCGCTAGGGTTTAAGCTAGGGTTTAGGGTTTAGGCGGAGACTGACCTGGAGGAGGAGGGGACGAAGCGGGAGAGGCGCTGCATCGTTGGCCTTGGCTTTCCGCCGCCGTCGCGTTGCCCACCGAGAAGCGGATGCCGAATGGAATGGGAGAAGAGGAAAAAAGCAGCAGGGAACGCGCCGCTTGTCTCGGGAAGCCAGCCGCATCGGTGGCGGCGCTTGCGGGCCTGGCAGGTGGGCCAGCCCACGGCCCAATCCGGCCTCCCCGGCCCAACAGCCATTAACGAGTGGGCCATGTCTCACAACTCACTATTACTCCCTCTACCAAAATATAAGTTTTTTTTATTGATATAGTATTCGAGATACTATTTTGACCAATAATATCAGATGTTTTAAATAAAAAGAGTTGCATATTACTCCATCCATCCTAAAATATTTGACGTCGTTGACTTTTTTAATCATGTTTGACCGTTCGTTTTATTCAAAAAATTTAAATATTTTTTAATTCTTTTCCTATCATTTGATTCATTGTTAAATATACTTTTATGTATACATATAGTTTTATATATTTCATAAAAAATTTTGAATAAGACGAACGGTCAAACATGTTTAAAAAAGTCAACGGCGTCAAACATTTTGGGACGGAGGGAGTATGATAGTTTGTTTAATAATAAATCTAGTAACATTAATTTTACATGATTAATCTTTTTTATTATTTTACTGTTAATGGTCAATGTTAAAAATATTTGACTTGTCACTATGCTAAAAATGTGTATATTTTTGTACGGAGGTAATACTATTTTTTTAAAAAAAAAACTTTAGCGATGATGATGACAGATATCAAGTTTTTGGAGAACAATGTGGTATGTGAAGTTGAAAACTTTGAAGTAGTTTGCATATATTGATAGTTACCTCAAGAGTTTTATTTGCAAGAATTTTTCAGTTTCGCGGGGAAAAAGTTTTTAAAAGTCGGGTTCAGTTCTTGAATATGAACTGGAAAATGCATGTTTGTCCACTTGTCCTTGCTGCTGTATGGCAGCTAATTCCGGTTTATGTTTGCTCTAATTTACAAATTACATTCATCTCTCGAGACCGATTTCGTGCTCAATTTCGCGTGCATGAATAAGATATAATTCATGGAGGCGACGATCAAATACACAGCAAGAAGTCGAGAAGAGATCGGGGAAAAAAAGACGGCGGATTCGTGGCTATGGCTAGTAGTGAATTGATCACTAAGCTTAGTTGGCCTTCTTGGTGGTGGCGCCGGCGGCGCCGCCGCAGAAGGCGTCCCGGTTGGCGGCGGCGCCGCCGCGGACGAGGAAGTGGCCGAGCGACGGCGTGGCGGTGGCCTCCACGCGGTTCTCCGGGCACAGGAACTCCCTCGCGCACGCGATCTCCACCTCCCGCTGGTAGTCGTGCACCAGCACCTCCGTCTCCGACCCCTTGGTCCTCGCCATCACCGCCGCCGAGAAGATCGCCGACATCCTCCCCGGCGACCCCTCCGTGAACCTACACACATCCAACATGACATCATCAGTGTTAAAATATAAAGTGAAATTGTTCGTCCTTGCTCACCAGCTTAAGTTCCTAAGAGCAAGTTTAATAGTACATCCCACTACTAGCTTCAATTCATCTATAGCCAATTCATACAATAATTGCTTATTATACTGTTAGTATATGGTCCCACCTATCATACACACATTGCGTCTTGGAGTCTGTGCTGCAGCTGGCTACATATCTATAGCCCGCTGCTCTTCTCTCTCATCTTTTATCTCATTAAAATATGTTTGTAGCTGGCTAATAGCCTGCTATTGTGCATGCTCTAACTAAACAGATCAGTACATATCAGAACCAGATATCTCGTAATCGAATCCTAGTTAGCGCACGCTAGAGGCTTAAGGGAGAGGGTTGGAATATAAAATAAAAAAATGCTATCGATAAATGTTCAATTTCAAAAAATATCATCATACAAGCCATCATACGAGGGACTTTTTTTTTTCAGAAATATCATCTTAATTAGGGTTTTGTTAGCAGTCTTCCGTTAAGATGGATGATATTTCTTGGATATGAGTGTTTTTCAATGATATTTTTTAGATTTTCTGTAAAATAAATTGTTTGTCTTTTCTCATCGGCTTATGGTTAAAATGATCGGTGCATACAACTCAATAAGCAACATTATCTTTTTTTTAAAAAAAAGCAGCAGCATCCATGGCCGCACATTATGCAAGGCGAGATGGACACGGAGGTAGTAGGTGTTTGTTTGCTCTTACCCGCTTGGGCCATCGACGAGGATGACGTCCCAGGAGACGTCGTAGAGCTGGTTGGGGAGGTCGTTGATGGCGAGGCGGCAGTCGGAGAAGAGGAGGTTCTGGACGGGGCGGCAGTCGGCGGACTGGGCGGCGCGGGCGGCGTCGAGGAGGTCGGGGAACTCGCGGACGGCGGTGGCGTACGAGACGTCGTACGCCTCCAGGCCCGGGAGCGCGCCCTCCACGTGCGCCACGTAGAACGGGTTCTCGTCCAGGAACACCGTCCGCCCGCCGTGGTTCAGCGCGCGCCACAGCGGCGTCTCGGCGCCGAGGCCGAACACCAGCAGCCTGCACGGCGCGCGCCGCCGGAGCACCGACGCGATCGCCCGCACGTCCTCCTCCGGCATGCTCGCCGTCGCGTTCGCCCCCGCCGCCGCCGCGTACTGCACCAGCGCGTCGAACACGTACGCCGGCAGCCCGCCCGCTGCTCCCACCGCCGCCGACGCCGCGGCGGCGCCCGCCGCGCCCGCGACGGTGAGCCTCGCGCGCTGCGGCAGCGCTGCGCCTTCCGACGCGGCGCGCGCCGTGGAGAAGACGGTGAGCAGGGACACGCAGGTGAGCAGCGCGAGGAGGAGCGCGACGAGCCAGGCGCAGCAACGCCGCCGCGAGCCGAGGAACAACGGCATGGACGCCGCCGACGGCCCCGGCGACGCCGCGCCGGACAGCGACACCACGCCGTTGTACCCCTTCGACGCCGGGTGCACGACGAGCAGCTTCGGCCCGGACATCCCCTTCATCTCCTTCCTCCTCTCGCCGCCGCCGCCACCGCCGCAATTCTTGGCTCCTCTTCTTCTTCCTCCTTGCCTCACTGACACACAAACTGTCTGAGCTTGTGTTCTTGAGTGAGTACTTGGAGTGAAGGATAGTTGCATATAATTATCTGGAGCTTGTGTTCTTTTGTGTTTAGTAGATGAGGTGATGAGGAAGGAAGAATGGTTCACCAGACCTGACTGACATTTCAGGTTGGAAGAAAGATGGAGGTTGGGATGGATGGGATATAGAGGCAACAAAGCCTAGATAGCTTAATTAAGCAAAGTAAAATAAGCTTTGTGATGGATTAGTAGTAGTTGGCAATGTTTGGCAAGAAAGCAAGCTAGTTAAAAAGGAATTCCTGCAAGTTTGCTTCAAAGTGGATCAAACAATTTTCTTGGGTTTTAATGGCACTCCTGTGATTTGGACACAGGAGCTTTCTTTCTCAGAAGAAGACTAATAGCAAAGTCCATAAGATATCACATTGGCCTCTAAATTAGCTATTCAACTGAACTGAACTAGAGTGTGTTAAAGAGAACATATTTGCCTCTAAATTATCAATCCATAAAGCTTCATCAGGAAAGAAGTGAGGACCCATGAGTTTTCAGTATGAAGCACACAATGCCAATATTCCAATCAGCCGATGATGGGAAACATCATTAATTGATTGAGAAGCTGCAGAAGATGGCTCCATATTTTTGAAGGAAATCAGCTATCAGACATCGAACACAAAAAGTCGCAAAAAGACCAATATCATGTTTGGTGAGAAAACACATTGTTGAAGAAAAGAAGACTGAACACCCTCTGACAAGGGTCCTCAGCTGGGAAGATGCTATCAGTGAACACTTGGAATATAAGCCACAGCTGTGGCAGGAACTAAAGTTTGTGGATGGGAGGTGCCTGTCCATGAGCCATCTTATTTTTTTGTTGCCTTCAAGTGAAGCCTCGGCAAGAAACCAAAAAGAAATAAAGAAAATGGCATGGAACACAATAAGCACACTGAGAATCATCTGCAGCCCTGAAATGCCTCAAGCTTATTGGAGCCAATTTCAAGATATTACTAGCAGTTGTTTAATGCGGTAACAACCACATGTGAAAAAAAATGGCATGATCATTGGCTCTCTTAAACAAAGGATTTAGTTGGCAAAGAGTAAACATAAAGTGAAGCTTAACATTTAGGGCATGGTAGCAGGTATGATAGCAGAGTTTTACCTATGGAGTCTTGGTATATAAGAAGGAACCTTACCTGCTTATGGATACTTCACTACGAACAATGGCTGGAAAACTTAGCCGAAAAGGGGCACAGCATCATTTGCTTACTCCAGTACCCGTTTTCTCCCTTGTCTAAGTCGACTGAATGAGAATCTGATAAACATGAGAAGCAGACAACAATGGCAAACAGGCAAACATATAGAGATTTTTTTCCACTTCACCAGCAAAAAAGTACAGGATGAACAGATTACAGGGATATGGCAAGCTTTATCCACACAATGTCCAACATTGGCAATGCTCTTGCCTCGGTGTAACAGAAGATCAAAATCTCACGGGTACCATGATCATTGACTGGGGTGGCCACAGGTATAATTATGGGCATCGCCAGGATCATGCAGTCCCGCACCAGTAGGCCAGGTGCTCATCTTTGCGCGAGGTGCTAAACAGCCCACCACATTTCAAGCAAATGAAGCTGCTGCCGTCAGCAAAAGCATCTAAAATTATCTGCTTCCTTCCACTCTCAGCAAGTATGCAGACTTCATCAGAATCCAGCATCATGACAGGGTCAGAGCCAGGTACTTGTTGAGGATTAGTGTTTGTTGACTGCGACTCTGCTATAGCACATTGTGCAAGCAAAGAAGCGAGATCATCAACACTAGGGCTGGGCTGTGATCTTTGCCTGTAGAGTTCCCGTGCACGGTTCAGCGTCTGCATGAGAGCCTGTTCACCACCTTGGGATCTTATGGCCAAGAGAATCTGCATGATTTTGGAAGTTGAAAATCAATAGAAGGAGATTAATTGAGTTAACAGAATTAGAAAAGGTTTGATACGCAGGCTAAAATTTATGACCTCGTTTCTACAGAGAAGTTAGGCTCAGACAGTTTTAGCTGTCATCATGAAATGTTTCAGCGAATGTGGAAAAGAGATCAGGAATGTACTGACTCAGTAATTAACAAGTATCAGCACACATATCAACGGACAGGACAATGAAATTGAAACGGAAGTACCTAAAAATAATCAAAACTGCAACAGAGCATTGAAAAATTAAACCGATTTATTGATTAGCTTACTATTTCTGTTATCTTAAATTCAATTCATCAGCAAAAGTGAACATTGTGAGACGTATGCATCAATACCAGTCATGTAATCTAGTCACCTTCTTCTCATTCATGTCTTACGTCATAGCAAGTATGTTATACATCTCAAGAAGGTTTAAATGGCCATCTGTGACTAGCAGAGTAATCATTACTCAATGTATATGCATATGAGTTAGGAAACTAAAATATTCAGTGTAGAACCTAATACATCGGATAAAAAGGCTAAGATGCATCAAGAGGCTATTCTTGAATTTAGATCATGCTCCAGATCATGATATGCAATCTGCTTATGTAATATGCGGTCTCATGGAAGCTCAATAGTTCAAACAACAGGGATATAAGTGATAAACTACAAACTAGCAAAGGTTATCAGGTGAGGTGAGGAATAATCCCATTATTACAATAAAAAAGGCTTGGCTGATCAAGGTGAAGCTGTAAATCTACTGGTGTTCTTTTTTTAGATAATGGGTAACCTGGCCTCTACATCCAACGCGGATGTATGCAGCCAATCTACTGGTGTTCTTACTCAGACAATACCAATATGTAGCAGACTAGCACCCTTTTCATAGACATTCCCATTCTCGCCTTAATCAGATGGAGAAACTTTTTAGTTGTTCTACTTTAGGTCTTTAGCATACAATAAAGAGAGAAAATAACAAAATCATGTAACAATTGGGCAAAATTAGAAAAGGAGGGACAAACTCTTAAATTTAGGGAGAAACATCGGAAAAGGAAATCCTGCAGTAAAGAAAACAATCAATGTCTCGAATACTACAAAAATTGTGGTGCAGTTATACGGGAACTCAAGCTTGAATAATTGATTTCTCAAGAATTTTTGTGCATTTGCGCGGGAAACTCTGGCCAGTAGGCCCAACTTAACATTATGGCACTTGGAAGGATTAAGATTTGCATGAACACACTAAATCGGTTCAACTTCCCCGCCTTTCCATGACCGAAATATGAGAACTCATTTGTAAATACTAAATTGAATTACTGATGGTGGAATCAATACAATACAACACTATGAGCACCAGGTATACTGAAACATGCATTTCGCTGTGAATGCATCACTTTGCAATCTTCTTCTCTCTATTTCTTAAGAAAGATGAGCATAACAATACTTAATTCTACTATTTGCTAGTCTAAGAAAGGACATAACCGAAAGGGATAAGTGCAAAAGTGAGAAGGCAGACGAGCACCTAACATCTTCTAGGGCGGATCATACCTAACAGATCCCAAACCCCGTACCCTAAATAAACCCTAGACCTAGAACGAATCACACCAAACCCCTTTTCTCTGTGCGCATAACATCCCGATTTCCAAGCTGGATTACGCCATAACGAAGACCGTCATAAGCTAAATCGAATCACATAGAACACCATGAACCTCTAATCGAATGATGAACCTCTCATCCCCTAGGTAAATCCGTGACGCAAACCTCGAGAATTCCCCATTCCAGCACCGACCGAGGGATCGACGCGGGCACAGCACGCGAAATGGAAGCGGGCCGAGAGAGAGATGAAGAGAGAGAGAGAGAGAGAGAGAGAGAGAGCCTCACCGCCTGCAGCGCGAGCGACGGCTTGCCCTCCTCGAGCAGGACTCGGGCGCGGGACAGCATGCTCCACCCATCCCCTCTCGCCGCCGCCGCCGCCGCAGCAGCCGGCGGCGGAGCCTGCTCGGCCATCGGCTCCCCCTCCGCGGCCTCCATCTCGACGTCGTACGGGTCCATCTCCCACGCCTCGATCTCGCGCCCTCTCTGCCTCACTCACTCCCGATCGACGGGTCGCCGCCGGTAGGCGGGTGCACGGCGGCGGCGGCGGGATGCGGCTCCGGATGATTCCAGGAGTTCGTGAGTGCTGGGGCGGCTGCTTTATTGGAGAAGAGGCGAACTGAAACGGAAACTGCTGCCAGCCGTCCCTCTCTTTTCTCTTGTGGCTGCTATGATGATGCGGGTTTCCACCCTTTTTCGTGCGATGTTGGGAGTTCGAAATTTCAGATAGGCGAATTTATTGAATTTTCGAAGCATGAAATTGACTCAAATAAGTTCATCCTTTTGAAAATATGGAGCAGTTATGAATATGACTTATCACGATGACGGGCATGACTATCTTATGACTATAAATCACACTGACTTGTTGATTGATTGTATGTCATTACACCTATGGGTTAAATGAGGACTCACAAAATTAAACTATATCAAAAACACAATATCCTCGACAAGTTTATGCTTTATACACACTTATACAAATAGGATGAAGATATTGTTTCATTCCGTGTCTAAGTGTGAAGCCTTGTCATTACTCATAAATTATATTTATTGGTCCCTTTACATCATATAATTGTCACATTTATCCTTTTCGTAAAAGGTATACCCACGCACTAAGAGCCAGCGGCGAAACACAACGTGTGTGTGAGGGGGAGGGGAGGGGGACAGGGAAGGGAGGGCTTGAGCTTCCCTACCCTGCTGAATCACCATCGAGAGAAAGATGAGAGGGGAGTGGAATTATTAGGGTGAGGCAGAGGAGTACAGGAGCTGGAGAAGGAAGAAGGAAATGAACTCCCTCCATTCACTTTATATATCTATCTCTGCTAGCGGATATTTCATGTGAAGGCTAGGGAACACTTAGGCCACCGTGCAAATGGCCTCAAGTATGTGAAGACACACGCAAGACCACACACCTTGTATGGATAAAATCACCATACCACATTGTATCGCTGTATCGTTGGTAGACGGTGCTAGGTGGAGCAACTATCCCTTGTCAAGGGCCACGGGACCTCGCGGAAGAGCGACATTCAACAACACGGTGCAAGCAAACCATACGACACGTTTGGCACTTTATGACTATCCTTATAGAGATGTCAAGCTATGCGATATATGGATCTTGTCATTCACCTAAGCATCTCATATGTTTTTCTTGGTTAATGTTGTATATTTTTGGAGCTTCTGTATGATAACTAGTGACAAATTAATGTATACACAAAATTTAAATCCTCCATAATTTTTAATTTTTTGAATGACGACATGATCTTCAAAACATATCCTTCACTACGGTTTTAATTATAATATATAAAAAGTAATTATTTTAAATTTCTAAAGTACTTTTAAAAACCAATCTATACTCTGTGCTCAACTGTCTTAAATTAAATATTGTAAAAATTATTGATACTAAAAAATTATATTGTTTGAATTTGATTTTGTTAAAAACATCAGATATAATGGAACTGGAGGGAGTATGCAAGAGGTTTATATTACATTTCATACCATTCTAAACACAATAGCAAGTACTAGTAACCATGTTCGATATCTGCGGAGATAATTTACTCAAAATTCTCGCTGCTCAAATTAACAACTCAAGTTTCGAAGGAAGAAAAAGAAAAACATATGCTCTCGTCCTTGGGCCTTGGCTGCCACTTGTGCTACGAACAGAGTCACAAAGTCCGTCCGCGGCAAGCGTCACTACTCTTATGTACCCACAGGGACGGCGGCAGCATCACCGGCGAACAAACAGCTCACCCCGCCACGGCCCACGCCGGCGCCAGCGCCGCCACCGTCATCGAGGAGCGCCGCGCTAGACCTCGTCGGCGGGCGCTGGGCGATGTATCCGGATTCCGGCGATCGAGCTTGGCGCTGATGGCATCCATGGCGCCGTCCATCGCCGCCGATCCCCTCTCTCGCCGGCGACACCTCCCTGCTAATCGCGACATGGAAACCCAACTTGGAGCAAATAATCTGACCCCACATGTCAGTGTAACTAACAGGCCAAGTTCATGGGCCGCTCGGTCACATGGGCCACTCTACTACGTGGGCTCTACGAAGTATTTAGGCCCAAGCGGTGGGAAGTAGCAGCGCAGGTTGCCGCCGCTTGGTTTTGCTGGGAGAGTTTAGTACCACCTCGCCCGTTCAGCTAGTTGAGGCGGTCGCGGAAGCTATAAAACGAGGCGGAGGGCTCCGTCCCAAAGCATACCTTTCTCGGCCTTTTGGCTAAGATCAAGTGTAGTATCTGTTCTTATCAGTTTAATATCTGATATGTGGGCCATGTGCCCACTTCGATATTAAATTTATTTTTTGTGGGGGAGGGCCCACTACAGTGGCTTGCCACTGGGGTCCTCGCGTGTCGCCCAGGCGTTGCACTACAGCCTGGGCCTGGCGCACCCCAACCAAATCAAATTTAGAATTTTAATCCTGTAATTGAAAATTTGGTAAAATACTCCGTAATGACTCTAATCCAAAATTAAAGCCGTTCAAGTTTATCGGAATGCCCGAACCAAATCAAATTTAAAATTTTAATCATGTAATTGAAAATTTGGTAAAATACTCCGTAATGACTCTAATCCATAATTAAAACCGTTCAAGTTTCTCGGAATGCCCAAACCTGATCATCTAGGGCTTGGCATCACTGTGCTTTTATCAGAAAACTTGCAGCCAGTATATAGTACGACGTGAAAAATAATTCTATTCCCTTGTTTATTTTCCTTCTATTTATTTTTAATTAATTATTACATCGGAGTGAAGTTCTGTATTTTTAAAAGTAAAAAATAATTACATCAGTAATAGATAAAGTGAAAAAAAATTGTTTTCAAGTTCTGTATTTTTAAAAGTAAAAAAAAATTACATTAGTAATAGATAAAGTGAAAAATAAATTATTTTGATAAGGAGGAAGTAGAAATGAAGATGTTAATGACCAACCATTCTTCAACCCAAATATACATTATTTAATATTTACAAGAGATGCTAAAATTATTTATATATTTTAAAATGGAGGGAACACAATATTACAACGGAATTATGGCGGCACTTAAATCTTCTGTGTGTCAATTACTAAAAAAAGTATGTTCAAATTAATATTAACTCAAATTTCAAGGAATTCAAACAAAATGGAGACAAAATGCTGTCGTATTCCGAAGTTCATGTTCCCTTGGGCCGTGGCCCGTGGCCGCCACCCGAGAGCATCACACTGAACAAGTACCACTCCCACTGCCGGCGCTGCCCCCACCGGCGGCGGCAGCGGCGGCGGCGGAGGCCATGGCTGAGCTGCGGCATTCGACGGTGGCGGCGGCCGCGGCCCGCTCCTCCAACTCCCCCGCGAAGCGCGACTCCGACGCCTCTGCCGCCTCCTCCCCCTTCGCCTCCACCTCATCCGCGCGCGGCCGCGGCGGCGGCGACGACGACGACGGCAAGGATGCGCACCGCTCCTCCCCTCTCCTCCCTCATCACCACAAGCGCCTCGGCTTGCCCTCTCCCCTCCGCTCGCTCCTCGCCCTCGAGGACCCCAGGTCCCCCTCCGCGTCCTCCTCCTACCGGATCTTGTTCGCCCTCCTCGCGTTCCTCCTCCTCGCCGCCACCTTCTCCGCGACCTCCGTTTGGTCCCGCCTCGTGAGTTCCTCTCCTCTTCCGAATTTCGGTTTTCATCAGACTCGCAACTTACCAATGCTTCCTGTTTTTGATCCTAGAATGCGCCCTACTTGTGCCAGAAGGATGGGATCACGCTGCACTGCCCTGAGGTGGAGTGTTCTTCATCTGCACACGCAAAGTTTCAGTGAATGTTGGTGTGCGTCGGGAGATTTGGTCTAAATAATTTGTTTGTTTTGGGTGCAGACGAAGGAAGCCCCCTCCCTATGGGAGAATCCACGTGCTGCTACCACGTCCTGGAAACCCTGTGCAGAGCGCCGCAGCAATGAACCATCAGGCAAGTCCAGCACTCGCATCGCGATAGGCGACAATGCAGCATCTTCACATAGTTTAAAGGAGTTGTAATCTTCATATCAATCAGTCATTTATCCAAAATTCTTTGGGCCCTGAGTGAACTAGATGGTACTCCGTACATAATTTGTCAAACCAGCTAAAATCTGAATTTCCAGTTTTATTTTGAGATTAGGTTGAACTGTGATCCGTAATTTGATGCTAGGTCGCTGGTTTATGAGACATGATCCATAGTTCCATTTCAGATGATTGGTTATGAAACGGCATATGGTGATTTTAATCCGTGTTAACTGTTACAAAAAATTTCAGACAGAAGTTAGGTCGAGATCCATTGTTTCATATAATGTGGTTGATTTATAAGAAAACATATGGCATATTTATTCCATGCTAATTATTGAGACATTGCATATGAGATGTGAGGGTAAATTTAAAATGCAGTTCGCATCCACCTTTTTCGTTGTTAGTGAGCAATATGAGTACATGGGTCAAAATTCATAAATAGGATACTTTCCTTGTAAAGTACTTTGCTAGGTCTAGTTAACTCTATTTAAACGTAAGCTGGTCTTTCTTCTTGCCATGTTTCTTATACTGTCTCTTAATGATTCATTGCAAGCAAGCTTTCTTCAAACTGTGTATACACACACACTTTTGTTTTGTACAATTGTGCCTTCAACAATCATTGAACATCAGTTTCTTGTCATGAGTGACTATAATATATGTCTATATCACGCAGATGTCCCACCTGAGAATGAAACCTCTGGATATATTTTTATTCATGCTGAGGGTGGACTGAACCAACAGCGTATAGCTGTATGTATGCTCTTCTATTTCTCCCAGGCTTCCTCTCCTTATTTTGTCTCAGTGGTTGAGTGCTAAATGTTCGTTTAGATCCTGCAACGGTTTGCTGCCTAAGCATATATTTATCACAATATAATAATGTATACCAGATCTCGTTATTTGAGAACTATTTATCTTATGAGATTAGTTGTTGCAAAAGGACAATTACAGTAGCCTTTCAGTATAATCTATAATTCCTCTTGATAGCATGGTTGCATGAGTTTATTATGATCTACTAAAAGCTGGATTAAGAAAAATATATGTTATCTTGCTGTTTAATACTATTTAATTTCCCCTAGCCCACAGAATGATCATACAGACTTCTTGAGCAGCAGTCATTCGTGTCCTAGGATGGCATTGAGTTCCAGTTAAAGCAGATGGTCTGCATGTTAATTTCACTCATCTCTTGTTTTTTCAGATATGTAACGCTGTTGCAATTGCTAAGATAATGAAGGCAACGCTTATTTTGCCAGTTCTAAAGCAGGATCAAATATGGAAAGACCAGACGTAAGTTTTCAAGTCTAGTGTCTTCTACTTGTCTGTTTCCCTTATGATAGTTAGTGGGTAGTTATATGTTACAAAATTTGCTTCGCTAAATCTCTAATGAAGTGCCCTGCAACTCAGGAGTCAACACACTGTCCACTTAGAATGTGAGAGTTTAGAAATGCAGAAAAAATTGTGTTCTGCCTTGATTTCTTATTTATTCTCATAAATCTAAACAGTTGTCTTAATCTTTCTAATGTTGATGCATTTATGTTGAACAGTTCAGCAGCTGCTGTGGAAAATAAAATTGACTAACTTTTCTGCATAAGTGCGCTTCAAATGTAGTTGTTTCTGATACTTAAAATGAGCATTGTAGTGTTGCACCCTCAGTTATTTTCCCTGAAAAATTCATGACCACTGTAATGTTTCTGATAGTATGCTTACAATGACCATTGTAGTGTTGCACCCTCAGTCATTCTCCCTGGAAAACTCATAACGACTGTAATATAAATTAATTTCTGGCTAGTAAATTAGATAAGGAAACATTTTTATTTTGTGTTGTCAATTTTACCAAGCTAGTACATGGACATTAAGAATCCAAATCAAGGTTGTTTTTAGAACATTTCAATTTATAGTAATAATCTTATAACCGCAGAAGTTTGTGATACGTGCTTAGCTGGTGTTAAGTTCAATTCCATAATGGGTACTGAGTCCCATACCTGGAATAATTGCTAGTTGCATAGAGTCATGAACTCATGATTTTCTTAGTTGCAGTATTTTCTGATTCGTTTCCTTTATATGCATTGTGTTTTGGCATCAGTAATTTTTAAGCACATGTATCTTATGTGCAGGAAGTTTGAAGATATCTTTGACGTGGATCATTTTATAAACTATTTGAAGGATGATGTGCGCATTGTCCGAGACATTCCTGACTGGTTTACAGAAAAAGATGAGCTCTTTACTAGTATAAAGTATGTGCTACACTCACACTTACTCCTTGCATTTACTCTGAACTACCTTTACTTTTGGAAAATCAATGTTACAACAAGTGAATACTGTTGACAATGAGCTTGGCAAAACCATTTGCTATTTTGCTGCCATCATAGCATTTTTTCATGGATTTGGTGAAAAACCTAATACTACTTCCATGCTGTTATACTGTAATTGTCTTGTATCCTTAGCTAGAGTCATTTAAGAATACATTTATTTTATTTTTAAAGATTTTATTGTATACTCATTGGAAGTCCAGAGGACCATCTGAAATATATCCATCAAAACAGTTGTTTCCAAGATTTCTATCAGTTTTCTTGGTTGTCTTTGTTCTATCTCAAGATGATGGGAGAGTACACTTTCATATAACCGTTATAGAATTGATATTGTCATCCCAAAGTCCAATTTAAATCCCCACTGCCTACAGTTTAGTGGAACCAAGTATCCTGTGACTATCTTCTTACCACGAAGTGAAGATCTATGATTAAAACGTGGATTATTTCTTTTTGTGAGCAAAAATGGTTGGAACTGTTCAAAGTCTTTCTTTCACTAGCTGCTGTCCTGCCTTGTTCTCCCTATTAGAATTTATTCGTTTACCTTCTTAATTTCTCATTCATTGTATGCATTGATCTTCTTGTACAGTGATATATATGTTAGAGATCAACAGATTGCACTGTATTCATACCTTTTATTTATATATATTTCACTGTATTTCATTGATCTATCACAGGCGTACTGTGAAGAACATCCCAAAGTATGCATCTGCTCAGTTTTACATTGATAATGTACTCCCGAGGATCAAAGAGAAAAAGATAATGTCTATTAAGCCATTTGTCGACAGGTTGGGGTAAGTCAATAATTGACTGATGATTATTCATACATTTTATTCCGAAATCCAAAATATCAATCAAGTTCAATCAGCTCCAGCACATTATGAAGGGAACATTGTTCCCTCCTTTTTTTGCTTTGTAGTTTCTGATATACTACAATTTACCATATCTTTGCATGGCATTGAACAACCAAAGCCTAACATAAAAACTTCAATTTCAGGTACGATAATGTCCCAATGGAGATTAACCGGCTACGATGCAGAGTTAATTATCATGCACTAAAGTTCCTGCCTGACATTGAAGAAATGGCTGATAAGCTGGCAGCAAGGATGAGGAACCGAACTGGCAGTGTAAATCCGTACATGTAAGCTACCTTAGAGAATACAGCCATCTGCTGCTTGCCCAACCTAACTGAAGTTGGCAACTTAAGTTCATTTCTAATCAAGTGTAGCACTTTCCTTTTGAAGGGCTCTTCATCTGAGATTTGAGAAAGGAATGGTAGGCCTGTCCTTTTGTGATTTTGCTGGGACGCGGGAGGAGAAAGAGATGATGGCTGCTTATAGGCAGAAAGAATGGCCAAGGCGCTATAAGGTCATACAGAGTCCCAGTTGTCTGATGAGTTCAGTCTTTAAACTTTGTAGATGTGAAGCACACATGCTTTAGCAATCTAACAAATTGTCTCTTTCCTGTATTCCCATGCAGAATGGGTCTCACCTGTGGCCATTAGCTCTGCAAAAGAGAAAAGAAGGCCGTTGCCCTCTTGAGCCTGGCGAGATCGCTATCATCCTCCGGGCACTGGGTTACACAAGAGGAACACAGATATACGTTGCGTCAGGGCAAGTGTATGGCGGCAAAAACAGGATGGCTCCCCTCCGAAACATGTTCCCAAATTTGGTAAGCACTAGACATTCGCACTCCCCTTCATTAAAAAAAAACAAAATACTATCATGGCCTTCATGCTCCTGACTAGTGTAGCAGTAGTGATCACTGAACACAGAGTTAGAAAAGCTCATTCTACTAACCCTGAAAAACATCCATGAACACAGAGTTAGAAAAACTCATTCTACTGACCCTGAAAAACATCCATGGGCCTCATTGAGGCATGCTATTTTGGCCTCATGAATGTTTCTAGGGCAACTACAATGATGCCGAAAGGGTTCAATGAGGACAAAATGCTATCATGGCCTTCGTGTTACTGACTGGTGAACTCTGAACCCAGAATAGTCACAAATGCTCATTCTACCGACCCTGAAAAACCCCAATTTGGTGATGTTTTTGGGAAAAAAAAATGATTGCAGCTTTTGAAGCCAATTTTTTTGCCCTATCAAATTTTTGACAGCTTTATTAGTGTCATATGAACATTTTGTTTCTTATCAAATTGAGTATTGTAGTAGAAAAAAATAGCTCAAAACCAACCAAACAATCTCTTTGTTTCGAGATTGAGGCCATGACTGATCGGCTTGTTGGTGCAGGTGACCAAGGAGGAGCTCGCCAGCGCGGCGGAGATGGCGCCGTTCCGGAAGCACGTGACGAGCCTGGCGGCGCTGGACTTCCTGGTGTGCCTGAGGTCGGACGCGTTCGTCATGACCCACGGCGGCAACTTCGCCAAGCTCATCATGGGGGCCCGCCGCTACGGGGGCCGCCACCGGCTCAAGTCCATCAAGCCCGACAAGGGCCTCATGTCCAAGTCCCTCGGCGACCCACACATGGGCTGGGCCGCCTTCTCCGACGACGTCGTCATCACCCACCAGACCAGGGCCGGGCTGCCCGAGCCCACTTTCCCCAACTACGACCTCTGGGAGAATCCTCTCACTCCCTGCATGTGTCCTACAGCCTGAACCCCCCTGATGAATCTTCAGGCTTGAAAGTTCAATTATACAGTTAGGATCACTGGCAGTATAGTGCTAGAACATTTTATGTTCTTGTTTTTTCGTTTTCGTTTTTTTTTTTGCTCACGTAGTCCTATTACTAGCAGGATTTACCACCTCGATTGGTCAGCGAAATTCGAGCCCCAGCGAAGCGTACTCTTTTGCTAATTTTGAACAAACTTTAACATATTTCGAATGAATTATGACCTGAGATGAACGTTTTGAGCCAGCTCATGGTGATAGAAGTCCGCGGATTTTGCTTAAAAAATCGTCGAGATCATGAATCAAGGTGTTTTTTTTTTCCTGAAAACTATGAAAGATTAGGTAAACTACGGTCAGTAAGCTAAGATTAAGAGAATCAGTTGATTGATAATCAACTTCTAAGAAAACTAAACTTTTCAGTTTTTATCTTTTATTTTATTTACTAGATTCTATAGCTAAAAAGTTCTTAAAATCTGGATAATTATAAGAAAAACTACGAGTGCAACGAGGCTTTACAAGCTTCCCAATCAGAGTACTCTACTTTCCTTTTTTGATAGAAATACGCTCACTTTATTCAGATAACATGGCGATCAGTGGAATCCGATCTACCAAAATGTTCACAAATTCTAGGAGGGGAGCAGACCAAACATTTAGTAACGGATAAACTGGATGAACTGGTCCTGGATTGGGCCTTCGTTGGTGAACTCGTTTTATTCCGCAGATGAAGATGTGGACTACTCAAAAAAAAAAAAAAAGGCAAGTCTAACGTTTGACCGTTCGTCTTATTTTAAAAAATATTAAAACATTAAAAAGATAAGTCACGCATAAAGTATTAATCATGTTTTATCATCTAACAACAATGAAAATATTAATTATAAAAAAATTTCATATAAGACGGATAGTCAAACGTTGTCACGGAAATTCAGGGTTTGATTTTTTTTTTTTTGGACGGAGGGAGTAGGTAGTAGATAGTGGATGATTCATCACTCTTTCACTTTACTCGTTGGTTAGTTAAACAAAAGCAAAGGAAGAAGAAAAAAAAAAGCACTAGGCTTACGTTACTACACACGCGGCAGACAAGCAGCCCATGCATGCTTGCTGCTCGCCACGTCCTCTCAACTCGAAAGCTGTTTATAATGCAAACTCGTAGCCTCTCTCGATCCCCGGACACAGATTCATCACCACTAGAATCTTCCACACAAAACTCAGTACAAGATCGGCAATGGCGCAGCAGCTGAGGACACCGGCGGCGGAGGAGGCGCTGCTGCGCGGCCACGCCGCCGGTGACAAGGACGACGCCGTCGCCGGCGAGAGCAAGGACGCGAAGCGCGCGCGGGCGGGGCTCTGCGGCGTGCTCCGGGAGCGGAAGGTGGTGGAGCTGGCGCGCGCCAAGCGGCGGCTGGTGGAGGTCCCCTACACGGCGACGCTCGCGCACACGGCGAACGCGCTCCTCGCCGCCCGCGTCTCCGCTGTCGCAGTCGCCGCGCCGCCGGGGCACTGGATCGGCGCCGGCGGGTCCATGATCCTCGAGTCCGACCCGGCCACCGGCGCCGTCCGCAAGCACTACATCGGCATGGTCAACATGCTCGACATCCTCGCCCACATCGCCGAGGCCGGCGATGACAACGACGCCGCCGCCGATGCTGCTCCCAGCGAGGCCGTCGACCTCGACCGCCGCATGGCCGTGCCGGTCTCCTCCGTCATCGGCCACTCCCTCGAAGGCCTCACCCTGTGGACTCTCCATCCAAACACCAGGTAGTGTCTTCTTGAATTGAACCATACAAATCATTTAATTTCTTTCCTCGCCAAAAAGGGAAGAAACCATTATTTCTTCCTGACAAAATCAGATCATAAATAAATTGCACATTTGCACTAATTTGATTTCTCATCATCGTGGAGTTAATTAGCTGTTGATGTGTAGATAATTAGTGCTTATTCGGGTTGTAGGATTTTTTTAAGGAATTTTAACCTATATATAGAAATAGGAAAAAGAATAGAAGAAATAGAAATACATGCACACTTTAATTCATAGGAATCTTTCAAGAGGTTTAAGTGGTAGAAAATTTTGTATGTTTTCTTTCTACAGCTTGTAATGAAAAATTTCCTTCTGTTTTCCTATACTCATATTCTTGTTACAAACTGAAACCGAATGACACACATAAAAAAATATTTCTTCAGAATTCAAAACCTTTGTTTTTTAGCTGTTGATACGTGTAATTGTAAAAAAAAATGTTTTTATTGACACGTTGTCGGTTGTTGTGAACTACTCCAATCTTGCTCACAAAATTAGACAATAAATAAATATAACTAATTTCTTATTCTAGTATGTGTTAAATTATAATTGTAAAATTACTTGTTAATATGTCCATTTGCAATATAAGTTTGTAACAACATTTTTTTTTTGAAACAACCCGCATAAGATAGTGTGAGTTTATATAGACGTTTCTATTGACAGAGAGAAACAATTTCAGAATGGTGACGCAATTTACGATTGCCTTTTACAATTTGTGTTTTGTGAACTGCAAGTGTGCTGGATTGCATGGAGACGTTCAGCAAGGGGGTGCACCGCGCGCTGGTGCCGCTGGAGAGCGCGGCGGAGAATGTGGTGGCGGCGGAGCTCGTCGAGGCGGCGCCGGGGTACAGGATGGTGACGCAGATGGACGTGGCGCGCTTCCTGCGCGCGCGCGCCGCCGAGCTGGGGGACGCCATCCTGTCGCGCTCCGTGCGCGGCGTCGGCGTCGGCGGCGCCGTGCTCGCCGTGGCGAGCGGCACCAAGGTGATCGAGGCCGTCCGGGCGATGCGCGCCGCGTCGCTCGCCGCCGTCCCCGTCGTGGACGCCGCCCCCGCCGACGACGCCGACGCGCGGCGGATCCTCCTCCAGCTCCAGGACGGGAGGGGGAAGCGCGTCGTCGAGACGTTCTCGGCGACGGACCTCCGCGACTGCCCCGTGGCGGAGCTCCAGGCGTGGCTGGGCGTCGCCGTGGCGGAGTTCAAGAAGAAGGTGGCCATGTACCGCGCCGGCGTTCTCGCCGCCGACGCCGACGAGGACGAAGAGCGGCGGCGGGAGATGGTGACGTGCTCGCCGGAGAGCACGCTGGGGGAGGCGATCGAGAAGGCGGTGGCGCACCACGTGCACCGGCTGTGGGTGGTCGACGAGGAGGGGTTGCTCGCCGGGGTGGTGTCGCTGACCGACGTGCTCCGCGTCGTCAGGGAGGCCGCCATCGGCGAGGACCGGGAGCTCCACGACATCCTAAGCTAGACAACTTTTTTTTTTTTTTGTCGTAAAGACAAGAAAAGTATGTATCTGCACTGCAAACTGCCATGGTCGGCACAATGTGGTTGTTTTCGTGTTGTGAATTTTGCTTTGTTTCCATCAACATCAATGGATCGGTTTGGGCTGGTTTAGTTCTCAATTTTTTCTTCAAACTTTAAATTTTTCATCACATCAAAATTTTTCTACACACGTAAATTTTCAACTTTCTTAACTTTTTCGTTACATTGTTCTAATTTCAATCGAATTTTTTGTTACATTGTTTTAATTTCAATCGAACTTTTAATGTGAACTAAACACGCCTTGGTAACACACTCAAAAAATAATTTTAACTAGTTCACGCCCTTGGTAACACACTCAAAAATTGTAGTTTAATTTGAACTGCACGTACATTTATTTTGGAACCGAAGGAGTTTAATTTGAACCACGCTATTGCTGTATTGCACTGAACTTAATTTTTGGATTATGCACCTACAATCTCTAAGAATCTGAATTTAAAATGCTTCTAATTCAAAAAACTCTCCAAACAGACACAAAAGGGAAAAGTACACCGAAGGTCCCTCAACTTGTCATCGAGTTACAAAATCGTCCCCTAACCGCAAAACCAGATATCGGAGGTTCCTCAACTAACAAAACCGTTCGCTTGAGGTCCTCTGGTGGTTTTGGACCCGGTTTTGTCTGACGTGACAGGTGAGTCAGCGTGGGCCCCACGTGTCAGGCTGCCACATCATCTCCCTCCCCCTCTCTCACTCTTCTCTCTCTGCCACATCTCTCTCTCTCACTCTTCTCTCCTCTCACTCGCTCTAGGGCGGGCGCGGCCGCTGGGGGGCGCCGGTGAGGTGGGCGGTGGCGGCGACAGGGGTAGGGATGAGAACGGCGGGGGAAGGGGAGGGGAGCGAGTCAAGGGTGGTGGGGAGACCTCGTCGGCGGCGAGGCGGCGGAGGAGCACGGCGAGGAGAGGAGGGCGTCGGTGGCCCCCACACCCGCAACCACCCAGCACATGCCGCCGATGCCCGGTGGTCCCTCGCGTGCCTCGACCCGCCGCGGCGGAGGGGCGATGGCGAGGAGAGGAGGGCCGGCGTCGCGGGCGCGTCCGGCAGCCAGCAGGGGAGGAGGGCCGGCGTGGCGGGCACGGTCGGCGGCCGACAGGAGGGAGCGCGGCGGAGAGGAGGGCCGGCGTGACGGGCGGCGGTCGGCAGCCGACGAGGGAGGAGCACAGCTGAGAGGACGCCTCTCTGCTCCGCCCGCGCCCGGAGCCGCCGCCGACGATGAGGGCGAGTGGCGCGGCCGTCGGCGCCGCTGCTCCCTATCCGCCGCCGCCGCTCCCTATCCTCCGCTGCCTCTCAGCCACCGCGCTCGCCCACCGACGCTGCTTCTCCGCAGCCACACTCGCCCACCGAAGCCGCTGCTCCGCCATTGTGCTCGCCCGCCGACACCGCCGCTCCGCTTGCTCTGGCCGCCCTTCTGGTGTGGCGGCGGCTCCTTCGGGGACGAGGCCGGCAGGTTCAGATCGAACGGCAGCAGCGAGCAACGCGAGACGGGGGCCTCGTCGTCGGCGCCCGAGGTGCTGTCCTCGTAGAGCACGGAGGAACAGGAGCTGCGACGGAGAGAGCAAGGAGGCCGCCGTCGTCCTCCACGGCAGCAGGTGGAGAGGTGACGGAGGCCGTCGGAGTGGGAGGGCGGGCGCAGGAGGACGAGGCGGAGGCGGACGGCACCGATAGGGAGCGCGACGGGAGAGCGAGGAGGCCGCCGCCATGGTTGCACATCTGTCGCCCGCGCCGTCGGCGGCTGCGGTGGCGGCGTGGGGGGCGGCCCTCCTACTCCCATGTCGTCGCTGCCGCTGCGTCGCCCGTCGCCCATCGCCGGCCGCCCGACCTCCTCCTCTCCTGCCTCGCTCCGCCAGCCGGCTTGCCGAGACAGCTCGAGAACGGCGAGGGCGGCGTGGAGATGGGGCGGGGGTCGTTGGCTGCGACCCCGGCATGGCGGCCTGCTCACGCGTTGCAGCTGCCGTCGCTGCCTCGTCGGCCGCCACCCTCAGCCCTGTCACGCCGCTCGTGGCTGACCCCTTCAACCGGTCGCCGGCGTCGGCATCAACGGAGGAGGAGGCCGCGGCCATCGCACTCGCGCAGAGAAGAGAAGAGTGAGAGAGAGAGAGGAGGAAGGGAGAGATGATGTGGCAGCCTGACACATGGGACCCACGTGGGGCCCACGCTGACTCACCCGCCACGTCAGACAAAACCGGGTCCAAAACCACCGGAGGACCTCAAGCAAACGGTTTTGTTAGTTGAGGGACCTCCAATATCTGGTTTTGCGGTTGGGGGACGATTTTGTAACTCGATGACAAGTTGAGGGACCTTCGGTGTACTTTTCCCGACACAAAATCAAACTCGGCGATCGAAGTGGGGCCCACGAGGTTTGCCTTGGGCCAAGGAGAGATGAGAGGTTGGTCGGGTTGGTCGTCGTCGTCTCGGTCTCCGGCAAATTTGACCGTTATTTGGCCCAGTCCATAGAATTCTTTTCCCATTGTTGCCCATATTTAAAGGCCCAATTCTTAGCAATCCAGTCTGCGCGGGCATCGTCACGATTTGCCGTGCAACTCTAGCTCATACTCCCTCCGTCCCATAGGTGACGTTTTTGACTTTTTATTTGTAATGTTTGACTATTCGTTTTATTTAAAATATTAATGTAAATATAAAAAAGATAAGTCATATGTAAAGTACTTTTGATAATAAAGCAAATGACAAACAAAATAAATAATAATTCTAAATTTTTTTTGAATAAGACGAATGATCAAACATTGACAAATAAAAACTCAAAAAGACAAGTAATATAGGATGGAGGTAGTACATGTCTTGGGATGTTGTTCGCTCCCCTGCAGGAAGTGCGACGGAGTGACATCGCAAGCTATCCATCGTTCCATTTCCATCCCCTTGTGACATCGGCAATTCGCAACAACAGGATACGGATGCCCCTCTCCAGCCTGCCTCGTCATCCGATCTAATCCAAGTACTATCCAACCCGCACGCCAGAGCAGAGCAAAACGCAAACGCCTCCTCCCAACCCAAAAGCGAAGTGGAGCCCCGCCCCCACATCACATCCACCTCCCGCCTGCCCGCCGCGGCGCCGGAGAGAGACCGCCAGGGACGAAGCCAGGATTTAAAATTAGAGGGGTGTAGAATGAAGATAAACTATGAGACTGAATAATTAATATTGATAGTAGAGGAGGTTAAATAGTCACCATCAAAAATAAGCAATGCGTAAACTAGTACTTTAAGAAAAAAAAATTAAATTTTAGCTCTTTAATAATATCATTGGAAGTTTGAAACTAGTCTTTATTGCTAAATTCTTTTAATGTAAACTATTAAATAATCTCATAAATAAGTATCATCTATTTTACTTTTAAAAAGATGAGAAATCACAAACTAATTTTGTAGATCATGTTTATTGCTAATATTTTTAGACTTGCTAACTAACTAAACTGATAATACTTTTAAGCTACATAAAATAAACTAAATAAATACTTATCTTAGCTAATTTAATATAGAGTAAAAGCATAGGGGTGTAGTGGTGGTAGTGTTTTGATAGGGGGGTGTTGGAGGCATGTAAGTTTCTTTGTCGCTGACATATGAGTTCAACGAATCATATATTCACTTGTTAGTGATAAAAAGCACGATGTTTCGTGTAGGTAGAGGATCTCAATCCGCCACGGCGCCCGTCTCCCGTCGCCTCTTCTTGTGGACCCTGGCTTCCTTGGTCTCACCCAACTTGACCGTTGCGTAGCCGTTGTACCTTTTGTACTACTGCTAGTGCGACGTCGTTATTCTTCCCCACCGGGTACCACCACCTCCAGGCTCCAGCTTCGCATCCACAAGAACCACACACACAAACAGGTCCACAACCCACAAACCCAACTCCACCTGTGTTTGGTTTCTTCTTTGATTCCTCACTGGTTTTTCCCGTGTCCCCTAGTAACTCACCACTGCAAAAGTTTTGGACTTGCATGCACTTTGGAATGTTCCAGTAGCAGTAGTAACCTATCGGTCACTGTAGTGCCAAATGACCGGAAATTCTATTCTTTCCTTATTTGGACGTCTTCTCATTTTTTTACGTATCACTTAAAATTCATAAAATATTTTAACAATATAGATATGATATATTACTCCATAACATACAAGTTAAATTCCCCCCAAAAAAAAAACATACAAGTTAAATTCAACATACAAATACAAACAAAAATAATAAGTTTAACTCCGAATTGAATGCATAATTCATATAGCCAAATTTATTGTTTTTTTTCTAATTATATTTGTCGAATTTGAACTTATATGTTTATAAAATGATATATCTATATTATCTATTTTACTGAAAATTTTGTTGTTTTTTTAGACATTATTCACAACACGAAAAGACATCCACTGAAAGGACAAAAATCCATCTCCGTATGCCTCCTTGCCTTTCACCAAATTTGGCCTAGCTTTTGATCTCCTCTTCTTCAAATGTTACACGCTGCACCTGCACTGAAAAGTGGTGACCACTTTTGCTAGCCGAAAGAACAATCACAATTCATGAGCTACACGCATTGCCTCTACTGTATTGTACTGTACATATGCAGCAAGATTCATGAGATCCTGACTGCCTGCCATCCTGCCTAGCTGTGTTCGTCCTCACAGAGGTTAGTTAGCCGGTCAAGGAAAAAAAACTCATTAATCGCCACTGCTCTGTGTCCTCCTCTACTCTCGATCGATCACCAGCTTAACCGAAAAAAAGTGTAATTAATTTGCAGGACTAGTTGTGTCTCTCTACCCAACTAATCTTGCTTGCACAGTGTGTACTTGTATATATATGCTGACTTGAGTGTCAGTGAAGCCACTCCATTTCACACATCTTAATTAGATACAGATACAAGTTCAGCTGCTTATGTTAGCTACGAGTAGCTTTCATATTTGCATTTTGGGGTCTACTTTGGAGTAGACTATTGTCTCTGGCAATATATGAAACTTTGTACTAGTTCCATTTCAAATTGGTATGTGTTTGATTAAGGTTAGATATGGGTTTGTTTCCTTATCAAAATTTAGTTTTTTTATTTTCTTTGCCTTACAATTTTACAAACTATTTTAGAGTTTTACACTTGGTCAGAAATCAGAATACAGTGTATATAGTTTTATACAGCTTAACAAAGGGGGGGGGGGGTTGAGAATTGGTTAATAATTGATTATTCCATGAGCTAGATAAGTGGAGCAGAATGAGTCAGCATTGTGTCTGGTAAAGTGGAGGAGATAAGAGTATAATCTATATGTCATATACTGCCACTGACAGCCTTATTAAGACTAATCGGTGTGATTAAGATTCTCTACCTACATGTACAACATGTGAAGCCTGAAGGTGTCCATAGGAGAGCTGGGGAGGTGCAGAGTTTTTTGTTGACATTTATTTTTAATCTGTGGGTGGGGCCCAATCTGGTGAGTGCACTGATTATCTCTTATGGAGTGTACAATAAGTACATTCAATGCACTCTCTTTTCGTTTATTTTCTGAAAAAGAAAGAACGAAAGGCAAGGACACTTATCATGTACTAAGAATAAGAAAAATTAAACTCTAGCTAATCTTGATTATTTCCATGTACTGTAGTATTGTACTGATTTTTTCCCCATGTACTATCATGGTTGTAATATGTAAAAGTATTTTCAAGATAATTCCCTTACAGTAGAGTTAGGATTATTATTATTTGTACATTTCTGCCAGATTTCCTAAAAATGTGTGCTACATGCCATGTTAACTACTCCCTCCACCCAATTTTAAACACACTTAGTGGGTTTTTTATTCAATGTTTAACTGTTCGTCTTATTTAAAAAAATTATAAAACAAATTTAAGAAACAAGTCACATATAAAGTATTATTCATACTTTATCATCGGATAACATAAAAAGTTTTAAATAAGACGGACGGCCAAATGTTAGAAAAAAAATCTATAACTGTATTTAAAATAAGATGAAGGAGTACACCACAAATGGACAATAAAAGAGTATAAATTCAGAAGACCAGTTACCTCTTCCATCTAAAAAGCAGAAGTATTTTTCATTTTTTCCATCACTAAAAATCCAATATTTTTCCCCCTTTTCTGCAACAGGAGGAGACACCTGGCCACCTGGCCTCTCCTCAGCAACAGCTCATATTGTTTGATTTCTTCCTTCTCCACTACTACCTCCACTTCCTCCACTCCTCCACCCCACAATCTCTCTCTCTCTCTCTCTCTCTCTCTCTCTCTCTCTCCTCCCAAATTCATCTCCTTTTCTCATCTTTTCTCATGCTTTGACGCCACCATTAAGCTTTGGCTTTTCTCTGCCTCCCATCTCCTCCTCTGCCACTAGTTAAAGCAGAGAGAGGGGGAGAAGAAAGGGGAGGAGAAAGAAGCACGGGAGAGAGGAGGAGGAGAAGGAGAAGGACAAGGGAACGAAGATGTTCGACAGCCTGCTCAACTCCAAGTTCTACAACAAATGGTAAAGAAATGTTTCAAGCTGATTAGTGGTTCTTGGGATTTCAGGTTTAGCAGTTCTTGAAGTTCCCCTTGCTGTTCTTGTGGAGTCCAAAATCGATTTCTTGGAGTTCTTTGCTGTCGATTTGTTGTTTAACTTTTTCAAGCTGCGTAGTTTAGTTTAAATGGTCCGGATTTTTTGGGATTAAGAAACTGCATTTGCTCGCTTGATGGGTTGTTGCATCAGGGGGTTGGCTCTTCAGTTGCTTGAATTTTGAATTTGATTGGTTCTACTCCAACCCACATCTGCATGCCTGAGGATTCTTTCTTGGACTCTTGAACTCCCCTTTTTCCTTTGGATTGGATTAGTTTAATTTCTTGGGATTTTTTTCTTGTTCTAATTTCTTGATTTGTAATTATTTGTGATGCAGCAAGCACGCAATCAAGTGCACCCGGACCAGGCTGGATCTGGTGCGGCGGAAGAAGCAAGCGATGGTCAAGTTCATGAAGAAGGACGTCGCCGACCTCATCGGCAATCGCCTTGAATCGCACGCCTTTGGACGGGTACAGCCTGCCAACCCTAAGCCTCAGCTTGCATTGATTAGTGTTCTTGAAGAAAGATTTACTAGCTTGGTGCAAATTGGATGGGCAAAGTTGGAGTTGTTTTTCTTTTCAGTTGTTAGCACAACAGGTGTCGGTGCAGTTAAAAATTGGTGCTTTGTACTGAAGAATCCTTGATGAGAGCCCCTTTTAGGGTTGTAGAAGTATGCTGCTGATTTCTGCTGTTTATTTTAATGGGCTGCAGATGGAGGCACTGATTGTTGAGATGAACCAAGCATCCTGCTATGATATGATCGAGCAGTACTGCGAGTACATAGTGAAGCAGCTCAACAACCTGCAGAAACAGAAGTATGTTTGATGTTTATTGTTATATATCAAGACAACTGAAACAATACTGAGAGTTGAGACATGGCGTTCCAAGTTTATGTTAATTTCTCATCGCAGTGTATGATGTCTTATATTTTAGTTGACCACTGCCACACACACATAATTATATTTTCTTGCTCTGATATATCTATGAGCTGTTGAAGTTTGAACCCAAGTATGATTGCATATAGATTTTCTATTTAATTAGCTGTGTTGGTTCCTGGCTTATGGGAATGGTTCATTTCTTGCTTTTAGTGCATTGGCATAGATTGATTCTTTTAATCAATTATTCTCATGACATGGCAAACTCCAGTTGTCATGTATATTCCACCTAAATATAGAAAACACAACATAAGTTCAGTCAAGGGGCTCAAGGCTAAGCAAACCTAATCTTTGCTATTGATTTATATTGTCTGCAGTTGTCCGTTATGTTGTTCTCCTAGACTTACAGGATCTGGAAACTGCAGAGCTGCTCATAGCTTGTTGATGATTTTGATTTGTTTAAGTACCTTAATCTTAAGAGATCACAAAGTATTCGGGAAATGGGATCGGCTGTCGTTGGTTTCTCTTTAACAATGTCTTGATATGTATATATCAAAGTGTCCTGGCATGCCATACTACACTGAAACAAACTTGTTTATGGTGACAGTAGCAATTGAGTAGGTGCATGTTTACAAAGTTGGATACAGCTCTTGTTGCAATCGTTTAATATACAACTTTTGTTCTGCTGCAATTGATCTTTGATCACTAACTCTGGTGGCCCATTTACAGTGAATGTCCTCAGGAAGCCTTGGAAGCTGTGTCAACTCTAATTTTTGCCACTGCTAGATTTCCTGAGTTGCCTGAACTGTGCGACCTCAGACATATGTTCACGGAGAGATACGGGAGTTTTGTCGAGCCTTTTGTTAGCTCTGAGGTGCTTAAATACTGTCCTTGTTGATGTGTTTTGAGTTGCTCACTCGTATCACACCAATGTTGATTAACTCAACCTTTATGTGGCCAGTTTGTTCAGAAGCTTCAGAACAAGTCATTTACTAATGAAGAGAAGTTGCAAGTGATGCAAAGCATAGCTGAAGAATTCTCGGTCCCATTTAATTCCAAGGCACTGGAGCGAAAGATATCTGGTGTACCTCAAAATAAACATGTAAAATTTTAGTGAACTTACTGAATCACATCATTACATGCATTCCATCCTAAATATATGTAGGTTTACTTATATGCTGAATTGATTTTTTCCCCCCTGCAGGATCTTCAAAACAAGAGTTCTTTTAAGCGTGTGGAAGTTGAAGCATCAGCATGCAATGAACTTAAGGTGGATAGGCATGCTGTGCATGAAAGAAAATCTAAAGTGACACCTGAAGTCCATGAGAGGAAGCAGGAGATGCCGGTAAAGCCTAAAGATATTCATGTCATCCCTGATGCCATTGGTAAGGTTGGGGAGAAAAGCAGGAAGAACCGCTCAGATATACCTTATGATGTGCCTCCTTCGGACTTGAAGCAAATTAATGATCAGGAGTTAAAGAAAGACCACAAAAAACATAGTCACCACCAGAGGGAACTGAGGAATGCAGACAAGTCAGCTCCTCCATACGCAGAACCCAAGGAAGATGTTGCTGAAAAGTCTGATGGGAAAGGCTACCATGTCCATCGATCGCGCATGGCTGGTGGCCTTGATCACAATTGGGGACATGCCGACTTGGGGCTTAAAACTCTGGGCCTAGAAAAGCAAGGAATTGAGCCAGCTAGTTCTTTGGATGGTAAAACACTGAACAAAGCTCCTCCTTATTCTAAGCCCTACAAAGCAAGTGATGAGTATGGGCAGTCTGTGCAAGACAGGCAGAAAATGCCAGAGAAGGCAGTTAACATGCGTCCACCTTATGTCAAACCAAACTCTACAAATCAAGCTGTTGATGATTACAAGCATGCCGGCACTGGGGAAATTGGTCACCAGAGAGATGGACTGGCTGATGATAATACCCTTCAGCCCGTTTCTGTCAGAAGGAAAAGTGCAAAGCCACCTACACATGGTGATCGCTATGATGATGAGGCAAAGATGACAAGCCAAACTCCTGGTGGCCGACGAAGGCATTCAAGCAGAAGAAATGGTTCAGATGATGATTATGACCAGAGAGTTGGCTATATGCTGCCCCCAGATGATGATGCTGTCAATAATGCGAGACACTTTAAGAGAATGAGTGAACGAAGAAAACATGGAAGCAGGCAGGGTGGATCAGCAAGTGGCAATGACTACGAGTCTGATGAGGATGAGACTAACAGTGTGATTGATTTTGGCAATCTTTTGCCCCGAGCACCTAGTTCTCATCGGAAACACAGGAGTAGGAGTGCTCACCCACGCAGCGGAGGCCGTGATGATGAGGAAAGGGTGATGGATAAGCTTCTGATGCACTACAGCAAGAAAGGCATTGATAGGGAAGAGCATAAAACAAGAACAAAATCAAGGACCCCTCGACCTCGAGCTGATCAGCCTGCTGATGGAGTCGGAGAACGGTCTAACAGAGAAGTGGCACCCCAACATCCTCCAGAAAGAACTGTATCTCTCCCTTCAGACTCTGGCAACCTGGGTGTGAAGCCTAAGGCTCCTGCTCGGTCCATTTCAATGCAGCCAGACAAGTCCAGGGGGATTGTACACCCTAGCATGCCGGATTTCGACGAACTAGCTGCTCGGATCAGTGCTCTGAGGAAGGAATGACTATGAGCTGCCACAAAACTGTATTCAGGCTTCAGCAGGTTGTGTTCTTTCATGAACTTCTCTCAAAGCAACTTTCAATGTCAGTGGTGGTCACAGGAATCAGGGGATCTCTCCTGGTGGTGGTAATCTTGCTTGCAGTGCTATATGCCTAGATAGAATAGTACCAAATTAAATGGCAATATTTAGGAATACCATACAATATTGGTTTGGGTGTGGTCCTTTGTTGTGCTCATATTTGAAAGTGAAACAATCTTGTATAGATGCCATTGATGAGGCTATAATGATAAGTGATGATTCTTTCTGCTAGTGCTAGCATGTGAGTTTGTATGCATTTCAAGTTTCCAACCTTTTCTTTTTGCTGGAGATGAACTGTTAGATGCAGATATGGTGTGATAAAATTGTTGTCTTTGAGATCTATGCTGGCACATGAGCCAGAGCATTTCTTGGATCTTTGGCTTTGGAACCTGAGGAGTTCCTGCATCTGGAGGCTGTGACCAGCTGTGATCCGGAACCTTATAAATACAGTTTGGCTCAACTGTCTGATGCTGATGCATACCTGATGTTGGGCTGGAAACAAAAGAAGCTGTCTCTTGCAGGATTTTAATATTGATACTAGTATAAAGTGCCAACTGCAAAGGATATCAACTTTGTCTGAGCACTGAAAAATCTAGAACTGAGCAGATTCCAATGTTTTCTTCAAGCATACTAAATCATCAGCAGTACCATCATGTGACATGATATGATCATACATACGAGTATATGAACATGATGGTATCCTGCACATATTGTTTGTTGAACTTGAGTCACCAAGGAAGGCCATGTGGCCGTTGCTGCACTTTGACGCTGCCGACGCCGACAGCTACATATGACCACAACTGAACAATGCTAATTCTATATTTCTATGCACGTTCTTCTGGATTTCCAATCATCAGCTGCCTTATTTCTTTTCTTCCTTTTTTCAGAGAGCTTCCTATTAGTCAATCAATACTACTAAAGAAATTCTTTAAACTTAATCGAAGAAAGAAAAAAGGCATGGGATTGATGAAATTCTGCACCTTTTTTCTGTTGTTAAATTCTCATTTGTTTCGCAAAAAGAATTGCATGAGGTAAGTGGCATGTTTACGGAAAGGTGAAAAACGCTCCTCACCGATTAACTAAAAACTGACTGAAAACTACGAGACTTTTGGGTCAACGCCATACAAAAACCGGTTAAAACCGATCTGTTTTCACGAACCGACAACCAACGGTTTTTCACGTTTTGTAAACCAACTGTATTTCTCAGGCCAAGCTAAGCTAGAAAAAGTTCAGATGAGCTCAGCTCAGCCCAAGGACCTCATCACAGCGACGGCGAAATGCAGGATGTAGTTGTCGCCGCCGCCGCCGCCGCCGTCGAGCAGCTCGTGGCAGACCAGCCGTTGCAGCCGGGGGCTCCTCGGCAGCGCCCCGCCGTGGTACAGGACGGTGGCGGCCGCCGCCGTCGCCGCCGGCCGGCTCGCCAGGCACGCCGCCATCCTGGCTACCGCTCGGAGGAACAGCGGCAGGAGACCCTTCACGCATGTAAGTATAGATTTAAAACCACCATAAAAACTACTACTTCCTCCCTTTCACGGGCGTAAAACTTTCTAGTGTTAACCACATTCATTTAGACGTATATGTTTAGATTCATTAACATCTATATGTATGTGTGCAATGCTAGAAAATCTTACATTATGAAACGGAAGGAGTACCGTCTCAGGTTATAGGATTTTCTAGCATTATCTATATATGTTAATAAATCTAAAAACAATTATAGTTTATATTTATTAATATCTATATGAATATGAACAATGTTAGAAAGTCTTATAACTTGAAACGGAGAAAAAACGAAGAAAGTACACGATAAACGCGATAAAATAAGGGCAAAACTCATAGATTTAAGTGATTAACTCACCATGAAATACACTCGTTTGATGGATGAAAACGCATGTGAGAGACTAATTCGAGGTGTTTTCTGAAGGGTTTATATATAGATCGATATGTGCATCATCGGAGACATCGAATTGGAGGATTAATCACGGAACATCATGAGGAGGCGGCGATGACAACAAGAGGCGTCTAATAGCTTTCATCTTCAACATTCTCTCAGTTTCTTCACCCGGTCCAAAAAAAACCTGTTCTTCTTGTGATCTCTGAACTCTGAAAGACTCAAACTGTAAGAAATAAGTCCTGATTTACCTCCCTCATCTCTTCCTCATGATCAAATCACCTCCATCAACCATAAAACCAAGTATAACGCCTCCCCTATCTTCAAAAACCGGTACAAATAGACTTCTTGGGTGGTTTCGTAAGTAGTTTTTTTTTTTCTGACGTGGACGGTTGACCATGGGTGACTCGTTGAGTCAACAGGCAAGACCCACATCTAAGGAGTTGATTCGCACCGATTTTTAAAAGATAGGTATGCATTATAACCGGTTTTACGGTTGAGAGAGGCGTTTCGATAAGGGTAAGAGATGAGGGAAGTAAAGTAGATTTATTCCTACCGATAAACTAAGGCCGACAATGACATACCGGTACGGCCCAGTTAGCTACGGCACACCATGAAGAGCTGCAGGCCATAGGCCCACCTGCCTGTGACACATCCGGCCCGGCCCAATTACGGCCTAATCCGATACGACTACGTATCAACTACGCATCCTCTTCGATTATTATGCCTCGATATCCATATATATACCTCTGCTACGTACGCCGCTGCTTTAAAACTAGACGGATCGCCTTTGCCGTCAGGTCGAAGAAACAGCGAGAGATCGATCCATCCATCCATCGAGAGCTTCTTGTCCATCGCCGGCGAGCTCTCCGGTCCCGGAATCAGCCGATACCTCCGGAGTCCGGCCATGTCGTCGTCGGGGGGATTCAAGAACGGCGGGAAGCAGAAGCCTCTCAAGGCGCCCAAGGCCGCCAAGAAGGATTACGACGAGGTATCACACATTCAAATCGTATTTTTCACATCGCTCGATTGATTGCATCTTGAAAATATATTTGAATTTGAGAAACTGAAACTAGCATCAATAACATTATTGATGATCAATTATGGTTGATGACCATAATGTGTTGTACAGACCGATCTGGAAAACATGAAGAAGAAGAAAGAGGAGGAGAAGGCCCTGAAGGAGCTGAGGGCCAAGGCGGCGCAGAAGGGCGCACTTGGAGGCGCCGGTCTCAAGAAAAGTGGCAAAAAATGAGCCCTGGATAATTAATTCTTTAGACGCTTATTATCTTACTCACTTTGTCCCAAAAACTTAATCTGCCGGATATGTCACATCTACTAGGATGTATATTAGAATATGTCACATCCAATACATTGTTTTTTATGGGATAGCGAGAGTAGTTAGCAGCAGCTTGAAACTGCTCTAGAACAGACATGAGATGTTTCAACTCACTTTTTAGGTTATTAATAGTAGAGAGTAGCAGTTAATTACTTACATATATGAGGTATCCTAGGATGTTTTAGACCACAAATATGATGGCGTATGATGATTTTTTTTTTTGCACGACCTCTCTTTTTAATGGTTTTGGACTGCTCTATCAGCTTATGATGGTAATGTTTTTTACTGTTGGTGTGGTGATGATATGTTTCACCAATTCACTTCAGTTCCATTATCAAGTTGAGTCAGTAGTCAGTTTATAAACGGTTCAGGAATCATCAGGATTAGAATTCAGAATATAAATTAACCCAAACCAATCCAAACTAGAAACCCCTTGTCGTATTTTTCGAACAGGAAAAGATTATACAGTATCTGATTATCACGGCCAAGATCATTTCTTTTTGGAACGAGATGGCTCGCAGGCCGAGCACCGAATTATGGATAGTTGCACAATGCTGCATAATTAAGTTTTGGCACCGTAGTATATGAATGTTATAAAGTTTTTGCCTCAAAGTTCAACACGGTTCTTCAAAATCTGATGAGGTAAACTGCCTCAAAAATCTGAACATCCCAATATTGATGAATGAACAAAGCAGAAACAACGCTACCGGACGACTACAACTCAATAAGCGCCATCCATTTCATTGTTTGAAGTTTTACATGGATACGATCGTGGAGAAATTCAGAAAGTTTTCAATCAGGACTACAACTCAATAAGCGCCATCCATTTCATTTTTTGAAGTTTTACATGGATACGATCGTGGAAATTCAGAAAGTTTTCAATCAAGATCAGCTATCTTTATTGGGGCTTTTCAACTTCTGCAGTATCTGATGTGGTAGAATGTCAAGATCTGCCAGTGCCTGCAAGTACACAGAAACAACTTAACAAGATACTCCTATGAATCTATGATGTACTAAAAATGGTATGATGTACTAAAAATAGTGGCAGGAGCATCAACAAATATGAGGCTGCCTAAGTTATGAATTGTTTAATCATTGACTGTGGTACTTATAATACCTTAAAAGAGATGCAATGACCAAACTACAGATACCCCCATTCTTTTTACACAGCAGTTTGCCTTTTCATGGTTCTCCAAAATGTTACTTTGACTATAACTACTCGTGACTTTTGTATAATTTATATTAATGAAATACAGTACTTATGAACTTGACAACAAACCTGATCTAAATAAAGTAGCTCTAGTATAGCCAATAGATTGTATCAAGGCATGGATGCTGAAGTGTCAGATAAAAAGAAAAAGTGTAGGGTGGTTTCCTTTCATTTTTGGGTTGCACATAAATTTTCCTTGTCTAATAGGTCAACACTTTAGTAATGAAACTGTACAAGAGAAAGATTAAAAACAACATAAATGACAATTGAGTGATCAACGAAATTATCAGAACCCTCCAACACAAGTACATCACGATTAGACACCAAACTAAGGAGAAGCTGCAATTAATTTTTGAAATGGTAAACAAGTTTAAGAGAATAAAAAAGTACAAATATTAAAAATGAACTGTTGAAGAAAATGCATTTACCATTGACATGGTTAAAAACGTGTAGAATCAGGCACTCCATACTTGCACCTTCCCCTTTGCCGTCCCAATGTAAATCTCATTCAACTCAGGATTATATGACAATGCAGAAACAATAACCTTGGTATTGATGTCTGTAATGCATTTTCCACTTTCTATGGAGCTTATATGCACCGCTCCGATACCTGAAAGTGAAAATGAATATTCTTGTTAAATCATCTGTTTGACAGTGTAGCAGATCTCAGTTGATATTTATATCTTTACCTTCTGACTTGCATCCAGAAATAATAACATCCTCATCTTTTGTTATGAACAACTTATCATCCACGCAATTCAGTTCATCTAGTACATGATCCTCAAAATTTCTCACTATATCTCCTTGAAGATCTCTCAGTTCTGTTGAGTTATTCTGGAAAGACAAGAATAGGTTTCTACCATGCAGTGCATGGAACTCATATATCCCAATAGGTACCTCGGTGATCTTTGAACTACGCAACTACATTAAAATATGGAAGATTGAAAAGGATCAGGAGTGCACAACAAAATGAATAACAAAGTGATTAATACTAAATATATCTTACATCAAGTATCTGGAGGTTTCCATTCTCATTCGCAAAATTCTGCTTTATTATCATCTTGTCATGTAGAGGTTGAATATCAGGTCGTTTCGAGCTAGCAACAAGCACAAACGAGTGTGTTTCTTCAAAGTTCTGAGCACAAAATATCCTGAAAGGATAGACATTATGTGTCTGCTCCAGCTTTATAAGGAACAATGATGGCCTAAGAAAAAAAGGAGAAAGTTCAGGATTAAAAAATAAAATAAATCCACAAATGAACACAGTAGAAGAAGTAAACAATGGTGTACCTAAAAACAACTTGATGGACATTCACATCAGGTATTTGATACAGCAGAGAATAATCCTTTAAGTCAAAAACTCGGTAGGTGCTGCAGAAAAAAAAACAAATATTATGTTTGTTTGGCTATCATTGCAAGGTTTATAGTTACATGATAAAAATGATATACCTGCGTTGTTGTATCAATGCTCTTGCATTTGGTGCATCAAAGTCCACACTATCTGGCTATTTTATATTTTCTGATTCAAAAATCTGCTGACCATTATTCTGCTTGTTTGACCTAATGCACCTGTGAAATCAAATCAACATCACGGTTTAGAAGATATCACAGTAAGACCACGAATGGCAACTAGTACACAGAAACTGATTCCAGGTTCCTTACTCAAGTGGGGTTGATGTGACCTGACGAGACATGCAGCCATCAAACAAACGAGAAGAAGTTGTAATCACAGATTTGTCCTCCTTGTTGTAGAATATAGAGACAATTATTTCATCGTCATATCTGTTGAGGATTGATATCATTTTATTTGTTACTGCAGCAAAAGAGAGATTAGTGTTTGAGCAAATTTCATTTTTCATCGAATTTATTTACAAAATTCTAATAATTACCTCTGCTGAGTAAAAAGCTCAAACCAGAGCATAACACTACAGCAACAAGATCTTTTAATGGAAGAATCTGCAGAACTGCAGATCTCTTCCTGATAGGCCTCTCTAAGTGTCGAATGACATCCTTACATCTGTAGATATCAAATACGACCTACAAGAAACTTAAGTTAATTATACTCATCTGCAGTTTATTCAGCTAGGAACAGCACAACAAAGGTTAAGAAAAAAAGGTTAGAAGACAAAACAGGGAACAACTAGAGATAATAACCATGAAACTCTGATCAAGCACGAACAGACTGGAGGGACTCAAATAAAATTTAACTTGTATGTTGCCAAACCACATGTTGTTTTTTCAGTGAACACAACACCTTAAAAATAATGCAAATTTATTCGAATTCAAATAGGTCATAGCATACTAAAGAAGTGCCTTCACGTTTTGATGACAAGCTAGAAGCATAATACCAATATGGGTAGAGATTTTCTAGTCTTGGAGCAGAACAATGTTTATCGTATGAATGTTTGAGCTACCTAAGAACAGGAGGCAAGAGATCATGGATTACTTCTCAAAATCACGTCGACTGAGCGAAAGTTCTGAGTGTATAAAGTTTCGATAGAACATAAGTATTGATCACTTCCACTATAATCGAGAAATTAGTATATACTTGTATGATGGTTCTATTCTCTAAGACACATATTTACATAGCATGCAAGAAGCTTTTTAGATAACATGCATGACAGATTTTTTTTTTTTAAAAAACGTGAATATTAGGGAATGACCTAATATCAAATAAATAGAAGGGGTGAGGCTTCGAACCCAGGCCAACTAGCCCACCACCTTGTGGAGCTAGCCAAAATACCCCTGGGCGTCTCTCATGCATGACAGATTTCATTGAAAGCAAGGGCTCCATGGAATGAAAGAATTGCAACATAAAACAACAAGGACTGTAGAGCACCGTGAATACCTGATTCCGTTGAACAATGAGAACAAAATATGATATGTTGAGGAAATACAAAACAGGATATATAAACATGATATCAGGGGAAAAAAGAGTAATGCTACACAGCTACAGAACTTACCAATTTTTACTACGGATTTGTTCATACAAAATCATGTTGCGACATGAATTCAGTGCTAGCAATTAATAATCATAAGCCAACAAAGTGAAGAACTTCTCTCATCGGATGCAACTGTTTTAACAAAACGTAAAAATATCGAGGCTTAGCTGATGATTGTTGTGTCCTCAATGCACGGACTTAATTCTTTGAGAAGAGGCACACGGTAAGGAAGTTTAGTACCAACTTCATCAAAATTTCTAAGGAAACCTCAAATTATTTTCACTCAAAAGAGGGCACAACTCAGAATAATCTAGCATAGCAATTTCATCAAGTAAACAAATGAAATGAACAGAAAAGACATGTTAGTCTGCAAGAACTTAAAAGTCACAATAATCTACCTTATTGTTCTTTATCTTGGAGAAGACCTCATGTGAGAATGTTGAAGGTGTGGGTACGAATCTGCTGATGCCGCATGTCCTCAAAGAGCAGTGCAATCCGATTTCTCTAAATTGTAGCTTCATAACCGTGCTGCAGCTCTTCTTTCTTTGCTTGCTGCTGCCTTGTCCATCCTGCGCATGCAGAACTGCATCTTTAAGCTTTTCATGTTCACACAATGAAAGAAGGAAAAGCCACAGCTTCATAAGCATAGGTCCATACTACGCACCTGTTTATCGATGCATCCATCAATTTTGGCCGTCGAGACGCCCGCAGGGCCTCCACGCGCGCAGGAAAGTATCACGGCTTCTTCATCAACTTTCATCGCATTCTCGTCCTCGTCTTCCTCCTCCAAGAAAACCCGTCTTCTCCTCTTGCCTCCTCCTCCTCCTCTCTCTAGGACCTGTCGCCCATCCGCTCTTCCACCGGAGCCTTGATCATCCTGGCTGTCGGGGATGTCGCCGTCGGAAATGAGACTCAGTTTCATGGCTTCAGGAATCTTGTTCCCCCCGATCCTCTCCTCTGTAGGGTTTCTTGATTTCTTCTCGCAGATAGGAGAAGTGGGAGCAGCCGATTTCTTGATCGTTTCTTGATCGTGTCAGAAAGGAGAAGGGAACAGCAGCAGAGGGCGAGAGAAAGAACAGCAGAGGCGGGCACGCGCGAGGCTTAAAAAAACAGCGGCTCGGCTTGGACTCAGCTCGGCTCGTTACCAATGTTGGGCCGGAACCGTGAATTGTTGGGCCGGCCCAAAGCAGGGCTACTCGCCGGCGTAACGAGAACGGAGGCGGAGCCCTCCGCCGTGGAGGTGGCCGCCGCATGCGCTGCCGCTCCGGCTTGCCGCCGGAACTGGATCAGAAACGCGGAGCAGAGCGGCCTGGAGCGAGGAGCAGGTGGATCGGTCGACGGGGCGGGGAGGGTAGGGCGTACATGCCGCCATCTCGCCGGCCGGCGGAGATCGCGGGGGGCGGAGTTGCCGCCGCCGGTTTGAGTGTTGGTGTTCATGGCGGCGTGGCGCGGCGCGGCGGGGAGGAGGAGAGGCCGCGGTGGCGGTGGTGGTGGTGCAGCACTGTTGCTGCCTTGCCGGAGAGGGAAGAGGGGAGGGGAGGGGAGGGGAGGGGAGGCGAGGACTGAGGAGAGACGGCGACGACTCGCGCTTCCAGGAGAAGCGGAGGAGCGGTTCGGTCGGTGGGTGTGGGTGCAATGCAACCGGACGCTGACATGCCCAGCGCCCAAATGCAAAGCTTTCCTTTGTTTGTGTTTCTTGCCAAAAATTGGACAGTGTTTTTAAAATTTTATTTTGCGGTGACACAATGATAATTTTGAAGTAATAGACCAAATGGACATTTTCTTTTGATTGTGTTTCTTGAAAAAAAATTTTGTAATGATAAATTTACAAGAAACAAACCAAGTGGATATCTAGTTTTATTAGAGAGAAAATTCGATACATAGCACAAGAAAAAACTCGGTACCAAAAAATAGCACAACACATTTTTCACTTCGACCAAAGGCACAGGGCACCAATTTTCTTGCGATTCATAGCACTCCCGTCACATTTGCCATCCAAACATGTGAGTTGACATGGAAAAAGACTCATTTGCCCTTCTTCCCCGAGCCTGCCGTGCAATTAGGAGGATGCCTCGCATTGTGATTAATCTGGGGAGTACTACACTTGCAAAAAGCTAATTAGGATTTAATTAATTAGTTGATTAATTAGGTAATTAATGACCATCTCGGCGAGGCTATGGCTATCGGTGGCTTGTCCCATCCTCGCCCTCACATGGATGTAGTCTTTGGCTGGCTCTGGCTTCTCCTCAGCTGCCGCCGCGTCGCCATCGCCATCATCTCCAACGTTAGCGACCTTGGACCGCTTCGGGCTCGCGTTCGTGGCGTGCTATAGCACGAGTTGTTGGCGCTAGCGCTACCGTGGTTGCAGATGCTCCCGAGCCGGCCGATAAGGCGCCGATGGCCGCCATCTCATCAGTCATCACCACTGCCCTGCGGAGACGACACGAGCGAGCTGAGCGCGGAGTCGAAGTGCGCCACGGACTCCGCCGCCGCCGGCGCCATCATCATCATCATCATCTGTTCAACCGCCACCGCCCATGATGGCATCATCGTTATCGTCCCGTACGCCGCCGCCCCGCGGGCAGCAACGCGCCCGCACTCGTGTCGGCGCCGGACGAGGAGATGGAGGAGGAGAAGTAGTCGGCCATCATTGTCGTCGTCAGCGGCGGCGGCGGCGGCGTACAGCAACCACATCCATCCACGCCGACGCTAGGGCCGCCCGCGTCATCGTCGTCGTCCTCGTCGTCAAGCGGCCGCCAGCGCTGGAGGCTTGCCCTGGATCAGCAGTGCCAAGCGCTAGACGGGGTCCACCTCTCCGACGGTGAGCAACGCATCCACGTCATTGAAGAGCCCGCACCGCAGCTCGCTCGGTGGTGATGGGGAGACAAGGCAGTCGCCCAGCACGCCGATGGCCGCCGCGCCGCCGACCACGAGGGAGCGAAAGAGGAGACCTGGTGGGGAACGTGGGGAACGAAGGGCAAATGTGTCCGATGAAAATTTTCTCCACACCGATCTAACGCCGTTACTTCAAAATCCGATACAAAATGCGATAGAAGTGCTACGGGGCGAAGAAAAATTGGTGGCCTATGCTATAGATCAAAAGTGGAAATTTTTTGTGCTATTTTTTAGTACTGCTTTCTTTCCTGTGCTATGGATCGAATTTTCTCTTTATTATATGAACGATTTTTTTTAGTCTGGACTAGTTTGGACAACAAACTAAAAGCCCAAATTGCATATGCAAATTTCACGCAAACATAAATTCGACTAGCACTTTGAATTACACCGGCTTAAATTGTACTGCTGCTCCGTATTTTTTAAGGTCACGTCGATGTCCTTGTGAGTCGATGAAACTAGTATTGTTTCGAGATAAAGGGGATATCTAGATCCGGGTGTAAAGGTTTAGCGTATCACATCAGATATTATATAAAGAGTCGCATGGAGCGTTCGGACACTAATAAAAAAACTATTTACAGAATCTGTTAGTAAATCACGAGACGAATTTATTAAGCCTAATTAATTCATTATTAGCACATGTTTACTATAGCACCACATTGTCAAATCATAGAGCAATTAGGCTTAAAAGATTCGTGTCGTAAATTAGTCGTAATATGTGTAATTAGTTATTTTTTAAGTCTATATTTAATACTTCATACATGTGTTTAAACGTTTGATATGACAGGGTGTAAAGTTTTAAAATAAGATCTAAACAAGGCCAAAGAGAACAAGTTGAGAATATGAGATGGGATTCAGCCATTCAGGGGTAAATAAACAAAATGAAATTTCAAAACCGCAGACAAGTCCGAGCCCGGTAGATGGACGACCAAGATTTCTGTTGTTCGAATCGGAAATTACCAAATGCCGTAAGCCGTAAACGAATCGGAAATGGTCAGTAGACTATAAATATACGTGTCCGAGACTAGAGAGACAACTTGGGTGCCCTCATTTGTTCTCTTTTGCGCGCAGACGAGATGGTGCAGAGGCCGCGCAAAAGGGCGCGGACGACGTCGCCGTGCTCGCCGCCGGCGTCGTCGTGGCGGGACCTCCCGCTGGACATCGCCGGCGAGGTCCTCCGCCGCCTCCCGTCCTACGCCGACCGCATCTGCTTCGGCGCCACGTGCCGCTCGTGGCGCACGTCCGCGCGGGAACACCGCGCGCCGCCGCCGCTGTCGCCGTGCCTCTGCTTCGCCGACGGCAGCTTCCGCGGCTTCTTCCCGGAGGACGCGCGGCCGTTCCGGCTGCCCGCCGCCGCCGGCTGGCTCGGCTCCTGCGGCGAGTGGCTCCTGTACCGGCGCCACGACGACGGCGCGTACCTGCTCGTCGACCCCTTCTCCAAGGCCGCCGCCATGGCGCCGCTCCCCAGCGTGTCCCGTCTCCATGTCCGCCACGACCCCATCGTCGCCGTCGACGAGCGAGACCTGCGGTGGTGCAGGCCGACGTGGCTCCCGCGCGAGAACACCGGCGAGCCGCAGGCCGCGGCGTCCTTGCTCAAGCTCGCCGTGTCCCCGGCCGCCGACGTGGTGGCGGCGGTGGTCGGCGAAGGGAGGCACGGCAAGCTCGCGGTGTGCCGGCCGGGGGCGCCGGCGTGGTCCGTCAGCGGCGGCGACGGCTGGAGGCGGATCAAAGACACGGCGTTCTACCAGGGCAAGCTCTACGCCGTCGACCACAACGAGGACCTCCTCGCCGTGACGCTCGCCGCCGACGGCGAGCCACCGGCCGTGTCCCGCATCGACCGCGTGATCAACGGCAAGCCACCGGGGGCGGCCGCCCTCCTCCGCGTGACGCTGCACTACCTCGTGGACTCCGGCGGCGAGCTGCTGCTCGTTCGCCGGGAGGTCCAGCGCTCGTCGATGGTGAGGACGCAGCCGTGGCAGCACACGGCGGAGCTGCAGGATCGCTTCGCCGTGTTCAGGGCCGACTTCCGGAGGTCGCGGTGGAGGCGGGTGAAAACCATCGGCGACGAGTCCGGCGGCCGCGCGCTGTTCGTCGGGCGGTGGTGCTCCAGGGCGGTGCGCGTCGCCGGCGACCGGTGGGCCGATCAGGTCTTCTTCCTCGAGGACGGCACCGGCGACGAGTGGCACACACGGGCGCAGCGCTGCTCGCTGAGGGGGAGCACCTTCGGGTGCGTGAGGCCGAATGAGCTCCTGCCGTTGATGACGACGGCGGACGGCCAGGATTTGGATGCGACTTGGATATTCCCTCGGGAGGCAAAATTGTGAGTGGCATAATAACCAAATGCTGCATAATTGAGTTCTGATATATGGAGTATTATTTATGAAATGTGTAGAGTTTTTGCCTCAAAGTTTAACATGGTTCACCAAAATCTGATGAGGTCGAAGGCCTCAAAATTTGAATATCCTAATTTTTATGAATGATATGAGCAGAAAAAACAGCTACGAACTACGGGTTGACCTTGAGCGCCACCCATTGTTTGCAATTGTGTACATAGATGAAATCTTTTGGAGAGATTCGGAAAATAGTTTGCCAGATTAATTGTGGGTCAGCTATCTTTATTGGTGCCCTTTAAGTTCTTTGATGATGCCATCAGCAAGAGAATCTGCATCGTAGTTCTTGCCGTAAAATTTAACAAACTCCATCTTTGGATTCATCAAGTACCTGCGAGTACATGAGCTGTTACTTAACAAGACATACGAGATATACTAGTGATACTATCTATTTCCTAATACTTCCTCCGTCCCAAAATATCGCAACCTCCCAATATATAGCAACCTAGAAGTGAATTTGGCCTGTCTAGATTAGTAGTTCTAGTATGTCTAATTCACTCTTTGCTTGCTACTCCCTCCGTTTCGAAATGTTTGACGCCGTTGACTTTTTAGCATATGTTTGACCGCTCGTCTTATTCAAAAAATTTAAGTAATTATTAATTCTTTTCCTATCATTTGATTCATTGTTAAATATATTTTTATGTAGGCATATAATTTTACATATTTCATAAAAATTTTTGAATAAGACGAACGGTCAAACATGTGCTAAAAAGTCAACGGTGTCAAACATTTTGAAATGGAGGGAGTATATTTTAGGATGGAAGGAGTACGAACAACAATGGTGTGGCAGGAGCATCAACATATCTGAGGCTGCCTAAAATTATGAGATGTTTAGTCAATGACTGCAGTAGTGCAGTGCTATAATCTCTTAAAAGAAGATACAATGTCCTAACTACAGATACCATTATACTACAGCAGTACGCCCAATAGTTCTCCAAAATATGACTTTGAATAACTTTTATTTTTACATAGTTTGTACTAAATGAAATATGATCTTAACAAAAAAAAGTCTAAACTAGTTCTCATTTCGCAAATATATTGTATTAACACATGGATTCTAAAATGTCATAAAAAGGGAAGAGGGAGTTATTATTTCACTTTTGGGTTGCAGATAGATTAGCCGTATCATAGGACAGAACAACTCTATTACTAGGGCATCTTGATTGCACACCATCAGCAAGTCTAAGTTAAGCAATGATACTGTACAATATAGATTAAAAATGACTTACATGACAATTGAGTGATCAACGAGATAATCAGAACCCTCCTCCTCTGTCTTCATATAGTAAACTCGATAAGCACGAGCAACCTTTCTTATCTCATCAGTTGTGCCAGTTAGTCCTATTAGATTTGGATGAAACTCTGCCAAACACAGGTTGCTCGTCATGATTAGAAAGCAAATAAAATAGAAGCTGCAACTAATTTTTGAAACGGTAATAAAGTTTACTAGAAGAAAAAATGTATGGATATCAAAATGAATGGTTGAAGCAAAAGCACGTACCATTAACATAGTCACGAACTTGCTCTACAGTATCTCTCTCAGGATCAACTGTGATGAAAACTGGCACAACTTCCATTTTTGCCTTTTCCTCTGAAATCAACACAAGTTTTTACATTGGTTTCATGTACAGACCTCAATCAAAGACACAGAAATAGAAAAAAACAAGAAAAATATATTATGTGTCCAGGGACATGCTCCAGCAAACACAACAGATTTCCAATGGAAAGTGGATACTGCCATCACCAAGTTAAATAAGGTTCACACCTGTATTCTTTTATATGGATGTCAGAGTATATAAATTTTATTTTTGTGCAATTTATTTGTAAGGTAGTGAAATAATGCACAGCCACACCTAACTTGTAAGCAGCAACAACAGCCTTTGGAGTTAAGTTCCAAACAAGTTGGGGTAGGCTAGAGTATTCCAATTGGTTTCAATGAACTTTTCAGTGACAGCGTCATGGCACTTAGCACAGGGACAAGATGTTTGGCTACATTATAAGCATGTATACAGTGAGTTATCAACAAAATTGTACCCAAAGCACAAAAATCAAATCGACTTACTTATTTTATCAATTGCCAAAGCCATCTTTTGAAGTTCATCTGGACAAATGTCAGGGCAGTGTGTGAAGCCAAAATATAGCAGAGTCCACTTGCCAAAGAAATCCTTTTGCGTGACAGGTTTCCCATCATGGTTCAAAAGATTGAATGGACCACCGATGGCTGCAGTGCCTACTGATGGTTCTTGCTTGACAGCACTTGTTCTATTCTTCAATTCTGGCAAAGATGTGCCAAGAGAAAAAAAAATACATGAGAAATTCAACAATGAGCATAGCGATTGTAAGAGCCTGATAAATTCCTACTACATATTAAATTCCCATTAAGCATTTGCCTTTATTCCTACCACATAGAGGTTTGGCAAAACTGAATAAAATATACTCTTAACCAAAGAAAAGAACACATAAAAATGCACAGAGTTCGTAATATAGGGGTTTCAACTTTCATATGCATATAAGGTTTTAGACTTCCGTACCATGCAGTACTTTCACCGACCTATGAAGGTTTCACTGGTAAGCAACTAACCAGCAGCATTTACATCTCTTGTTTAATGACTCTAAACCCCCTCCTTTTCTTTCTAATCATGCGTGCAAAGAAAATGCAGCTATGGAGGAATCAAATGTAGTGGTTTTAAAGAAAAAATATGAAGGGTGTAAGTCTATAAATTGCAGTAATGGACTATATAAGTGAATCAAATGGATTAGATTCAGAGGAAGTACTAAGGGTATGCATTTGTAAAATGCAGCTATAAAGGAAGCAACTGGAGTGATATCATAATATATAAAGGGTATGAATCTCTGTTCTTGAAACTGGTGTCACTATTCTTATAGTCACGGCCCCTATGCAATACAAGATAAATGAACTTAAGCAACAGCAAGCCAATTCTGCGAAGTTGGGCTGCTCTTCTGCTGGTGCAGCTAGTTCGTTTTGCCTCTCCCATCTTACATACAACATGAGACAGCTCGCAGTAAATGCTGTATTTTCTACAGTAATACTTCAGTTCAATAAGTAAGCAATAACCAAGACAAGGAAAGCACAGTACAATAAATTAATCATTGCAAAGTTACTCTAGGCAACATATTCCGCAGGTAATATCTTCCTAGGTGTTACAGATAGAATTCCAGTAAGTTAATTTGACCACAACACAATGACAATCTTCTAATGTGTTTTTAAAGAGGCATCTTAGCACCACAACAAACAAAAACAAACTCACCATAGTAATCTACCTTCAATGTGACGCTTTTTTTCCTTGTCGTAGTACACAATTATCCCTCCTCCAGTCACGAGAAGCAGGAGAAAGCTCAACCACGACACCGGCTGAGAGAAAGCAAAATTTCTTCAAATAAAGCACTGAATAATGCCATTTCAAGCAATTGGGCCGATTTCCACTACAGAGGATTCCAGTAGAAGACATTTTGAAGGACTCACCCCTCCTCGCACTGATTTTCCAGCGTCCCCTTGCTCAGATTTCCCTGACTTCCCATCACCCCCTTCCCCGCCGGTCGCCGCGGCAGGCTTCGCGCTGTCCTGCGCCGCGGCCGAGGCATCGGTGGAGAAGCCCCCGCGCGCCAGGAACGCAGCCCCGAACCGAGATGCAGCCCCCGGCTCAGTGATCCGCTGCAGCACGAACACGCATCAACAACTAATCAAATCTCCCAGCCTATCAAGGTGCCACCGCGTTATAGATGTGGAGCAGAGGACGAGGCATCTAGGGTTCACCTGAACCTGCAGCGCGCGAGGACGCCGCGGAGCAGGAAGGCCGGTGGTGGCGAGCGCGCGGGCTAGGAACGCGGCCCCGAGCCGAGATGCGGCACCCGGCTCAGTGATCCCCTGCAAGCACGAACACACATCGAAAAATCATCAAATCAACACAGACCATCTCGTTGCCACCGCGTTCACGACCGATGTGGGTGTTCTAGGGTTTCACCTGAAGCTGCGCGCGGGGCAGCGGTGGAGGGGGGAGGCCGCCGAACGCGAGCGCGCGGGAGGGGAGCGCGTGGAGACGCGGGGCGCGCCTCATCGTTGTCACCTCAAAGCGGCGGCGGCGGCGGCGGCGCGCCGGATCGGAGAAGGAGACGGGATTGGTCAGCTAGTGCGCAGCAAGGCGAGCGAGCGAGCGTTTGGCTCCGCCTCGGAGGAGCGGCGGCGCCCGTGGGTTTTTGGGGGAGACGGGTCGAGAGGTTTTACCTCTCTTTGCTTCCGACGCAAGATGGTGGTCGCCGGCATATTCCTCTCAAATTTCTCCCATTGCAAGGGCAAAACAGTAATAGCACACCAGGAGAAAATTTCTGTTAAAATTGGTAAAGTAGCATAATTAACTTCCAAACTACCAAATTTATTAGTTGAAATTCCATTTTATATTTTTAATAACAACGAGTACTACCACATCAGAAAATTTACTAGTTGAAATTCCATTTTATTTTTAATAACAACGAGTAATACCACATCAGAAGAAAAATTCTGTTCAATTTGGTAAAGTAGCTGAAACTAATTCCTAACCACCAAATATTTAAAATTTTGTTCCATTTATTTTAGTAACAGCTATAATATTGTTTTTTAATTTTAGAGGTCGTTCTAATGTTGATTTCTTTTATGAATTCAGACTGAATTTGTATGGAACGATAGAATATTTAAATTTGATTTGGTTGGGGTGCGCCAGGCCCAGGCTGTAGTGCAACGCCTGGGCGACACGCGAGGGCCCAAGTGGCAAGCCACTGTGGTGGACCCTCCCCCACAAAAAATAAATTTAATATCGAAGTGGACACATGGCCCACATATCAGATATTAAACTGATAAGAACAGATACTACACTTGATCTTAGCCAAAAGGCCGAGAAAGGTATGCTTTGGAACGGAGCCCTGCGCCTCATTTTATACCTTCCGCGACCGCCTCACCGAGCTGAACAAGCGAGGTGGTACTAAACTACGCAACGAAGAGCAAAGCAGCAACCTGCGCCGCGGCTTCCACTGCTTGGGCGGTTGGGCCTGAAACCTCGCACAGCCCAAGTGGCCGAGTAGTTGGGCCCATGAACTCGGCCTCGTTTATCTCTGACATGTGGGACCGGATGATTTTAATCTGAGGCCACGTTGGACACGATCGCGAATTCGCTCTCTGACATGTGGGGCCGGGTGGTTTGCATCAGAGGCCACGTCGGACTACACGATCGCGAGGGAATTTCGCGTTGTTTTTTTTGTGTTTCCTTCGCTTCGAATCCTTGAAATCTCCCGGTGGAAATCGGCGAAGGGGAGGAGTCGATCGATCGGTGGAGTTCGCCGGCGGCGAGGGAGATGGACGGCGGCATGAAGGAGCAGGGGATACTCCTGGTGCGGAAGGCGGTGGAGGAGGACGACGCCGGCAACCACGCGCGGGCGCTGCCGCTGTACGTGCACGCGCTCGACTACCTCGCCGCGCACCTCAAGTACGAGCGGAACCCCAGGGTCCGCGACGCCATCACTGCCAAGCTCGCCGGCTACATCGCCCGCGCCGAGGAGATCCGCGACGCGCTCCTCCCCGCCGCCGGCGACGACGCCACGCCGCCTGCGGCAGCGGCGGAGGAGGGCAAGGCGAAGTGCGGCGGCGGGGAAGACGAGTCGGATCGGGCCAAGCTGCGGGCGGGGCTCCACTCGGCGATCGTCTCGGAGAAGCCCAACGTGAGGTGGAGCGACGTCTCCGGGCTGGATGGAGCAAAGCAGGCGCTGCAGGAGGCCGTCGTGCTCCCCGTCGAGTTCCCGCAGTTCTTCACCGGTGAGTTTGGGTTCACTGGGATCCCAAACAAATTAATAGCAAAAATATGAAAAGATCAATCACATAAAATTGATGTTACTGGATTTATCATTAATCAAACTATCATAATATGTGGTTCTTTTTATTTAAAATATTTTATTTTTATAGATATTGTTGGTCAAAATAGCATCTCGAAAACTGTGTCGAAGTTAAAAAATGTTTATATTTTAGGACGGAGGGAGTACTCAATGTGAATTGCAGTACCTAGGCGATTGATCAATGGTGAAATTACTGAATTTTGTAGGCAAGCGGAAGCCATGGAAAGCCTTCCTCCTGTACGGGCCACCGGGGACGGGCAAATCTTACTTGGCCAAAGCCGTCGCGACAGAGGCCGATTCCACATTCTTCAGGTAATTGATTTTCTTCTCATTTCTTGTACTGGTACTAGTTGATTAGTTAGTGGGTTCTTTCACATTTGTGATCGAATTGGTTGCGTGCGTTCGATTCATTATGTAGCGTACTCAGCAAATTCAGTTAATTTTATTTTGCTCGATAGTGTAATCTTGTGCCTTTTTGTTATAAGAGCAAGTTTAATAGTATAGCCCACTACCGGCTCCAATTCATTTATAGTCAATTCATACAATAGTTACTTAGGAGTACTATACTATTAATATATGGTCCCACCTGTCACATACACATTACGTTTTGGGGTCCGTGCTGCAGCTGGCCACTGCTCTTCTCTCTCATCGTTTATCTCATTAAAATATGATTATAGCTGGCTAATAGCCTGCTATTGTACCTGCTCTAAGCATTGTTAAATTTGGACAAAACTATGGAGTGATCTGTCATCTTTGTTCTGTTATTAGTGTAATTACTAATCTGAAGTGACGGATGGACACACACTGCAGTATATCTTCGTCGGATCTTCTCTCCAAGTGGATGGGAGAAAGTGAGAAGCTGGTGACGAACCTGTTCCAGATGGCCCGTGAAAATGCACCCTCCATTATCTTCATCGATGAGATCGACTCTCTGTGTGGCCAACGAGGGGAAGGCAACGAGAGCGAGGCTTCTCGGAGAGTTAAGACAGAATTCCTCGTGCAGATGCAGGTAATTGTCTTGATGCAGTAGCATATCTCTCGCTTCAAACGTTCGTTGATGAATGCAAGTATAAGACAGTGGTGCAAAATTTAGTTTTGTGTGTGTGTGTGTGTGTGTGTGTGTGTGTGTGTGTGTCTGTGAATTTTGCTCCATAGCTAGCTAAGTTTTTTTTAAAAAAAATATTCTGTGAATGTGTGGGATGTGCAGGGTGTTGGACATAACGATGATAAAGTCCTTGTTCTTGCTGCCACAAACACTCCATATGCTCTGGATCAGGTAGAACTTACAAGACATCCATCAGTTATCTCTTCCAGTTACATTTTGCATCTCGTTTGTGTTATTGTATAAGCTTGAGTGATGATGATCGATCGATCTTCTTTTTCCCAGGCTGTACGGCGGCGTTTTGACAAACGTATCTACATTCCGCTACCCGACCTTAAAGCTAGGCAGCACATGTTCAAGGTAAGTACAAAGAAGTTAGCAAAAAGAGCAATGAGATTTTCTCAAACATGCAACCTTGAAACTGAAACTTTTGATAAGTCTTGAACCTGAATCTGAAATCCGCATTGCAGGTCCATCTGGGTGACACCCCTCACAGCCTCACCAAGGGCGACTTCGAGAGCTTGGCTCGCCGGACCGACGGCTTCTCCGGCTCCGACATCGCCGTCTGCGTAAGCCACACCACAGCCACCTATCCCATTTTCTGTAGCAGTATGCATGTCAACTTGTCATTTGATAGCCGACGATCTCTTGGTCGCGTACGTGCGCGCGCGTGTGTGCAGGTGAAGGACGTGTTGTTCGAGCCGGTGCGCAAGACGCAGGATGCCATGTTCTTCTTCGGGACGGCGGAGGGCGACGGCGACGGCGGCGCGTGGACGCCGTGTGGGCCGACGCGGCCGGGCGCCGTGCAGATCACCATGCAGGAGCTCGCGGCCAAAGGCCTGGCTGCTCAGGTGAGTCCTGGCTGCCCTAGTCATTCCCCGAATGCCAGAATGCCATCTCTGTGGCATATAGCTTCCCTTCAGCCAATAGACTTTAGTCGAAATTTAAATTTTACAATTTAATTTTTAAACTTGATTTTAAGGGTCTTTTCATCATATTTTATTTACAAACATTTGCTTTTAAATTGCTAAAACACATTGACAAAAGTTTTGTTAATAAATTGTTTTTAAATTGTAAATAAGCCGTTGAAGCTTATGTATAAGGGCGTGTTCCAAAGTCTAAACGGAGGTTGAAAACGCTGATAATGGATAAACGTGATTAGCATATGATTAATTAAGTATTAATTATTAAATTTTTGAAAAAATAAGTTTATCTATTTTTAGAATATTTTTTATATAAGAAAGTTTTCGAAACACACCATTAATTAGTTAGAAAAACGTGCTAATAGAAACGGGGAAAGTAGCCAAAAGTGATTCTCACTTTAGAACGTGCCCTAAGGGAGACGATGACTGTGGTTGCTGATCTCCTTGTCTACTGTAGATCACGCCGCCGCCGATCACGAGGACGGACTTGGACAAGGTGCTGGCGAGGCAGAAGGCGACGGTGAGCGAGAAGGATCTGGAGGTGTACACCAGGTTCACCAGAGAGTTTGGCGAGGAAGGCTAGCATCATCTTGCTGTCATACTGTGACATCTGATTCCTGTAAATGATCAGTAAGATGCTTCTGTATAGCTAGTGCGCACTCGCATCAGGATTAGTTGAATGATCTGATACAAAGTCTTGCATGGGCAATCTTTCTTTGCATGGTATCAGTGCTGTGAGATGCTACCACGTCCATATAATTTCCTATCTGCCTGGTAATGCAGAGTTGCTCATGGACTGTTACAGTGTTAAAGGCTGGGATTGCCCATAAATTTGCCAGCCAGAAATGAAATTTCTCTACTTACAAACATCACGGGCCTAGATTTAGGATTTAGGATGCATGTTTAAATGCATCATATCCCTGTGACATACAAGCTTGCTGCAAAGACGATGTCACGCTTAATGGCATTGGACGCAGTCTCCATTTTCTTATGCAACGCGGAGTTCCCCATTATGGAAGCTGCATTCCTGAACTCCCTGCAAGTTTCATCCAACCGCACGATTGTTCTTACAATGAGACCTTCAGATACATCTGTCAGCTCACAGATGTCTGCAAATGGGGTCCCCTGCATTGAAAGATCAAATAAGAACACACTGATTCTGCATAACTCTCGCAGAAGAGTTCCCGTGACGTGAGGATGTATACCTTTGCCCATTCGTAGACGACTTCAACAAGACCGAACTTGAGATTATCACGGGCATATTCCTCGGGATCTACAGGCACCTTGAACTCTCTCTGGAGCTTTCCTAATCTGATTGCTGTATCATAAATCCTAGAATAGAAAATAAACACAAGAACAAATGGCACTTAAGTGTGTTTTGCAGGCATTTGAAACAGAAAGCACAAATTCTTCGAATGCATCATATAGGAAATGACAACAAGCACAAGTTTTTTTTTTAAAAAAAAAGAATTAAATCTAACCTCTTTCTGGCATCTGCTAGTTTCGGGGTAAGAGATGGTTCTGATGTATTCCTTTGTTGGAAGACCAATGCAGACATAATAGCTACGGCTTCTTCAGGTTCTAGGTCATCCAACTGATTCTCAAACAGACATTCGGTTGATATCAACTCCTCGCCGGAATTCATTTCGCAGGCCACTCGGCCCTTAAGTTGCACCACTAGATCAGAATCAATGTAATGGATTTCTTTTAGTACATCGATCTGCACACATGGAAAGGTAAGAAATGTTACTTTCACAAACCAATCCACGGGCGCTCAGCTGGAAAACACCAGCTTATCAAAATCAAACTCATTTTTTAAGACAATAGAGTAGCACCGTGAAACTTCCAATATGCCAAACAAATCAAAAGTGAGTGGATGAAACGTCATTTTTTTTTCTAATCCCAGTTCTAGTGAGACTGAACTTTGTTGTGCCACAAATAATAGATATCTAATTCCTTATTATGGAGCGTGAGAAAAATATATATGTTTGACATCTTACTCTGCCTTGAAACTCCGGCATCTGTTGAAGTGCCTCATCTGACATTTCATATTTCAAATCATTCAGCTGATCCTTGTACACCTTTTGCTCCTTCATCAATGCAATATGCTCCTTTAATTTTATACAACCATGGCACTTATTTTCAGACATTTTTTGCAGTAATCTCTGGTAAGCATAGTAGTTCTCAACGAGAAGCATGTCTTTCATTTTTAGATCTGTATTCCATAGAAAATGAAGAAATTAGACAGTGACACAATATACTATTTATAATAACCATGCACATCAAGTAAAACTAAGCACATGATCACTGAGATTATAAAACATAAAACATAATGCAGATGCTACTGCATAGGACTATCCACTATCTGGTAGACAGCGAAGGCTATTTTATCTAGCCGGTCAAAACATCATTAACGGTTACATATTATAAGCCATGAGAACATGGTAATTTCCCTGCAGTCCTATACCTTGCCTATTTACAAGATTGACTAAATTGTTAATAATTTTGAAAGTAGTAGTAAATTATAGAACACATTTACCACTATATCAGATAACTTTTTCTTACTAGCTTGGCTGGAACTTTATATAGCACCAGATTTCATATGTAATTTAACCATAGAAAAAAAATGTACCTTTTATTGCATCTAAAGCAGCAGGATACTTGTTTCCGTCTGGTTGCTCTTTTATAAGCATCTGGACAGTTTTAGAGTAAACTGTTTTGCTTGGATCCTCAAGGAGTCTGACTTGATCAATCTTTATTTTGCTGGCGCATATATTCATAATCTCTTTATTCTCTATTGCTCTAACTTCAAAACCCATTCCAGATGCATCTCCCTTGTATGGTAGCTTGATATTGATGACACCTGAACCTTTCCGTGTACTGACAGAAGAGAAATATTCATCTTCCATGCTACGTTTTCCTTTCGGGATAACAAAGTATCCTTGTTTAAAATCCCCTGCTTCCTTTTCATTCTGGTTGGATGAATCAGGAGCTAGTGCTGACGATGTGCAATCACCGGTCAGTACAAGAACAACATATTGCTTTAGTGCAGCAGATGGAGTTTTCACAATTACACCGAGCAAGTGATCATCATCCTGACACAAAAGATGAAAATTTTAATGTGGAAAATGCATCTGTTGCACATTTGCTAGATACAGTTCCGAAATAAAAATAAGAGACAGCAATAAGACCAAAAGTGCCAGATTAATTTCAAGCCCACATAAATTTATTGGGATCCAGTGTGGCTTGTGTGTATTCGCGAGTCACCTGATATTTAACATGTTTTTCCCTTAGTTTGGATGCTTACACTACCGAAGATTCTACCCCTTAATTTTGAAGTGATATAGAAGACATCCGCAAAACTTAAATAATGATTGATGTCTTCTAATTTTCTCATTTTCATTTCTTATGCACTACCTCTACATTCATAAATATATACAGTAGACCAGAAGATAATTTCTGATTGATTGAATAAACAGTTAGCCCGGCCCGGCGATTGAATAAACAGTACGAGAATTGGGGGGAAGGGAAAACGGCTATAAAAAAATAAATTTATTATAAAAAAGGAATAGACAAACAGATAGAAATTGTGCACAAGAGGCAGCCCAATAGGATGAATACATACTGATTGGGATTTAACAACAACCAGACGGCCAGGTGTAAGGGACTGTTGAGAAGCAGGCAACTGCATAATTGCTTCCGTAATAGACTCCCTGTGTGCCTCAGCTTCTAAGACCATCTCGTAGTATTCTTCAATAGCCGGCTCTCCTTTTATGCACCTGATAATATAAGAAAGAACAAGACATATAGAAGAAGTTAATTGTTCGCATTATACTAGGTGCTACTTTTCATGGGTACTTTCATACAATCAATGCCTATCAAAACAAAGTGCAGGTAAGATAATGGTACATAGATAATATTGCAAAGGAATGGTTAAAAGCCCACTAAAAAAGATATGAAGACAACAATGGAATTCTATAAACATCCTGCTGCATTTTCTTAACAACCAAAGATCGACAGATGACTGCTATATGCGCAAACCCAACCAGATACTTGGTCTTTTCCCCTAGATGTTTCCATAAAGTCGTACCCCCATCCCTATTCTGATGCGGTTAAGAACTGGAACGTAGTGGCCTAAGGCTACTCCCAGATTTAGCATCTAAACCTCTACATCTATGTAACATCACCAAGTCCTGTGTGAAAAATGATGGTGCTTATTAATATATTCGTCAATGAGATAATTTCTACAGAGTGAGACCTAGGAAGAGATGATTCTCTTTTTCTAAAACTTCAGACAACCTCCACCAAACACATTTGCCTACTGTGGTATTTTCTCTCACCTCTTTCTTTACTACTCCCTCCGTTTCATATTATAAGTCGTTTGACATTTTCAACACATAACACACATAGTATCAAAATATATTCACTGTTACATCTGATGAAACTAATTTGGCGTTGTAGATGTTGCTAATTTTTTCTATAAACTTGGTCAAACCTAAAGAAGTTTGACTAGAAAAAGTCAAAGCGACTTATAATATGAAACGGAGGTAGTAGTTAACTGTGCCAAATCTCTTATGCTAAAGGTGTGTGCTAGTTCTATTCTACCAAGGATGGTGTATCTAGAATTTGCATGTCCAAATCAAAAATCGAACACAACCATCCTTGTTTGTTAACTTCCTATGTCAATGAAACTATGCTAGTTTTTATTTGCAGTTTTTAAGTAGGATTTGCATTGAAAACATTGGTACCCATGGTATCAATTTCATGAAGATAGGTTAATGTCTCACTCAATTGTCTTCGTGGGTTGACGAAGCATCTGCAGAAGCAACTTTTCCTTCTCAGGCAAATTCTTTTGTGCATGGAATTCTGCAAAACTTCTCTTTAGCATGTCCTCCACCTGTGAGCAAATCCATCAATGTAAGCCAAGGAGAGAACTTTTTCCTATTGTACATTTAGAAAAGTAAATGGCACACATCTAAGACATGGTGTCACTGTCCTGGGGCTACCTTCACCCATTGTTCAGCAATATAACAATCGGAATTTTACATTAAAGAAGAGATAGTGAAGTAACCAGTGCAACCTACACATAATGTACAATGGTCAGGGACAGTAGTTCGGAAACATTACTGGACCTTGAATAGTCAAATCATGCATATGCCTTCATAAAGAAAAGGGAACTCAACAAAGTTGTATCACATTCACTATTCCCTAACTTATTATAAACTAATTATAGATAGCACAAGCTAATCACACACTCCTCCCATGCCTATGCAGAGTCAATGCCAAATGCATAATTGATCAAGTAGTCAAAACAGTCATGGAAATGGAACTTTGTGAACAAATAAATAATAAATAGGATTGTTTTTATAGCAGACGCTTCATTATATCATGGACTAACTCATCACACCTTAAAAACATATGTTTAGTTTATATTTCAGTTTTCAGTCTTCAAAGTTCGAACAGATATTTTTAATGTGTGACTGGATGATCAAAAGCTCAAGAAATACCAAAGGGTACATAGCCAAATTGAAATATGGAATTGAATTTGAAAAAAGAGGAATGGCCAAGCCAGAAAGTTTTCTAATTGGTCTATATAAGTGTACCTTGAGTTCCTCCACACGTAGAAGATGCAGTATCATAGTGTATGTTAACCGAAATTGAGATTCTAGTCGAGTTGGTTTTCCAACAATCAAATTCTTCAAATCACTTTCTTCGGGAATTTCATCACG